GGCTTCCCCCTTTCATAATGAGGTGTAATTTGTTCCGTGTGGTTCCTTGTAAGGGATGCCGAACCCTAAAATTAAATTCCATTTTTCTGCCTATTTAGCCTTGTTTTCACGTTTTTTGCGGAAATTTGTAATTAAAAAATGAAAGAGTTTTTGTGTTAAATTCTTTTAATTTTTCATTTCCTTTAAAAGCTCAAAAATCGTGAACAAAACCGCCGACGTGGAATGGAACAGGGATGGTTAAAACAAAGTCAGGCTAGACGACAAGCAGGGGATATTTATTCTTTTGGGATTGTTATGTATGAAATTTTGTTTAGGTAGGGGATAGCTTTTGAAGGCTTCTCTTAAATTCCTTTTTTAGAGCCCTGCCCTTCCCAGAAGGCACCGATTTGACGGGTAAGTTTGCTGACAAGGAATTCTCAGGCAAGTGGCAGTGGCAGGCCTAATTTATTTTTATTTATTTTTTGAGTAATTTAAACAAAAATTATTTTTAATTTAAGAAAGGCCATTTTAGAGTAAATTCACTTGCCTTTTATTTGTGTTTGTTTTTATTTTTCCTCTTTTTCTTCTTTTTTCTGTTTACTATTTACTGGCACAAAACTTGTTTTTTTAAATGAAATCTTCCTAATTCAGGAACCTGTTACCATATATGTTTCAGGAATTACCCTGGGTAATTATTGTTTCAACCTCTCACTGAATGGGGTAATTAATTGAGAGGGGAGGGGTAATTATTTGTAGAGGGGGTAATTGGGGGTATTTATTTGTTCATATGCTGTATTTGAACTGAAACCATGAAACTGGAACTACGGAAATACTCGACAGGAAAAATTAAACATGGAACCGGTAGATTTTTTGGGCATCCCTTTTAGGGGAGAAGGAGATGAGGAGATGATCTAGTTTCCTTAAATATCGAAAAATACTTATCAGTTCATTTCCTCGTTTAATCCAGAAAAAAAACCCACGGGGATTTGGCTCAATTCCCTTCTATAATTAACAAGTTTTGATGCTCTTTATTTTAACTTTTTTTCTAATCACAAAAACAAAATTATTTATTTTTAAATATTTTCAATTAATTAAATTTAAATTAAAGAATTATGTGAATATGTCCGTGATGGCTCTAAAACATTTAAACCCGTTATTGCTGATCGTTCACAAATACATCCAGATATTATTGCTTTATTACAGGTAAAAAAATATTTTTTTGGTTTGTTATCTTATCAATAGGGACGTTAACCAATTTACATAAATATAAAAATAATTTCGGATTCGGACATCTTAAATTGTGGGGAGTTCAGGGAAAGTGTGGGAAATAAACCTAAAAATTACCAATTTTTTACTTAATATAAAAAATTATATTTATTAAAGCTTTATATTCTTTGATATATTACAAAAATTTAGGGTCGCTTAATATATAACCGATATCTTTAATTTTTGGAGGAGGTTATTAACTAATGACCTTTATTATTTTTGATACAAGATTTATGTATATTTTAAATAGAGACTGGACCAAGATGAAATCTCGAATAAAAATCTCGGTTGTTGAGATCTAGATCTATTCAAATACACTCTAGAGCTTTGCCGGGAATTCCAGGATTATTGGTTTGGGTTTCGGTTTGTTTGTAATGTTCCGGTCCGGAACCTAAAAATTAGATCCAGTTCCGGATCCGGCCAAATTTGCTGTTCCGGCGAAGCACTACGGCATTCCCAGTCGTCTCTAATCTTAACTAGGGATATCGTCTCACTCAAATTAAAAGATCTTTTCTTAAAATATTTTTGTTGTTATTCTTTTTAGTTGACCTTTTTTTAAATTTGTTCCCAACATTTAAAAGAATTCCTTGCTTTCCACAATATAAATTAATTATTATTTAGAATAGTAAAGGGTGTATAAATTCTTTAAAAATAAATTTTTAAATTAAAAAAAGGATTGTTGGGCAACAAATCCAGAAATCCGTCCATCAATTAGACGCGTCCGTCTAAACACAGAAAATTATTTAAAAGTAAAAGGATCTCTTGTTGATCAAATGATGAGAATGATGGAACAATATGCAAATAATTTAGAGAAGTTGGTCCAAGAAAGGACTGGAATGTTGGAAGATGCAAATAAAAGGGCTGATAAATTATTAAATCAATTATTGCCTAGCTATGTTGCTAATGAACTGAAATTGGGACGTTCTGTTGCTCCTAAAACGTTTAAATCTGCATCTGTTATGTTTAGGTAAATTTTGAAAGAAAAATTCTGTATTTCAAAAGTAAAGCAGCTAGGCTATACTAGCTATTTCTCTCCTTTAGCTAGTGCAAAAGGTTATTCGGCGGCTGGGTGCGAACCAGCGTCTTCAGTAGACCGGACTGATATGTTATTCGTTACACCACACCGCCTACTGTACAGCCTTAGGAAATACCTAAATAGCTGCTATATGCTTTACACAAATCTTGACATGTTTTTTTGGCAATAAATATTAATAATCATTGAAGTTTTTAGAAAATATACTCTAGAAGAATACATAATATAAAGTCTTAATTTGATTTGGATTGAGATTCAAGATTGTGTACAAGAATAATTCTGTCCAGAATTTTGGAGTTTGAGGGAATAAGTTGGGGGGTTACAAACACTAATTAGTATATTTTTGTAAATCAACAAATAAATAAATATATTTAGTGATATTGTTGGGTTTACTACTTTATGTTCTGGTTCTTCTCCTCTTGAAGTTGTTACTATGTTAAAGTGAGATTATTTTAAAGGAAAAAATAATTAAATTAATTTAATTATTAGTACTGTATATACAGGATTTGATGATTTAATTAACAAACATGAAGCTTATAAAGTAGAGACTATTGGTGAGTAAATAAATAAAATAAATATGGGTTTAGTTACGATACTGGTTACGTCAGGGAGAACGTCTAATTACACCTGGGGCAGCGTTTACGGAGTCATATTTTGGCGCTGGAAAGCCTATCGGCTTTGCGATACTAGATGGTAATAAATCGCCATGGATTTCCAATAGGTTATAAATAAACGAGCTTTCCATGCACAAAAGATCTTTTAATGAATTACTGCAATCTTTATGTTTTTAAAAAACTGGAGGGATTACCTTTTAACTCAATTAAACTCCTCTTTATTTTCCTCTTATTTTTAGGTGATGCTTACATGGTAGCGAGTGGTATTCCACAAGAGGTAATACTTATTTTATTCCAGAATAAATTTTAATCATAAATTTTTTTAATAGATTGGTGTTCGTCATTTAATGCATTTAAGCGATGTTGCACTTGAAATTATGGCTGTAAATTATTTTTTTAAAAAAAAATAATTTTCCCTTTAGTTTCTAAAAAATTATGAAATTCCGCATATGAAACCACAAAAAATTCGAATAAGAATTGGTGTCCATACAGGAACTGTTGCTGCTGGAGTTGTTGGTTTAACTACTCCTCGTTATTGTCTTTTTGGTGATACGGTGAGTGTTTTTGTTAATTAATTTTAATTTAATTTTAATTTAAACAGGTGAATATGGCCTCTCGTATGGAATGTATGTTTTTTAAGAATATTATTAAATTAAAACTCCCAAAAGAGAAAACCAATTTATATAACCCTTAATTTTTGTTTTCCTATCGATTTTCGAAATTTTTTAAGAATTTTAGAATTTTGATAATTTATTTTATTACTAAGTTCTGGAGAGGAATGAGATGTTTACTATAATTAATATTTTACGACACCTTGGGCTATTACCCCTCATTTAAATTTACCTAATTTCAAATATTTTTCGTGAATAATATGAGATTGTTATATGTATGTACATAAATTACTCGACCCTCTAAATTATTTTTAAAAATTTAAAGCAAATGGACTACCAGAACGTATCCAAATAAGTGAAGCATTTAAAGAAGCATTACAAAAGCACTATCCAGAATTCCGTGTAAAACCTCGAGGAAAAGTGGAATTGAAGGCAAGTTTTGAAATTTTTGGGGACTAAATATTTTGTCATAGGGTAAGGGAATTCACCCCATTCAGGGAAAAGGAGAATGTTTTACTTATTGGCTTTGTGGAAAAGTTGGACAAGAAGATGAACAGCCATATGCACCCTCTCCAGAATTGTTGTCTCAAGTACAGGCTATCTCTGCTGGGGGGCCATTACTTAATGCTGAATCTCCAATAAGTATAACTGTTGGTTAAAAGAAATGTTTTGGAATGAAGAGAAATGAGGAATAAAGAAGGGAATTAAAATTTATATTTGTGATTTTTTTATCTTTAGTAACCTATATCCCCTTTAAAAATTTATTCTTTAACATATTTCCCCTCCTTTTAAAAATTAGAGTTTGGACTTTTTAAATTCCCAACCCTTTATTCTTTTTTATTGTAAATTGACCAGCTGGTTTACAGGGTTAAAACTCTTTAAAACTATTTGCGTCAAAAAAACCCAGTCTTTGACACTGGAAACCCCAATCAGAATCTACCTAGTCCAAACTCTATTTTCAAAACCTCCCCTTTAAATAGTTAAAAACAACTTAGTGTTTATTTTGTTTATTTGTAACTAATTTTACTCTATAATGTTTTTAACAGTTTATAAAGAATATTTTCGGAGAGAATATAATTATTAGGGGTTAAATAAGGTTATTAATTGGAGAGGTTAAATACATGTAAAAAAATAAAGGTTAGAAATTTCTTAGTATTTTTCGGAAAGAAAAAATATTTGTTGCTTTTCAAAAGACAAGGAATATACATATTTGTATGTATTTTCCGGAAAACATAAGGGGTTCTCATAAATTAAAATTTAACAAAAGAAAAATATCCTTCAACAATAAAACTTGGCAAAAAAACTTTCAAAAATTTATTTAAATAATCTTTTAATTAAAATAATACAATAACGAGTTTTATTTTTTGAAAAACTTTTAAATTTTGAAAAAGTCAAAAAAATATATTAAGCAAAATTGGCTTGTAAAGCATTTGAAGGGAATGTAAAAATAATTAATTTAAATATTTTTCTTTTTTTCAATTTATTTCTTGTTCACATTTATTCATCAATTACTAAAAATAAAAAATATTTTTCAAATCTTCCAAAATTTTTTCTACCTTCCACCCCAGTCTTTACAATTGGCTCAACATGTTTTAACCCAGTTTTGTCAAATTCAGCAGCCATTTTTGGTGTTTTCTCGGATATTATGTCTTGTGTTGTAGGCAACACATTCCTTCAAAATTTAAATTTTTAAAAATTATTTTTTCTTTTCCCCTCAACTTTTCCTCAGCCTCAACATGTCGCAGACTCGAATTTTTATCAAAATCTTCAATTCCTTTCTTCAAATCTTCACGATTACGTTCTTCTTGCAAATCTTGTTTTGTTGGCAAAACGTTCTTCTCTAAAGTCTCAACATGCTTTAAACCAGCACGTTGGGCTACTTCGGTTTGCATTGCTTCCGACATTTTTGGAAGTTTCGAAGAGTCTGTTTCGGTCATTCTTAAGAGAAATTATTTTGATAATAAATAATTCTGAAAATGAATTTTTAATAAAAAAACTTTTTATTTTTATGTGCCTCTGGAATATTATACATATTTACAGAAAAATTAATTTCAAAAAATACAAAATTTTTAAATACACAAAAAATATATTTTGTTTTTTACACAATATAGAATTTCCGAAAAAAATGAAAATTTAGATATACAAATTGAGGAAATTACATCAAATATTATTTTTAGTATTTAAAAATTATAATTAGCTTTTTAAATATAAAAACTTGTATTTTTGTTGTTTCCGGAAAATCCTTTTTCTTTACATTAAAAAAATATTGTCATTTCCAGAAATTTTTTAAAATTGATTCCAGTGTTTTCCGGAAAATTTACAATTATAAAACACAAATATGTATTTGTAAATATTTAAACAATTTTTGTGTATTGTGTAAAAAATAAAGAAAAAATATGTTATTTTTATAACAACCATTCTACAAAAAATGGAATGAATTGATTTGTAAATGGGGGAACACAATAACGGTGAATATATAAAAATAAATAAATTTATATATTTAATCGTTATAAGAGAGGAAAGGAAAATATATGAATCAGCCACAAACATTTTTCAAGTCCTTTTTACATTCCGACGATTGATGCGATTACAAATAAAATAAAAATAAATTTATTTTGAAGGACACATCATTTTATTTATTTTAATGAAAGAGAAAAGAATAATCGAGATTTGTGTAAAAGAGGGAAAGGAAAAAAACAATTTTTATGAACACATTTTGGAACAAAACAAAATCACTTTCATTAATTTATATTTTCGAATAAAGCTGTGGTCAAAAAGCAGCAAAAAGCAGTTAAATGAAACGTACATATTTAAAAGAAAAATCGATGTGTTCTGTTAGTTTTTAAATAAAAGAAAAAAATCTCTACTTTTAAAAATCTCTCTACGGGATACTAAAAAGTATTTTTTTATTTTATAAACAAATCTTTGCTCTTGTTTTTAATGGTTTTGGAGGATTTTTTGGTCAATGATACTTGACGGGGGTTAGATGGTTATTGTAATTTGTATATTTAAAAGAAAGCCTTTTTAAAAATTATTTTTCAAAGAAAATACATCAGAAAATTTCAATTTCTTTATCAACATGATAAAAGATAATTAAAAAAATAATTGTCAAATTATTGGTCATTTAACAAATATTATGCGTATGAAAATTTTAAAATAAATTTCCGCTTAAAAATTGAAAACATTCAAGTAGTCTTTCGAGTACTCAGATAAGTCTTCAGCTTCGGTTCGGCATAAACTTTGTCGACAAAATCAGTCAATTCTTTGTATTTCCCGACAATTTCCGGCTCGAATGAACGGACAAACTCAAAATACTCAGCCAATACAAAATCAACATAAGTTAAGCCAGATTTAACGAAAAATCCCGATCCAGACTCTGCAACAATTTGACAAAAAGTGGAAAGACTCGTTCTGCACCAGGCAGAAATACATCCTTTCGAAGTTTATCCTAGAAAGGAAAGATAATTATAGGGAGAGAATCTAACCACATCCCCTTCCTTAAATCGCAATTTTTCTCAAAAATCTAAAAAACCACTAAAACCCCAAAAATAAAATTGAAGAATGAGAATTAATTTTAAAGAAAAAAACCTAACCACATCTCCTTCACGAATACCCCATTTAGCATAAATATAAGGTGCTAGTTCATTATAAACATCCTTGTAAAAGTCAAAAATTTCAACAATTTTAGCTTTTTCCCATTCATCCTTTCCAGCCAAACCTTTAAATGTAAAGAATAAAAGAGATTAAAATTTAAATATTTTCACCAAATTTATTAGACAAATATTGAAGGATTGCGCCGGATTGACTCAATTGCTTTCCATCAACTTCTAACACAGGAACTTTTCCATAGAAAAATTCTGAAAAAAAATATTGGAATATTATAAATGGTTGTCTGATTTTTTTCTCAAATTCAAAATTATTTTGAGTAAAAATTTCATTCTTTACATGACTTTAAAATTCTTAAGTTTATTTACTTACTATTTTTCTCGTTTGGCCAATTTTCAGCTGTAAAGCGGTTGTCTTCAAAAGTTTCGCCAGCATAATGAAAACTATAAAAATATTAAAACTATAATTTAAAATAAATTAACCAAAGTCTAATAGCTTCACCCAACCCACGCACATCAAAATAATAAAGTTTGTATTGAACCATTTTTAAGAAAATGTAAAGGTTGTCAAGTAAAAATATATCTAAAATAAAATAAGAGCGCAAAATAGTTGAAATAATTAGGTATATTTAAAGGGATTTGTCGTTGAGTGGGTTGGGAAGGGAAGGAGGAGGGGGGCTGTTTTTCCAATTAAACAAGTGGTTGGAAAGAGAAGGACTGTGAAATAAAAGGCTGTAAATAAATTGTACAAAGGAAAAGAGGCGCAGAAGAAAAAAGCGACACGAAACATACAAAATTTAATATAAAATTTAAAAAATATTGTAAATACAATTTTATGATTGACACAATTATTAAGGAAATTTGAATGGAAATTTTGGACACTGAACACTCTTGAATATAAATTTATGGAACAAATAAACAAAATTCAGAAAAGGCGTGGAAGAAAAAAGAAACTTGCCGACTCAAAAAATAAACAAAACGAGAGACTATAGAAAAGAAAGAGGTTGGGATAAAATGACATATTTTAAAAACATTTCGCCAACTTATTTTTTGTTTGCGAATTTTTGAATATTTAGGAGTGACTCACTTTTCTCTCAAAATTTTATTTCCTTGTAAGACTTTTAATTTTTTTTAAAGTTTTTTGTTAATTAATTTTTATTTATTTTTAAAGAAATGTCTGTTGACAATTGGAGTTGTCCTAATTGTACATTAATTAACAACATTCAAGAACATTGTTGTAAAGCTTGTCTTTATTCATTTAACAAAAATAACCGTAATGGTTTTCTTCGAAAATTAAAATGTATTTTTTAAATTATTCAAAAAAATTTTTCATTTAAAGTGCCTCACTTCTCCGTCAATTCTGCCTTAGAAAAATTAGATTCAGCTCTAGATTTAATTACTAATAGCCCTGGACGTTCTTCTACAAGTCAACAAAATGTTCAAATATATCCACAATTTAATCATTCCCCTGCTATTTGGAAATGTTCTAGCTGTTCTCAATTAAATAATCACTCAGGCAAAAGGTGTGTCTGGTGCAATTTGGCTAGGGAAACTGGTAAATTTTAATTTTTAATTTTATTTAGAGACTGGCGGGAAGGACCTGTTTATATACAATCGAATATCGATACCACGTCTCCCCGTTAGCGTTTCTCACTTTTTATTCTAAATTCAATTACGAGGTGTGCTTTATCGAGATTTGGTCCCCGATAGCACTCTCTTCCATTAGGACGTCAGCTTAATTCAGTCCCGAGGGTCACGTCTTATCGAGATCGACTTTACATTAGTAAATATCTCGACTGTATATCGAATCTAATTTTAAGTTTAATTTATTATTTTAGATGCTACTTATAATTATTGGTCTTGTTCGAATCCAAATTGTTGTCTTAAACAGCCACAAACACCTTTAAATGGAAAATGCCCACTTTGTCGAGTAAAATCTTCATATCATCGAATGCAAACCTCTAAAAGCATGGTAAAATTATTTTTTTAAATTCAAGCTTAGCAAATTTTTTACTAAATTTATTTTAATTTTCTAGCCTCGTTTATCAGATATTGGACCTGTTGAAAATGTTCTTTCACTCCCTCAAGAAGAAATTGAGGATAAAATTGTCCATTCAGATAGATATAATTCAATAATAGAACATTGCAGGTTTCTCTTGATTAGTAAATATTTTAAATTTTTAGAAAAAAATTTTAAGATTGACTAATCATTGTTTTTTGGACGATTCTTTCCCGCATTCTCTTCATTCAATCGGCCCTCTTTCACAATTTGAATCCAAGAATTTAGATATTATTTGGCTCCGGCCTTCTGAAATATTTACTAGAGATGGACATTTAGTTCGTTGGGCTGTTTTTAATGATCCTCAACCGACTGATATTGAACAAGGTTTTTTAAATTATTCTGAGAAACAATTTTCAAATTAATTTTAGAAATTAATTTCTAATTTAATTTTCATCGATTTTAGGTCTACTCGGTAATTGTTGGTTTCTTTCTGCAATGGCTGTTGTTTCTGAAAGACCTGATATTTTAGAAAGACTTTTTCTCTCAAAAGTTTACAATCATTATGGCGTTTATGAAATGAGGTTTTTTAAAACAAATTAAATCTATATTTGCTTCTTTATTAAAGATTATGTGTTGATGGATTATGGCAAAATGTTTTTGTTGACGATTTCTTTCCTTGTCATAAAAGAAGTCGTACAATGGTTTTTGGTGTTGGACGAAAGAATCAACTTTGGCCTTCCCTACTTGAAAAAGCTTTGGCTAAGATCTATGAAAATTATGCAATTTTGAGGGCTGGAAGGATTTGTGAAGGTTTATATTTTTTTAATTTTCACACAATTTTTTAAAGGACTTTCAACGCTAACTGGAGCCCCAACAATTTCTTTAGACTTGGAATATATTGATTTAAATTTTGAAGGAAGAATGTCGGCATTAAACATTGTTTGGGCTAAATTATTAAGTGCCAGAGAAGCTCGTTTTATTATGGGATGTTCTTGTGGAGCAGGAAATCGTCCAGTCAATGAAGATGAATATAAGAAATTAGGTTTGATGAGTCAACATGCTTACTCTCTTCTGGATGTTAGACAAACTAGAGAAGGATATAGGTATTTTTATTTTAGTTTTACTCCCAAATTAGCTACTCTCCTACCTCACATTTTAAGTTATACCGCATTATAAACTACAATTTTCTCACCCCGATGAAATTTTTTAACTTATAAACTTAATTAAAGATTAGTTCAACTTCGAAATCCTTGGGGTTCTTTTGTTTGGAATGGCGAATTTAGCCGTAAATGGCCTGGATGGACTTCAGAATTAAAGAAAGAACTTGCATCAGATGCAAATAAACAATCAGGAACTTTTTGGATGCCTTTTGAAAGATTAGCTAATTATTTTGATACAATTGATATTGCTCAAATTAATAGAGGTTGGATATCTACAAGGCATTTGTTGGATATTGGTTGGGTAGAAGGACGGACTAGGTTTGTTGAATATTTTTAAATACATCGGAAATATAAAGACTTAAATGTTGATATCGATTGGTACCAAAAAAGTATGTAAAAAATTTTGGCTGACAGTTTTGAGTCTCCCTTGTGAGTGGTTTTACGTTTGAACTAGTTGGTCCAGACAATAGTCCAATTTTCCTATTCATCAATTTTTTACTTATTGGGGATTTATTAATATTTAATTACTTTTAAAGGATTGTTCGCTTCACAATTACCGAACCAACAGAATTATGTGTTATATTACATCAAAGAAATGCCCGAACAGTATTAGATCAAGTAGATATTCTGGTTTTAATACACAAACAAGAAATGAATAAAGAGGGATTTCCTGGTTTTTTAAAATTTAATTTTTTATTTTTACTTTTTTTTATTTTAGAAGAATTAATTTGTCGTTCACCAAGAAAAATTGGACCAATTGTCCGTACAGAAGATTCTTTTTTTCAACCCGGAGAATATTTAATTTTTGCTCATTCTTTTTCTAATTTTGGTGAAATGATTCCTGGCACAGTTGTTATTCATAGGTTTTTTTAAAATGTTATTTAATGCAAATTTTAATTTAGTTCGAAGAAGATTTTCTCTGAAACTCTTAATTCTTCATTGGAAGCTTTACGTTCTTCTATTTGTTTTTTAATGCTTAAAGAAGGTTCTATAAATGGTGTAAGTAATTTTTACATTTAGTACACACGTTTCGTGTATGTAGTCCTTTCTAAATTAGTTCCAAAACTGTATAAAAATCTAAAAAAATATATTCTTATTTAGGATTCTAATGGAATGATTGCTCGTTATTTAACTAATAGTTTTGCGGGATTGGCATTAATGGTTGACAATACAAATCCAAACACGTGTGTACAGGTTGGTGGGAATTTGATATAAAAATACTTAATTTTTAAAACCCTAATTTGTTTATAAAAATATATGTACATATGTACTTCTGATTATATACCCTCATTTTCCTTACACTTTTCTCATTTTTTAAAATTTTTTACTCATAAAATCAAAAAATAAAATTATGGTGATGATTCTTCGACTGTATCAAAAACAAGAAAAAAGAATAAATTAAATGTTGAATTAGTAGTTGTTTTTGAGAGATTTGTGGAGATGTTATGGGATTAGATGTTATTGTGTGTTGAACTTCGACTGTTGTGATGAGTGTTGTTTTAACTGTTGTTGTGTGGTGTTGTTTTTGTTGTTGTGAAGCTAACTTATATGTTGTGAAATTGGTGTTGACCTTGATAGGTCGAGTTCAGATTTTAGTTGGAATTGTAAACACAATTCCGGAGGCTCTATGGCCTTACTCCAAAAATTAACGGAATTCTTGATGTTATAATTCCGGGGGCCCTAGATGGCCAATATATTCGAAAACCGAATATAAAATTTATTTATTAAAAATAAATTAAAACATTTAAAAAGTATTAGAGAACATAACATAAAATGAATTAAAAATGATTATAAGATCGAGTGGGCGGGGCATCTTTCATCGGTTCTTTTTCGGCCGTGCAAGGCCGTGCCAGTCATTAGCACCAGCCATACCCAAAAGATCAAAATCGCATATAGACGTATATGCGACACTCCCACCAAACAAAAATTTGGCAAACAGCCAAAAGCAACGCCACGAGATCAGTATCCAATGAATTGCATTTTGTGTTACATCTTGTATCCAATGTTGAAACATTAATTATGTTGCTTTCTTTGTCGTTTTCATGATTGTTGTTTCGATCTTGATAGATCTCTTGATTCTTATTCTGTTTTTTACCTGAGGGGTTTCTTAGTATTAAACTTAAACTTTCGAAGACATTCGACCCTCCCCACTTCGGTTAAATTTGGAGACAAAAACAAACGATATTCGATAATATCGACTTTGTTTCTCAGAAGATACCTATTTAGTTTTGGGTAAATTTTGATTTTTATTATCTGATCGAAAAATAAAGGGAGCTAACATTCTCTTTTGTTTCCCTTCTAATCCTAAACTTCCAGCTCAATTGGTGAGAATGGATATCATTAAACTGGTCGGCCTACTGAATGGATTCCATTACAAAATGGATTCCGCCACTTAGTTTTCAATCTCTAGACTCTTGAAAAATGGATGTGTTTAAGATTATTAGGTCTTTATCCATTGACTCCATAAAGTTCCTAATTGTTTTCTCCTTAAATTGCTTTGATGTTAATTATTTGTGGTAAGGAAAGGTTTGAACATTTTTCTACTATTTTACTTCTAATCATAAACTCTTCCGGTTCAATTGTTGAGAATGGATATCCTCAAACTAATTGGCATTCGACCTTATAGTTTTCAATCCCTAGACTCTTGAAAAATGGATGTGTTTAAGATTATTAGGTCCCTATCCTTTGACTCGCTAATCTACTTACGACTGTTGTCTCTATACGAATTCGAATGGATTTAGTTGTAAGTAGATTCCTTCCTTTAAAGTATAATATTCTTACGTTTCCTATCGTTTTGTTCTTGTATTTTGGTTGTTGTATTCTTTGTAATGCTGGCCTAGATAGGCCAAATACTTATTGCTAGAATTTTGTTATCATCTTTGTTGCTATTGTCTGTTAAACCTTTTTATCTAATCTTATCTTAAGCCTCGATAGGCCAAAATTCTAAAATTAGTTTTTCTCATTATTTTATTTTTTACTCATTAATTCCATTTTACTCATTTATTATACTCTATTAAAATTTAAAGTTAGATAACTTTTGATTTTCAAATTAATTCTTTTTACTTCAATTTATGCGGGTGCACGCTTTCGTTGGGAGAGAGGAAAAAATTTCTAATTGAATGAAATTAGAATAAATAAATTTTAGGAAAAAATTGAACGTGAGAAAAAATTTAGTTTTTGGACAAATTTGAAATTTAAAATTCGAAACTTTATTTATAGAATATTTCTGAAAAGATTTTTTCTTTCTCCAAAATATTCGGAAGCTGGACAGCTTTCTTGTTTTTTATTCAAAGTTCTTTCTCTAAAAAATTAGCTTTTCAAAATTATTCTAAAAGATTTTCAAAAAAAAAATTTTTTTCTTAGAACTTCTAAAAATTTTTAAAAAAATTGTTATTCTTCAAAAATTTCTAAAATTTTCAAAAAAAAATTTGTTAAAGTAAAGGAATTGTGCGACTTTTTTACCCCAGAAGAAAAATTTAAAATCTTTTAGTCCCCCTTTTTGAGAAAAAATTCTTTTTCTAGTCGGCTCTTCTATTTAAGCGCCAACTTTCCTTTTAAATTGTTCAAAAATTCTTACTCTTTCCTTTTTTCTTTCTTAAACACAGATGTGCTTTTAAATTTGTCGCGCGCAGAAAGGAAGATAACAGTAGTATAAATGAAAAGAGGAATTTAACGTATATGCTTTCACAAAGGAAGAGAGAATTTTTCGTAAAATTTCTAATTGGCTCTAAAAATTTCGGAGAAAAATTCTTCGTAACCCTTTACAAAAATTTAAACTTTATTTTCTTAAACACAGATGTGTTTTTCTTTTAACTCGTAACAGAACGGAATTTAATTGGCTTTTACAAAGAAATTTATGTCGGCACTGTTTGTTTATACCAAAAAGATTTCTTTTTAATCTTTTTTGAAAAATTCTTTACTTTCTGTCTTTCTTTTAAAGCCCAGATACGCTTTAAACACTTTCCGCTCAAAATAAAAATGCCAATAATATTAGATTAAAGGGATAACGAAAAGGAAAATTCGAATAACGAAAAGGAAAGATGATTTATAATTAATTCAGCCCTTTTTTATTCAGAGAAACAGAATTAAGAAGTAATTTTTCGGAAGAGAAAAACTATCTCTTCCTTATTAAATTACAGTAATATTTAAAAAAAATTTTTTCTTTATTGTTCTGGATAGAGCAATCACTTTTGTTAATCTTGGAAAAAATTTCCTAGAAAAAATTTTTTAAAATTTTCAAAAGAATTTAAAAATTACAAAAATTCTAACAAATTTCCAAAAGAATTTTTAAAAGAATTTAAAAATTAAAATTTCTAGAAAAATTTTAAAGGAGGAAAAGATTTTTAGAATAAGAGAGAATAGTAGAAAAATTTAAATATTTCTTCAATTTTATTTTGTTTATTTTTTAGAGAAAGTCCCCTTTTTGCAAAAAAATAATTTATTTTTATAGATCCCTCTTATTTTTGTGCTAGATAGCTTGCTTTTTTGTTTGCCACTTTTCAGCGATCTATTTTGCAAGATGTTTTTAAAATTGTTTTTCGCTCTCCTTTTCTTTTTATTTGTACATTAGATGGCTTCGCTTTTTTGCCAAAATGCTAAATTTTGTGCCCGAAATACGCGCGTTTAGTGTTCTTTTTGTTTGGACCCTCTTAAAAATTTTCTTCTCAAATCGTTTATTTTCTATTCGCTGTGTCACTATTGTATTAAATAATACTAATAGTGTAATAAAAAGCAGAGAAAGGCACGCCAAAAAATCACTGCCAAAAATGCTTCTATTCTTTACGGAGAGAAAAATTATATGTATTTGATAATACTGTAATTGTTCCCCAAAATTTTCTTTTTCTGTATTAAAGTTTGAAAATTTAACGGGGGGGGGGTACCAATATTGGTTGTGAATAGAAAAAAATTTAAAGAAATTGGAAAATTTTACTAAAATTGAGAAAATTTGTAGGGATTAAAAAAATTCAAAAAAATAGGGGAGAATTTAAAAGGATTGAAAAAATTTAAAAGAGTTGATAAAATTTAAGAAAAATTGGGAGAATTTTATAAAAAATTGGGAAAATATAAAAATTTGGAAGATTTGAAGAGAGAAAATAAAATAAAATTTTTTAAATAAATTAATAAATTTTTTGAAATATAAAGATATTGAAAATTAAATTTTTAAAAAATAGAAGAAGTGTAGAGATTAAGGAATTAAATTTGACTTTTCTATTCTAGTTAGACTTAATTTACAGCTATTTATTATAACTGTTCAAATTTTTCTGAATAAAAAAAATTTATAAAAAAAAATAGAGCTAGATAGCCTATTCATTCGAAAATAAATTTTCTAAAAAAAATTTTTTTTTTGATTTCAGCTAGATAGCTGACTAAAAATTTAGATTAAGATTCTACAAAAAATTCGGCTAGATAGCTAATGAATATTTTTCAATAAAAATTTACCTTTACTCCAGGCCAAAGATTGCAGTTTCACTATTATCGCTGGTTTGATGGGTCGCCATATCAAAAACAAGAAAAAAGAATAAATTAAATGTTGAATTAGTAGTTGTTTTTGAGAGATTTGTGGAGATGTTATGGGATTAGATGTTATTGTGTGTTGAACTTCGACTGTTGTGATGAGTGTTGTTTTAACTGTTGTTGTGTGGTGTTGTTTTTGTTGTTGTGAAGCTAACTTATATGTTGTGAAATTGGTGTTGACCTTGATAGGTCGAGTTCAGATTTTAGTTGGAATTGTAAACACAATTCCGGAGGCTCTATGGCCTTACTCCAAAAATTAACGGAATTCTTGATGTTATAATTCCGGGGGCCCTAGATGGCCAATATATTCGAAAACCGAATATAAAATTTATTTATTAAAAATAAATTAAAACATTTAAAAAGTATTAGAGAACATAACATAAAATGAATTAAAAATGATTATAAGATCGAGTGGGCGGGGCATCTTTCATCGGTTCTTTTTCGGCCGTGCAAGGCCGTGCCAGTCATTAGCACCAGCCATACCCAAAAGATCAAAATCGCATATAGACGTATATGCGACAACTGGTTCATTACCTAGTTTAGCACAAATAATTATAAAATAAGATTTTTTGGAACAAAAACATATTAGTAATAATTTTTATACCTATTCTTTCCTCATTAATTAATTATAATATTTTGTCGATAACATTTTAACTACTATTTATTTTCTTCTCTATAAATCCCTTCACGTTTACTACAATTTACATCACTTTTAGCCCTTAAACGAAAAATTTTTGAAAAAGGGGAGGGAAATAAAGCTGTTGTAGAACTTGAAGGTTGCTCTTCTCCTTTTTTATCCAAAATTTCTATAAATTTATTTTTATTAGAAATAATTTCAAAAATTATCTCCTTACCTGTTTTTCTCCTTTCTTTTCTTTCATTATTTAATTTATCTGTCTCAATTACATCATCAAAACTTTTACAATTTCTAATTGCTTTAGGGACGGTCAGCTTCTTTAAAAAATTTCAAATCAAACGTTATTTTACTGTCCCCCCCCCCTTGGGTTAATTTCACTAAATTTTTTTCTAAACCTGTTTTTGTTGTTTGTCTGTAGATAGAATTGAACGTAATTTTGCACCAAAATTAATAAGCATTTTCCCATCTGGTGTTAACATATCTGCATTTAATGGGCGGCATGGACTTATGAAAGTTTTTGAACGTTCTCTTCCTTCCATTATTTCTCTATTTTAATTAGAAATATTTGAATTTTTCTTTTAATTAATCATTTGTCTATTAAATACTTAACGGCGTGTAGGCCTAACTTTTTAAGGTGAAACTTCTAAATATTAGTTAACACACTAAAATAATTATTGGAATTTAAAATGTGGGGAATATGGCCAGAATTTAATGTAAAATATTTTGATTTTCTTTTATGGTAAAGGATAACTTAGAGGGAGCGATTGCATCTATTTAATAATGCTTATTGTTAGTTTTTTAAATTTATTACAATTGTTCATTTGCCACATTTACAGACATTCTTCGTTGTATTTCTTCATTTTCTTCTTTGTTATCAGAATTATTGTTGTTAGGCATTTCAGATTTTTAAATATTTTTTTAACATTTAAATTTCATTTTTTGTTTAAACAAAATAATTATTTTAGCTAAATATGTATAGTCTCTGTTATTGATTTTTATAAAAAAATTTGCTTTTATCTAACAAGCAACAAAGAATTAACCTGTCGGCACATAAGGGAATTGACAACTAAACAATAAATATTAAAGGCTTTAACTAATTTATTTTTCTTTTTTTTCTTTTTAATTGTTTTAGTTTTTAACGTTTACTTGCGTCATTGCGCGCTACAATAAGAAAATATTTAAATAATTGTTAGGGGATTAATGGGTGTTTTTTTCTAATTATGGGAAATAAGTGAAGTGTGTTGTTTAAATTGTTAGTTTAAAAGAAAATTTATAGAGGATTCACAATAAATACTCTTCTTATCTCTCGGGGGAATTTTCTTTTTGGGGATTTCTGTAAAAAATCGAGAATTAAGTCTGTTGTCATTTTTTAGTCTATTTTTCTGGACAAATCTTCTAATCTTTTATTTAATTTTATTTATCTGTTCTTTTATTTGTAATCTTTTAAAATTGAAATTTGGGAATGGTAGATATTTTTGGAGGAGGATATTACACATACCCTTGGGAGATATTTTGTGGAATTTTAAGAATTGTTTTTTATTTTAAGAATATTTGAGAAAAGTAAAACTTACAAATATTCTTCAGTCTGACCTTGATATATTTTTTTCTTTTGGTTTAAATAATTATATTGTCATCTTACCCTTATCCTTTTAAAAAATTCATAATAAGATTTGGCTCTCCACAAAAAATTATTTTTTTAAGGTTCGTTCAGACTTTAACAACTCAACAAATGTTTTGTCTACAAGAGGGTCTCTGTTTGCTGTTGATTCTTTACCTCCTTTACATCGTCAGGTATTTTTAAATGTTTAATGAAAATAAATTAATAGATTTTTAACAATGATTAAATTACATTATTGCGTGTCATTTGACTTTTATTTTTGTGATAAAATTTAAAAATGAATGAGTTAAAAATCTGAGAATTTAACAAAAAAAATTCTTAAATTTTTATCCTTTTCCCTTCTTTTTCAGATAATAATTGTTTTAACTCATGCCGAAGCATCTCAACCTTTATCTGTTGCCCACAGTCTTTGTTCTCGTTCTACTTCATTTCCTCAATTAAAGGATTGGTCTCCCTCAACAAATTATTTTCATTCTCAAAATCTTCCTCTTTTGATTGGAGAATCTGTTGGGGTTTTACATGGACCGATGCCTTTATTTGATTAGTTTTAAATTTGAGAAAAGAATTAAACTTAAAAGAATATTTTACTTTTACATGCTTGCCTTTTACTAAATACAGTCGGGCCTGATTGTAAAATAAATTATTTAAATTTATGATACGTCTTTAAAAAATGTTAGGCCATTGGGAGGGGATTGTGGGTATTTTACATTGAGCTTGTCTGTATTTACATTTTAATATTTAAAAATCTTTCTTGTGCAAATTTTCATTTGACCATATTTTTACAATTGTTTTGATTTTTAGATTTTTGATTAAACGTTCCCCAACTATTGACTTTTACAAATATAATTATTCTTTCTGATAGTAATGGAAATTATAAATTTACATTTTTTTGTTTAAATTTAAAAAAGTTTAAACTAATTTAAGGATTTTAGTTTAAAAAAATATTTAAAAATTATTTTGGATTTGCATAATTTACAAAATTTATATATTCTTTCTAGTTTAAACTTTTAATCATTTTCTTTCAAAAATTTTATTTTACAAAGCATATCAACTAAATAAAAGCATTTATTACAAATATTTTTATTTTTTTTTAAATTTATTTTAATTTAATCACTAAAATATTTTACTATTTATTTTTTGCCACATCTTTTTTTCTTTTTACGTTTTCCTCATGGCACTGCTTATCCGAAACAAGCAAACCTACCTATAAAATACATCCAATTTTGTATCCACCTCAATATAGACAATTTTTTCAACCTTAAGGTTATTTCCTGTAGCAAAGTTCGACCTTTAAAATTTTTCAAGTTTTTAAAGGTTTACATGTGATTATCATGTTTTTTAAGCAAAAATTTCAGACTCTAAATAACAAAAGAAATTATTTTTTGATTCTTCTTCCTTCAATAGTTATCCACGTTTTCACACGTTTTTAGTCTCCATTTCCCTCATTTTTCACAAAAATTCGCAAAGACTAAAAAATCTTCTTATAAAATATTTAAATTTAAAGGGTTTTTAAATGTTAATCCACAGCAATATTTTAAAAAGATTCAAGTGTTTTTTGACAATTTCTTTAATTTATTTAATTATTATTTTACTAAATAATTTAACTTCTTCTAATTCAATTAATTTTTCTTCTTCTAAAGGTTTGTTTTTAATTTTTAAATTTTTTTTTTAATTTTATGGGAAAACTTTCAAAAATTCATTTTTTGCTGAAAAAAGTAGTAAATTTATGGTTGCCTGAAATTTACGAATAAAATACAATTTAATTGGAATGGGAGGTCATTGGGTTTTATCTAGTACCGGGCCATAAAATTTACTTCAGTTCTTTTTACAACGGTGAAAAAAAATTTCAGGGGTAAAAGAGTGGAATTCCCCATTCTAGTCAAATTTCAACAAATTTGATTTTTTAGCACCTGTGAGAGTCCAAATTTGATGGGAAATTTGCAAAAGAAAATATTTTGAAAAAAAAATATTTTTAAATTCAAAATAAATTACAAAATATTTTTCAAGGTATGGATATTAAAGAAAATTTAAATTATGGAATAATCATCGATGCTGGTTCAACAGGTTCAAGGCTTTTTCTCTATGAATGGATTTCGAAATCTGATAAACAATTGATTGATATTAAAATTGTTAATGATTTGGAAGGGAAACCTGTGGTGAAGAAAGTAACGCCTGGATTGAGTTCTTTTGCTGAAAAGCCTGGTTTGATTTAATTTTTTTGGAAAATAAAAGGAAATTTATGGGGGAATTTCTTTCCTCTGTATTTAAATAATTTTGGCTAGCCATATGCAGTTTTTAAAAATTTTATAAACCAAACATTCTAAAGATAATAGATAGTCCCAGACGGGTCACCGAACTCTAAAAATATTATTGAACATATTACTTAGATTTACTTTTTCGTTAACTGCAAATTTAGGGAAATTTTTGAGAAACGAAAAGAAGGGGAGGCAAAACATTTAATTACTTAAATTAAATTATTTTAACTAGATGCTGCCCCAGATTATTTATTGCCATTACTTCAATATGCTTCTGAACGTATTCCAATTCATAAACGTCCAAAAACTCCTCTTTTTATTTTTGCAACTGCTGGAATGAGGCTATTGCCTTTAGAGTTTTTTTTTGAATTTTTTAAATTTAAAAATCTTTTATTTTTTTAGAAAACAAAATTCAATTATTTCAAGTTTGAGGAAAAAACTTCCAAAAATTATTGAATTAAAAATTAATCCAGAAAATATTAAAGTTATTACTGGAAAGTGGGGTGGGTAATTTATTTTTTATTTATTTTTACACCTCAAGGTGGAAGTCAAAAAAAAGTTTAAAGTTTTTAAAATTAAAATTTTGAATTTTTAACTTTGAGAAAATAATTTTTAAAAATTTATTTTTATTTTTTAGAAGGTATATATAGCTGGATTGCTGTAAATTATATGCTTGGACGGTTTAATTCAACAACAACAAGTTCTTTATCAATGAATACACAAGTTGGAAATAATATTGAAAATAATTTTAAAATATTAGAGAGGCAAAAAACTGCAGGTAAAAATTGTTTTTAAAAGATTTTTTTGGGGGAACAGAAATGTCGCGGATTGAGTAGAAATCGGATTGGGTTAATGAAATATTCTTTGGATTGAATTTTGGGTCGAGAAAAAGTCCGAGTTTCAAATAACTTGTTGACATCTCTGTTTGGGAATTTAATTAAAAATTAATTTTTAAATTTAAAGGAATGATAGATATGGGGGGAGCATCAACACAAATAGCTTTTGAACTCCCTCTTAATTTAAATGAACAACAAAGTCAAGAAGAAGACGAAAATATTCAAATAATTCAATTAATTTCTTCAACAAAACAATTTTTATTTAAAATTTTTGTAACAACATTTCTTGGGTTTGGAGTAAATGAAGGGGCTAAAAAATATGAAAAATTATTGTGGTCAAAAATTAATAATGGAAGGAATTTGTCTGAAAAGGAAATTATTTTGGATGGGTGTTTACCTAAAGATTTTTTGAAATTAACTTCTATTGAAGATGAGGAGGATGGACAACAATTTATTAGAAAAGTATGTTTATTTTTTAATAAAATTTTTTAAAAAATAATTCCCTTTGGGGAGAAAATTATTTCCAAATTAAATAGAGCCTCTTTTCCCCACCCCCTCAAAGTTTTAACTTTTCTTTGAATTTCCAAAAAATTATCAGAAGATTGATGATTATAGTTTGCCGTACCTCATGGGTATTAGACGCCGAGACTCTTGGTCTCGAGTCTTGATTCCAAGACTTCTTGGATTTTTTTCTCTCTTGAGTCTTGGAAAATTTTCGGTCTTGGACGTCTCTAATGGGTATCTGTATTTTTTGGTATTACGATACAGAATACGGTACAAAATTCCTATCTCTATTGATGATAGTCGTTTCCAATTTTTTATTTTTACTACTTATTATAGCCTAATTTTTAAAAATATTTTAGGGTGATGGACAGTGGGATAATTGTGTTCAAGATATTGCTACTTTAGTATATTTTATATTTTATTTTAATTTCTAAAATTTCTCTTTCAGATTTTTGATAAGCACAAAGAATGCCCAAAAACTAAAAAATGTTTTTTTGGCGGTGTAAAAATCCCTAAAGGAGTTTCTTTATCAGATTTTGAATTATATGGATTTAGTGAATATTGGTTTAGTGTAGATGATGTTCTTTCTTTGGGTGGAATTTATGATCATGATATTTTTGAAGAAAAAGCTAAACAATTTTGTAGGCAAACATGGAGGGAAATTAAGGTTTTTTTAATTTTATAAATTAACAGTTCCTAATTACTCTCGAAATTGTTGTCAACATATATAAAAATTCGGAGATTTCCTGAATACCACCTATCCACTTTTAGAACCGGTTGTGATCGGAATTATTCGTTTAAATTATATTTTAAGTTGTTGTATGAAGCTAAGGAAAGGGTGTTCGAAATTTTGAAAATTTTGTGACCAACTATCCGTAAATCTGTTGTTTTTCTGTCCATAATCATTTTAGTATATTTTTTCTAAAACTATTCTTCTCTTAAAAGAAAAAAGTTCGTGCAAAACAATATCCAAAAGCAGATCGTGACAGAATTGAAACACAATGTTTTAAATCAGCATGGATCCATGCAATTTTACATAATGGGTTTTATGTAGAAGAAAAAAGAAATCATTTTCAAAGTGCTTTCAAAATTAAAGGACAAGAAGTACAATGGGTAATTTTTATTTAAAAATTTATTTTTTAATTTATCCATTTTAAGGCTTTGGGGGCAATGATTTATCAAATGAGAGACTTTCCAGTTAAAGCCAGTGGATCAATGGAATCAAGGTGATTTTAAATAAACCCCCCGGAGAAGACACTTGGATTTGAAAAGAAATTGTATCTTATGTAGAGTGTACCCTAAATAGAAGGTATGGCTTAGGCAGTTCCCCGGCCCAGTGGATAACAAATTTAAAACTATTCCGTAGAATAAGTCTGATTGTAGTAATATTTAACAATTGTCTTTTTTCCAAAATTTAGATCATCTATTCAATTATCAAGTTACACTTGGATTATTCTTTATTTATTTTCTTTTATTATTGTTGTTGCTTTTATTTGGAAAACTTATCAAATTAGGAAGAAACAATTAAATGGAAATTACAGATTATATCGTTATAGAAGGCTAGACAGGCAATTAACTCAAAATATGGCATAATTAAACCCTCAACAATTTAAGAAAAGTTTCTTTAAAATATAATACTTCAATGCGGCAATATAACTTTTTTAAATTTAATTTTAACAACTGCAAAATAATTGACACTTTTTGACTAATCTTTGTTTCCCGGTATTTATTTTCTGACTCATGTTTCATTTTTGATCGAATAAATAGTGGGGGTGACTTATGGGGTGTATCCAAGTTTCTCATAACCTTCTGCTATTGAAATTGGGGTAGTTTAACAATTCAGTTTTTTTACTATATCCATTTTATCTCCCCCCTATGTATAAAACAAACACAACCATTGACAACATAACTCATCTCTGACATAATTTATTTGAAATGTTACTATTTAATTTCCTGTGATATTTTTTACATAAATTAGTATTATTTCTGTCATATTATCTCAAATGTCTAAAATTTATATGTATAAATTTTTTCTGTTAATATTTTATATAAAATACAACAAAAGTCATTAAAAAGTTATTTTCTTTTTTAAATTTTTATTGGAATATCACATTAAAATATTTTTATATAAACTAAAGTGTATTCATTTACAGGCTAAATTTACCTCCCTTTGAATATGTTGCATAAATTCAGCGTATGAATGCGACGAATCAGTCCTATCCTGAATTAGTCTGCTAGCAAAAAGCTCTCTTTGTGGGCTGTCGTTTCTAAAAATTAAAATAAATGCATCGATGGAAAATGCCTGTTTTTAAAATATTTTAAAGTGTTTTAGGTTTGAAAGGGATTGCGGGGTTGTTTTTAGATGGAATTTTAAATTTGTAATTAAATTAGCTTAAATAATTATCCAGACCTTATAACAACTATTGGTGCATATACATTCCATCGCTGATCTTGCAAATGTTGAAGGAAGGCTGTAATTTGTTTACCCTGCGACGTTTCTTCTTCTAATTCAATCTTAAAAATATTTAAAAAATTATTTTAAAAAATGTTGAAAAAATAACAAACATCTTCATCCAACTTTTCAAAACAATTAACGCCAAAAAGACCACTTATTGTTTTAGGGTTAGCGCCAGAACATACATATAAATATACTGATGTTCCTACATCAAGTAAATATATGCCTCCATTTGAGATTTGTTCATAGCTAAAATAAAAATAATTAAAATATTCTTTTAATTCGAACCTGGGCGGTAAGCGTTCTGGATAGATTTGAGCATGGTCATTTTCGATCACCTTGGAATAATATAGACTCAACAATTTTATATAAAAATTATAACAAGTCCTAATTTTTTGTCTGCTTTTCCTTTAAAAAAGCTAATAAAGTTAAGAAATTTACCGGTTGTTCCACAAAATTGTGGATAGAGTACAATGCCGGACAAACTTCCATTAAGAGAACCTCTATCCCAACAGTTTTAAACAGCAAAAGAGAAGCCATTCTTTCATCCATTGAAGCTTTTTGTGCACCAGAAAATGCTCTCTATGTAAAATAATTTTTCTTTAAATATTTAGAAAAATATTTACTTACATGTTTAAGTAATCCAAGTACGTAAATTGGCATGTATTGAAGTCCTCCTTCTGCTGGCATTCTTAATGCACTGCTTGTTTGTCCCAAAATTCGTTGATAACCTGCCAAAGCATCTACGACAGCGTTAATTAATGCTTCTCTACAGTCAGACAAATCAGAACCAGAAAGCGCTCGTTCAGTTGCTAAAAAATTGAAATATTTGAATGTATTTTTCTATTCCAAATGTCTTGTTTTAGGATTTAGCTCTTTCCTTACCCATTTTTGAAAGAAGAGAGATTGTTGTATTTATATCTACAGCAGAATAAACATGCGTTGTGTTTGTCAAAACAGGTAAACTAAGTGTATGAACTCGAATTCTACGATCACCTAAAAAAATTTTTTTTAACTGATAAAATTGTTAGAATTGTTTCAAACCTTTTGTTGAAGTGTAGAGAAGAGCAGCTTGAAAGCAAACATGGCTAGAAGTCAAAGTTTCATCAAGTTTTATTTGTACACCTAAAGCAGAGTCTGGACTGACATTTGGCAGCGATAAAAGATCTGTTGACCGTACAAAGAAATTTCCATAAAAAGAATGCAGAGAAACGCCTATTTAAAAAAATTCAAAAAATTCGTTTCCTCCCAAAAAACCTTTAGAACAACGTATCCTCAACACAGCTTCCAATCCCAATTTTCTTGTGAAATATCTGTGTAAAGTCATTTGAAGACGTTTAATTTCAGCTTGACCTCTCACAAAATGAAATTTTGGAAAGTGATAAACAGTCCCACTACTAAAACGAGAAATGTCTGCTGAAAAATTTGAAAGAAATTTTTTAGTAAAAATTAAAAATTCAACCCAAAGTAGGAAGATCAACATTTCTTTCACCAATCGCAAAAAGGTCAATAGCAATTTGTTTTCCTGTGCATTCCAAAGCAAATGTTCGATAATAATCAACTTGAGGTGTAAATTTTAATTTTGAAGACTAAAAAGGGTTAAAATTATTAAATTTATTTTCTAAAAAATATTAAAAATACCTTAGAATCATCACGTAATTTGAGAGCACCTAGCCCAACATTAGGTAATGATGAAAGCATAACTGTCACACGGCCACCAATTTCTTCCTAAAATTGAAGAAATATAAAGAACTAAAAAAGGAAAAAAACATACTATTAACTCCTTTGTCACAGCCAGAGCAGACCCAAGACAATTTGAAGAAGAAACTCCATGATCAAAAATACCAGGTAGTTTTGAAATAAATTTTTTGATACTCTAAAATAAAAATTAAAAAGTATTTAAAAAATTAACTAACCAATTTAAATTCTTCAAGGGGAACAACTAAACCAGAACAAACTGGAGGAAAACTTTCTAAAAAAATTAATCAATTATCAAAATTTCAAAAACTAATTAATAACCATCAATATCAAATTCAATAATATGTTTAGGTTCCGATGTAGAATCCTCGAACTGAAAGAAATGTAGAGCAGAGTCAAAGCCCATAAAGCCAATAAGTGCATTTTCGTTACCAGGAAATCTATCAATGTCAATTGCCAATTGTTCGGCAAATATATGCAAATAACCACAATCAACAGCATTCGAGCTTACATCAAGTAAGAAAAAGTAGACTGGAGGTTGCGGTTCACGAAGCTAAAAATTGAGAATTTTGGTATGTTATGAAAGAAAATAAGAGAATATAAAACATTTTTTACCCTATATATATACCCAAATATTTTTAAATCAAAGTAAAAAATAAACAAACCATATATTCTGTTGGGGCAATATATTCAATAGTAGTTTCTTGTAATTCTGGTCTTCTCCCTGGATCACCAAATGATTTGGTCTGTGGATCCCACAAGAATTCTTCTGGTACTATAAAAATATTTCTTTAAATTAAAACTTTATTCAAACACTTACAATCATTCGCTCGATAACACAAATTACATTTCCAATGTCTAGAATCCATAATAAAAACATAAGGGTTTATATAAGTCCGGCAATATCGACATCTTGTAATAACTGTATGGATTACTTTCAGGCCCTATAATTTTATTGACTATTTAAGAAATTAAAAGAAGTAAACCTTCATATCTCTAAATGGTTGAATATGCAATCCAAGTGGTAATCTGCATTTGTCCCATAATTCCTGAGTGTCTGGAATGCCAGCGAGAGAACAAGAAAACATTTTATTTTTAATAAAAAAAATTTTCTCTGAAACTAAAAATTTTAAGAACAAAAAATCGGAAAAAGCCGGATCTAACTATAAGAAAGCTCTTTGGATTCGAAAAATATCGTTTAATGAGGTGTATTCTAAATAAGGGATATTACTTGAGCAATTCGTCAAGAAAAGTACTTTAAATCTGGTACTGGAAGTATCGTATAAAAAAAGTGAAAATCAAAAATAATTCAGTTTCTCTCAAAAATTCGTCCCGGCTACGCGACTGAAAATACAAAAATTTCTCAATTTTTTTATGTCAAAGTCCTCGAATCACTAATTTCAGTAAAATACATTAAGAGTAAATAACTCTAAAAATTTCATAAAATTTCAAAACAAGAAACCATTCATTTTAATCAACAAAATAAACAATTTTTAACCATTTCAAAAACAATTCTTTATTCCCCAAATGTCACATATTTAAGCCCTGACTTCTTTCATTCGAGCCTTTTCAATTTTAGCCTGTCTAGCTTGAGAACGTTGGGACATAATTCCACCTCCCCAATTCTTCTTAATTTCATCTCCACGCTCATTAAAGTTGTTAAGAGCAACATCAGCAAGATTCTTTAATGCAACGCGGTCTTCACTGAAAAGTATTTTGAATTAAAAAATATTGGTACCCCAAGAAAAGTATTTTCTAATTAAAACTAACGGATTAACATCGCACAAACAAACAGCTGCGGCAGTCTTTCGATGTACAACAGTCCCGAGGCGTGCCTTCCCTTTAACCAAAACATAAGGTACGCCAAACTTGCGACACAAAGCTGGCAAACAAATAACAATTTCGATTGGATCAACATCATGAGCAATAGCCACCAAACTAGCTTTTTTATTTTCAATTAGCTTAACAACGTCTTTAATGCCAAAGCGAACAGTTGGTGGACGTTTTGTCACGACTTCTTGCTTTCCTTCAACGCGGTCTTGTGCGCGATTGCGAAGACGTTCTTTCTTTGCTTGGCGAGTTTCAGGACTATATTTATCGAGAAGCTTGAAGAGTTGAGCAGCTAATAATAAAGATTACCATAAACGTAAGTAATAAAGTTAAAATAAACCATTTGGCTTGTCCAAAGTATATTTGAATTGATTAATTGGTGGAGGAATCTTTAAACGTTTCTCAAGTACAGCACGTTGTCGCTGAAGACGGACATATTTTGGCCAACGAACAAAACGAGTCAAATCACGTTTAGGCTGAATATCTTGTCCTGTAAAAAAGAAAAAGGGAAATAAATAAAAATTTAAATGAAATACCAATAGCAAAATTTCTTGGTCGTTTTTCAAAAAGCGAAACTTTGGCTGGCTTTTTCGCTTCTGCCTTTTTCATTCCGGCAGGAAGAGCGGCAACCTTCTTTTTTGCTGGCTTCTTAACCTTAATTAAAAGTTTTAATTTTAATCATTTAATTTATTAAACAAACCATTATTTTGTTGTAGAAAGTTTAGACAAATAAGAAAATCTAAATTAAAATATTTAAAGTTACGAAAAATAAAGACAAAAGAAAAATGCCCTATGAGAAGTATAAGGGAAGAAAATATATAAATTCCCAGGGAGTCAGATCTAAAATTTAAACTACAGGCAACAATCTAAATCCTTTCATGGCATTACAGATCTCATGATTAGAAATATCAAGAAATATCAAGGCCAAACCTTCACGTTTAACAAAAAAAATCGATGTGTCGTTTTATCATTTGACATTTTGTATTTTGAAATAAACTTAATTACCGAAATCGAAAGGTTAAATTACGAAATATCAACTAAAAGTAAAATTTATTTTGGCAACATTTCACTAATTTTATTTTTTACGACATTTTTTATCTTTAATTTTAGTTTTGTTGTACTAAACAAATTCTAATCTCATTTAATTATAAAATAACTTCTTTTGTAAATTTAGCAGAACAAATGTTAAATGGTTTGTTTTTTTTTTGTGTGTTAAAATAATTTCTTTCAATATTTTCAGAAAATGGACATCCTTTATGGAGGTCAACACCTCCTAGAAATGGCCAACAAGATGAACAAAAAACAAACGTTCAACCTAGCGGTTCTCCTACCTTTTTACCTACAGAATTTAAAATTGGTGGAAACGCTGGGGCACCTCTCACACGTGCTGAGAATCCTGATGGAAAAAAGGTATCTTATTTGATTTTTGGTCTCATATTTCGTAACATTTTTATTTTTGCTCGTAGTCCTACTTCGTACCAGGTACGAGTGCGAATTTTAGTACGAGCATCTAAGCACTAATGACCAGACCTGCTCACGGATACTGATTTTGGGCGGATATCCGCATGCACTTTGATATTATGTTTCCATATTTGTATCCATGAGCAGGTCTGATTATGACTAGCTTTGTTCTATCTTTTTAGATTTTACTATAATTCTATTCTGAATTTAATTGGGAGGTTATAAATTTTGATTTATTTCTTAAGGTGATCTCGAATGGTTGTTCAAGGATACATCGGATTTTAACGGATGAGGAGAGGTTTCGAGGATGTAAAACACGTTGGACAGAACTCGAAGTTCACGGTTTTTATTCAAAATATTTTTTTATTCTTTTAACTTTTTAGGACGTGTCAAAAACATTTCGTCTGGTTTATTTGAAATGCGCCATTTAACAGCTCTTTTCCTTGGAAATAATCAACTTCAAGTAATACCTTCTGGAATTTCACAACTTTGTAATCTTACTTTGTTGGACCTTTCACACAACAAAATACGAAATCTACCTAAAGAGATTGGAGATATGGTTAGTATTTTTTATTAGCTTTCCTTTTTTGAACAAATTATTTGAATCATAACTTAAAAAAAATATTTTTAAGATTTCTCTCTGCCATCTCTATTTAAATTCAAATCAGTTAAGAGTGTTACCTTATGAACTGGGGAAGTTATTTCGGTTGCAAACTTTTGGTTAGTTTTTATTTTTAAATTCTTTAATATATTTTTTTAGCATTGGCACACAACCCTCTTTCTCCAGAAATCAGCAAAATTTATCAAGATTTAAATGGAGACAAGAAATTATTGCAATATTTATTAGATCATCTTGCTTTAAATATTATTCCGCCTCCAGAACGAAATTGGATTGCAGCTAGAAATATTGATCCGGACAAACCTATTGGTTAGTTTTTCTTATGCAATTTAAAAATAAAATTGAATTTTAGCTACATTTACCATTCTTTGTTACAATGTTTTGTGTGATAAATATGCCACTTCAAATCTCTACTCTTACTGCCCACAATGGGCACTTAATTGGGAGTGCAGAAAACAATACATCCTCAAAGAGATTTTCAATTATAGCGCTGATATAATTACATTACAGGTTTTTTACAATTTAAATGCTAGTAAAAATTATGTTAATTTAAAGGAAGTTGAGACTGAGCAATTCAAAACTTTATTTCAACCAAAGCTGGAGGTGGAAGGATATTCTGGCGTATTTTACCCAAAATCACGGTCAAAAACTATGAATGAAGAAGAAAAAAAGTATGTCGATGGATGTGCAATTTTTTGGAAGAAAGACAAGTTTGTTAAATTTATTATAATTTTATAATGTGAAAACATTCTACGGTAAAAAATTTCTTGTATTAAAAACCTCACAAGAATATATTTTTGATTTTACTTTTTTTCAAGTTTATTTTGGTGTAGTGGTTTCGTTTTGTGTTTAGAAGAGTTTTTAAGCGGGTTCGATCTTTTCGGATTACAAATTATTTTCGCGAACTAGATTCATGTTTCCTAATGTTGTTTTTACATATTTTTTATTAGTTATAAACTAATCTATTTTATTTTAAAGGTTTGAAATGGAAAGAAATCAACCAATTGAATTTACAAAAGTAGCAATTGAAAAAGCACAAGCACATGAAAATATGCTTAATCGAGTAATGCCTCGTGACAATATTGCTTTGGCAGCTGTTTTGCGTATTAAAGACAACCTTTATGGACGTAAGTATTTGTTACTTAAAGCTTTTAATATTTTAATTAGCTCATCGAGTACCTCCTAACACAAATGATAATGTTAGCGGAAGTCTTTTGGTTGTCTGTACAGCACATATTCATTGGGATCCAGAATTTTGTGATGTAAAATTAATTCAGTCAATGATGTTAGTTCACGAATTGCAAAAATTGTTGGATATTGTTGCCGTAAAATATAGTTTAAATGTTCAACAGATTCCTGTTTTGATATGTGGAGATTTTAATTCTTTACCTGATTCTGGTAAAATAAAAAATTTGAAGAAATTCTTAAAATTATTTTTAGGTGTTGTTGAATTTTTAAGTAAAGGAGCAATATCAAAAGATCATCCAGATTTGAAAAGTTTTAGAGAGGAAAGCTGTCTAAGTTGTTTATCATCAGATTTGAAGGATCAAAGAAATTTTACTCATTCACTACGTCTTGATAGCGCTGTTGATACGTTAGTTAAAAAGTGGAGAATTTAAGAATGTATTTAATTTTCTTTTTATTTTCTAGTGCACAGATTCCGTACACCAACTATACGTAAGTTAAAATTATAAAAATTGTACAAGACTACTTATATTTAATATTTTCTCAGGCTTGACTTTAAAGGAACGATAGATTATATATTTGCAACACCGCAGTCTTTGGCACGTCTTGGTACTCTTGGCCCACTTGATTCCACTTGGGTTTCTTTTAAATTTTCCCAATTTTAGTAATTTTTATTTTTAAGGTTCAACAGAACAAGTTTGTTGGTTTTCCTCAACCACATGTGCCTAGCGACCACATTCCAATAATGGCACAATATGCAGTTATTCCGGCATCACACCAAAGATCTCTGCCGCCTATACAGCACTATGGATCGTCACATTCGGGAGGGTTTGGTGCTATTGGAAGATGATGATGCTTACTTTCTTTGGGTATTTTTACTTTTTATTTTCGGGGAATTTAAATAAATCTGCATAATGTTTGTATATTGAGTTCTCTGGCAAATCCAATAACATATAAAAGCAAATATAGGGAAAGAAATGTAAAGGAATTTATAAATATGATCCGAAACTTACAATTAGTTATGATTTTTGGGTAAGTCCTTGGTCCGAATAAACTCAAAACCTACTGGGAGATTTTTCAAGGTCTAAAAATTTTAATGCCCACTCCCCTTCTCTTCATGCTTCGGAATTAAAGGATCTATATTGCAATTTTTGAGTTAATAACTTTTAAAAATGTACTACCAATAAGTATTTTAAATTAAATAATTTTCTAGTGAATGCAACATCACCCTTCAATTTACTACAGTCAAGTATTTACACTTCTCGGCCAAAAAATGTACAAAGGTTTTCTTTGTTCCTCATTTCATCTTTTTATTCACCTCGTGGCTGTCACATATACATCGTCTTCTCCTTTTTTTTAAGTGTAAAATTCCCTTTCTTACCACCTACCCCTCTTATCGTTTAATCAGCTGCCGTATCATCATCATGTTTATTTTTACTTTTATTTTTTTTTAATTCCTATGTTAGTTTATATATTAAATTTAAAAAAGAAAATAGCCACCAATTTATTGTATTTTCAACGAAAAAATTTTGAGAAATTATTTTTTAAGGCTGGGGGCATTTTTTAAATAACTAAAACGACCTTTTTTCTCATTTATATTAATTAATTATTCCTTTTGCTGTGTATATATTTTGCTTGTGATTACAACTATTTCTAATACTAATTTTAATTCTTATCGTAAAAATTTGCACATTTGATATTTTCAGTTTTTTAATTTTGATAGAAAACGGGCTTAAATAAAAAAAATCCTCAAAAGCTAAAAGAAATTGATATTTTATTGTGCATTTTAAAAAAGAAAAAGTGAAAATAGCAAAAATGCCTTTTAAGCGGTCTGTGCAAAACAGGAGCGTAGCCATCCTTTTCACGAATATGTGGGACATATCGGGATATTTCAATGTACGAACGGTTACCCTACTGATTCTGGGACCTACGGACTGGTTCGATAGTACATTGCCCTATTGAAAGAGTACTACCGAATTCGGGTCGGGTAACTGCTCGTATTTTTCTCACACCAATCGCGATATATTCGCACACGAACTTTTCTGGGTTTCAAATGGCTAGGCTCCTGTTACGCCAGTAGAGTTTGTGAGATTATCCTAGAACCTTAAGTAAAAGCGAGTGATGGGATATCTTAATTAATTTGAAATGTTGTGTTGTTAACGTTGTCTTACTCTTCAGCACTTGCAGACGCATCTGAAAATTTACGAAAAATTATTTTATCAAAAGCGATCAAATTTAGTGATCAAAAAATAGCTTTTTTATTTCCGTTTCTGTCAGATAATGACAGAAACGGCACAGCTATTAAAAATTACAATTTTAAAATCGAGCTTGAACTCGAAAAGTCGAATTCAAATTTTGGGGTTAACATATAATGGAAATTACCTGATTAAACTCAGAACGATCGAAACAAGTGTACATATCAGTACAATGGCAATCACTATGATAACCCATGTCTGAAGCTTGAAGCAGCAGTCTAAAAGTTTAACAGAATGAAGGTTATTTTTTTATAAAATTTACCAGTCAAGAGTTGACCACAGCAATCATAGTAGTGAAAGACTGAAATTAAAGAGGTTTATCTATTTACGAAAATAAGAACATTACCAGAGCTGTCATCGCCTAAAAATAAAATTCCTTTTTTAAAAATTAAATTTTAAATTACAGATTTTGCCGACGCAAACCTTGCTGCCAGATTTTGGGCTAAAATCATCTTTATCGATTGCAAAAGAAAGGCTCCAAAGAAATGGTATAAGAAGAACAACCAAAGGCAAAGACGTGTAAGGCATGTTTTGTAAAGGTGTAAGTTTTTTTAGTATCTCTGAAATTTTGATTGAATTTTTAAAGGGGGTTAACTAAAAATTAAAAAATAAATTAAATTATGATCACAAAACTCTTTAAAATATTTAAAATGAATGTTAAAAACGCTTATTGGGCAATTAAAAATAAAAAAGCGGAGGAGGGGCTTTGCTTTGGCGTGTGATATTTTACAGAGAATTAAACGAAGAGAATTAGCACAGTCAATTTTATTTAAATAAAAAACAGTTTGCTGTTTTCACAACTGATTTGAATATAAAGTTAAAAGAAATGATTCATGTTAGTTGGGGGGCTTGTTGTTAAAGTGTTTTTATGTAGATTTTGAGAAAAAACATTGGTTAGTAGAGGTTTAAAATTGATAGGTCAATTTGAATTTCAAAGGTTAAGGTTTGTTTAACCACTTTATTTGTCACTTTCTGATATTAGAGTTCGAACTTTTCAGTTTTTTGTTTCTAGAGTTTGTAGTCTGATCTACTCAGATGGATCAAGGCCAAAAATGTAATAGTTGTCCAGGGCTGCGCGGTTGCCAAAAATGTATACTTCTATCTGTTCTCCTCATTTTACGTTATCTCCTCCATTTGTTTTCCTTCATTTGAGTCTGACTTTAAGAATATTTTTCACAAAGAGTAAATGGGCTTCATAAAAAATAATCTAAAAAACAATTAAAACAAATTTCAGATTATTTATGTTATGTAAATCTTTTTTATTTAATTTATTTAAACAACAATTATTAACTAAAAACCAAAAATGTTGTTCAAGATTAATGTCATATTATCCAGTAAATGACCAAGTTTTTGGTTTAAATGAAGAACAGAGACAAGTTTGTTTTTATTTGTTTTATTTTTTAATTTTTTTAGTTGAGGGAAACAGTCTCAAAAATTTCTCAAAAAGAGTTGGCACCTTTTGCTAGTGAAATTGATAAAATGAATGGATGGGATAAATTGAGGGATTTTTGGAACATTTTGGGACAGAACGGACTTTTGGGGATTACTGTTCCAGCAGAATATGGAGGTTCTGATTTGGGGTATATGGAACACGTTATTGTTATGGAGGTTTGTCTTTAATATTTTAAATGGAGATTCGAGCCTCATTTTATCGAACCGGGCCGTTCGAATCTTTTTCGGGCCAAAATTCGATGCCCGGTTCGATCTACCGAAACGGGCCGGCAGCCCTAAATTTGAAATTCTTTTGAACCAGGGAAGCAGTCAAGGGGATAGAGGCTGCAAAACAGTTGTCATTTCAATATTTTTTTTTAAATTTTATATCCACAAATGCAACACTCTTCCAAAATTATTTCTAAAATAATTTTTATTTTTTTTGCAATTTTAAGGAGCTTTCCCGTGCTTGTGGCGCAATAGCCTTAAGTTATGGTGCCCACTCTAATTTGTGTGTTAATCAAATTCGTAGACATGGTTCTAATGAACAAAAGTCTAAATATTTACCTCCTTTATGTTCTGGCGAATGGATTGGGGCCTTGGCAATGAGTGAACATGGAGCTGGTTCTGATATAGTTTCTATGGTTTTTTTTAATTTAAAAAATTAAATTTATTTTTTAAATATTCTTTAAAGTTTTAGAAATTAACGGCACGCAAAACTGGCGATGGAAAATATTTTTTGTTAAATGGGTCAAAAATGTGGATTACTAATGGACCTGATGCTGATGTTTTGGTTGTTTATGCTAAGGTGGGGGAAAGGGAATTTTTTAAATTTATATTAGTACGAGCGGTAAGGGGCCGCTGCGCGGCCCCTTACCGCTCTTTATAAGTTTTCAAAGTTGTAATTTATTTGCTGCAAAGTGCATGAAAAGAACAAACGATTTTATTGCTCTGTTTAGAGCTTATCTTATGTTTAAAAGGGGTTCGCGTGTAAACAATGTATTTTGAGAACCTAGGGGTTTTGAGGGGAGGAGGTTTCACAAATTTGGATATAGTATAGTATACCGGTGGAAAGGATTCGATATAAGACCCATACCATTCTTTTCGTCTCAGCGTGCAAAGACGAACGTCTTTTTTCCGGTGATGCCTGTGGACCGAGATATAGGTCTCCGAAAATCGGAAAACCATAGTGGGGATAAGCACAATTTTGGGGTGAAAAATTCGATTTTTTGAATGATAGCTCATTCGTAAGAGATTTTCGAGCTGAATCGAATGACACCAAAATCAGCTCGAGATCTTAATTCTGAGCCAAGATAAAGAGGCTCAAAATGGTCAACGTGTACTTATGGGCGTCGGCGAGGCGCTTGTGCAAAACCCCGCGCTTCGCGCAGGGTTTTGCGGCACGCGCCTCGCAGGGAGTCTACGGTCGCTGGGTTCTGGGCTCGTAACTTAATCCTATTTCTTTTTACCTATTCTCAGCTTTGAATGCCGACCTACCCTCAGTAGCAACACAAAAACTTTTATTAAAGGAATGTTAAGTTGTTCATAATTTTGTTCAGAATCATCTTATCGTGCTGATTTTGATGTCATTTAACTCAACCCGTCGAGCTCTTTTAAATGAGCTATCATTTGTACTATTGAATTTTTTATCCAAAATTCGCCTCTCTAGTTGTTTGGATTTGTGGATTTTATTGTCTAATTTTATTTATCCATCCCTTTTTTCTTTGATCAAGACATTTAATATGCTTGCTGTCTTGGTAGTTTTATCTGCCTTGATAGTTTTACTCTGCCTTTATAGTTTAATAAGATCAAGAAGGCTTTATGGATATATTAGGAAGAATCCCCTGATATCCTTCGTTATCTTTTGTTTTCTCTATAAGTCCTATTATTCACTCCAAATCCCTAAATATCCACGATATCAATATGCCCGGAAATTTTATAACACAAAAACGATATGGCACTCGTTGTTATTCTGTGATTCTTGGTTGAAAAGGTTGCAAGAAAATGATAGACATTTGATTCGCCTGTGTTTTGCATTTTTCCCGTTTCCCTCCAAAACAACAGATATTTTTCTTAACTCTTAAATTAGGATAAAAGACGATTTGTAGGGATCAAAAACGTTTGCATGGGGTTGAACGGGTATCAAAAATTAAGAAGCATATATCCAAATTTGACCAAATATTTGATGTAATTTGTTTCTGTACAAACTCAAAAACTACTTTCCTTACTTCGTAATTTAATATTTTAGAAAAGCTGCTGGACTATAGCTATTTCTCTTTTTTGCTAGCGAAAAGGTTTTTCGGCGGCTGGGAGTGACATTTGGTTTCTACCTCGACATTTGGTTTCTACCTTGTACCCCCAATATCTTGATCTTCCTCTTAGTTGCTTGAATCCCTTGTGATCCCTTTTAATCCCCGAATACGTTGTTAGCCCTTAGTATCAACGAATTCCTTGATCTTTCTGTTTATACATAGAAATCTCTCCGTTACACCCTATATTAATGCCGTTCTGTTTATTCCTTCGGAACTCTTGTGTTCCCTATTAACCTACAACACCCTTGTTCTATCTGATTATATACAAATTTCTTGCTATCTCTATTTTGCCAAGAAATCCCCTGTTGTTTTTGCTAATCCTCTTTTATCTTGTTTTCCATTTTGAGTTTTTCCTTTTACTTGCTCTCACTTCTCCCTTTTTCCCCTCAAAATCCCCTCCTAATTTTGTTTTTCGCAAAAACAGATTTATGTGAATGCCTTAATATCTGATGATTTCTGTAGATACCTTTTTGAAACAAAATCGAATCTTTAATAGAATTGGCAATAACATTATCCTAAACTAAATACGGTAGAAATATGGTAAACAATTAAAATCAGAACAAAATTAAAAGGTAAAAACAAATTAAAACAAACAAACATCAGAAAAAACTTCTCAAAAAACTTCTCAAAAACAGAACAAAAGCAGACAATAAAACGAAAATTTCTGCGCGTTCATAAAAATTTAATTAATCATTTTCTTGAGATTAAGGAGATTCAAAAGCTATCTGTAAATCCAAAATCTGACAGTTTGTAAAATTTTTGTTTTTTCTTTTCAAAAAATTTGTATTTCTTAAAATACAGTTTTTTTGAAAATAGAAAAGAACACAAAACCGGTCCGCTTTTGTTCAAGAACTTAACTTTTGTTCTAATTCCTAACAAATTTAAATTATCACAAAACCATAAAAATGCGGAGAGGTCAAACTTTCGGTGTTTACTGATAAAACTATTTAACATGGTTTAATAAAGATAAATAGTTTGTAAAAAATGAATTATTGAAAAATAATTTTGCGATAATAAATCTATAACTGTTTAACAACCGCCGCTTACTACCCAAGTCGCCAGCTATTTATCTTTTTTCTCCCCTTAAATCCACTGTATTTGGGTCTGGAAATTGTGCTAACTTAAAAGGTGCTCTATTAAAGTTTCATAGTTGCGATATAATGGCTGCGTTTTATTTACAAAAATAAGTGTGTGCGATTATATGGCACACGGCCGGTAATGCTGCGATTAAATGGCGGACGGCTGGTTGTTTATTGTTTACAGTTAAATTTCAAGCAAAAATTGGAGAAAAACAACTTTCTTTGTGAAAAAGTGCTAAGAGAACATTTACGCGGCTGTGTTAGAGAATTTTATTCTCTTTATTTTTCTCTTTTATTTTTAAAGTCTTTTGTTTATTTTTCTCTAAGTTAACATTAAAAAATTTTCGCTTTAATAAAAATTCACTTTTTAAGAATGAAAATTTGTAAACAAAAAGTATTAACTTAGTATAGTTAATAATTGTCGGTGTGTTTTTATATTTAAAAAGTCCTTTAGGGATAATTTGAACTTGCCTAGCTAAATGATTGTGGTGTAGTGGTAATGTGTTTGCTATTTTACATTTCTATAGAGGTTCGATTCCTCCTGCCCTATAATTTTTTATATACTCATTTTACTTTTTAAATTATATTTACTTTCTCCTTTTAAAGACATTTTCGGGAATATTTAATTATTTTACCGTAATTTTTTATTAAATTAACATATTTTGTTATTCCGTTAAAAGCTTTTTGATTAAATCCATTTTCTGTTTGTTTTTTATATATCCTGATACCTTTTAATATTTTTTAAAAGTCCTTTCAGTTACTTCGTGCATAATTCAAATAAAACGGAAAATAATTAGAGAATAATTCTATTAAATATGTATTTTTTGTTTTTACATTACAACATCATTATAAGATATAGAATTTTTAAGCCTCGAGAATTTCTTTTTAAATTAATGTTTTACATAAGATAAATAAAATTAAAATATAATTTTTTATTTTTAGACAAACCCAGAAAAACATCAACACGGCATTAGTGCTTTTATTATTCAAAGAGATTTTCCTGGGTTTTCGACGGGTAAAAAACTTGATAAACTTGGAATGCGGGGATCTAATACTTGTGAATTAATTTTTGATAATTGTGAAGTACCTGGTGAGTTAATTTTTAAGAATAAAATGGGGGGAAGTGTGAAGGGATGACTATTCTCGATTTTTTCTTATAATCAAATTTCTTAGAAAAATATTTTCTGATTTATAGTAGAATATTTCCCAAAACAAAAAATCCAATTCACTTTTTTTTGAAAATTTCCTTATTTTTTAATAATTTTTTTAACATTTTTAATCTTTTAAATTTTTTAGTAGAAAATGTCCTTGGAATTGAAGATAAAGGTGTTTATGTATTAATGTCTGGTTTAGATTCTGAACGTTTAGTCTTATCAGCTGGACCTTTGGGGTAATAATAACAAAAAAATAAACAATTTTACTTTTTCTTTTTTGTAGATTAATGCAATCTGCTTGTGATGTTGCTTTTGAATATGCCCATTCTAGAATGGCTTTTAGCAGTCCTATTGGGACTTTCCAAGTAAAAAATAAAAAATTTTTACTTTATTTTTTTAAAGTTAATGCAAGGTAAATTGGCAGATATGTATGTTAGATTAAATGCTTGTCGAGCTTATTTATATACAATAGCTAGAAATGCTACTGATAAAACATTGATGGCTAAGGACTCTGCCGGGGTAATTTTTAGTTTCGAAAAAGAAAACTTATTTAATTTTATTTCCTAATAGAGGGTGATGCAGATTTTCTTTTGTCTAAATCCTCTTTTTTATTTTTTAGGGTTGAATCCTTTTCGTTTTTAATCCCAGGACTATTCTATTATAATTGTGTAGGAAATCTATAGTTCAATCCAAAATACTCTTCACTAGATTGGTGAAGTATCGTAGGGCTGGAATTGTTTAAATTGAAGTTCTGCTCATCGAGTATCATATTACGAAGTTTTAACGATGTTTACTCGGCTTTCTTTAACTTGTACTTCTTAAAATTTATACACCAGTCTTCTTATTAAAAATTCTTGTTTAAATTTTTCAAAAATTATTTTTTCAGGTAATTTTATATTTGGCAGAAAATGCAACCCAAACATGTTTGGATGCAATTCAAGTTTTGGGGGGTAATGGATATATTAATGATTATTCAACTGGGAGGTTACTTAGAGACGCAAAATTGTATGAAATTGGGGCTGGAACTTCGGAAGTTAGAAGATTAGTTATTGGGAGAGCTTTAAATAAAGAATATATTAAATGAATGTTTTTGTATGTGTAATTTTTTGTAAATCAGCCTATACATAGTTTCCCCTCCCATTATATTTTGGAAATCACGCTATTTTTTCAATATAATTTTATATCGAATACCGGGAACATGAGATTGTAAAAATAAAGCGTGACGAGGGAATATTTTCGCAAATGTTAAATTAATTCTAAATTCTATTCATACATAGGCTGGATTTGCTTTTGATTTTAAATTTATTTTAATGAAAAATTCTGTGTTATTTTTTAAAGGTGATATATTAAATTGTTTAAATAAGGAAGAAAAACATTAAAGCAGACTCTGTAGTAAACTGAATTTCCCATCAAATAAATGTCTAACACATTTTATTCTGTTACCTTCTCAGAATCTTGTTTTTTACAAAATCCTTTTTTATAGGTGAACAGATATATATTTATATAAATTCAAAAAATTTTGAGATAAAAATATTTTTCTTTTCTTTTAAATCATCCTTTGTTTAATTTATTCATTAAATTCTTTTTCTTCATTTCCTTTCCAACTTCTTCCAAATCGAATTAAGGGAGCATTATTTAAACGTCTTCCAAAACGAATTAAAGGTGCGCTGTTAGGTGAACGTTTTTGTTGGAAATTATTTTCTTCATTTTCTTTATCTAATCTTTCAATTAATTCTTCCCAATTTGAACGCTTTCCGAATCGAATAATTGGAGCTGTTGGCGCTCTTTTCATATAAGACCAAGGTTGATAGGAAATGAACGGAGACATTCGTTTTCCACCTTTTAAATATTTTTTTGATTGGGATATGGAAAATTCACAAAAAATGAATGGCTTTAAATTACCCTAAATCCCCAACTACTATATAAATTGGTTGATAATATTCACAACTTTTTCCCATCATTCTTAAATAATTCAAAAAAAGATCTTGAAATCTCTGTCAGTCATTTTTGAACTTGGCAGCCAAAGGTTAAAAATATTTTTGATTCTACTTAGTTTTATGGTTATTAAATAAGTTTTCGGCAGGGATTGGGGAACCTTTATGTTTAAACCGAATAATGTAAGTTATTTCGAGAAGTTACTGATTTAAGATTTCCTTCAATATTTGGGGGGTAATTATTAAATAAAGAAGTGAAATACTCTCCCTTACTTTGCATTTCTGATGAAGTTAATTCTTTAGAATCATAAATTCCTTTGTGAGGTGGAAGTGCTGCTGCTACAATAAACAAAAGAGAATGTAATGCCAAAGCTGTTAGTAATGTTTGTGTACTGTAAATGTAGTGAGGGGGAGGGAAAGGGAAAAGAATATTAAATAATTGTCTCATCTTTTTCCTTAAATCTTTAAATTATGTAAATTATTTTTATTATGTCAAGAGGATTTGTTAAAGAATTATAATTAACATTTACTTATATTGTATTTCCGGATAACCCCAAATTTTTAATGAAACGGAAAAACCCCAACCCCTCAGGGCCCGTAGAATAAATTCAGGGTTGGATAACCCGGTTAAATAACCCGGTTAAACAACCCGGGGGCAAATAACCCTTAGCTACGGGTTAAAATCGGTAGAATAAATTCAACCCAGAGTTAAGGGTTATTTAACACCGAGCTAAGGGTTATTTAACTAGTTGAGTTACTGGGTTATTTGACCCTTTATACACTGCGGTGCAAAAGTTTATGCACACTTGATAAAAAAACTTGGGAAGTCTTTAAGTTTTAAGTCTATTTCTACTCAATATCAGTGAAAATGTTCATAAAAAATATTTTTGCTTTTTTCGGCATTTATTTTTCTAGAAATCCAATTTTCGTAAAGTGTGCGTGCATAAACTTTTGCACCATAAAAATGTACACTTTTTTTAATTTGAAAAAGATTGTCACTTTATTAATACTATCGATAAAAATTTGGATTTATTACAAAGAGCATGTCAAATCTATCAAACAAAAAAGAAATGGACTTCTAACTTTGTTTCAAAAATTTTTGTTAAAAAATTTCTGTTAAAAAATTTTGTTTGGAAATTATGCATATTCGCATGTTACCCTGCCCCCTAGTAGGGTTGCAATTTGCCCCTTACCTGCGGGTTATTCAACCCGGGTAATTAATTTATTCTACCGGTAATGTTACGCGGGTCAGATAACCGGGTAATCTGACCCGGTCATTTAACCCGAAGCTAGGGGTTTGAATTTATTCTGCGGGTTACGGGTTATTTAACCCCGAGGTAGGGGTTAACTACCCTTTACCCCGAATTTATTCTACGGGCCCAGGAGGGTCGAGGATTGAGGAGGGAGCATGTCATAGATTTAGATTTCTGGTACGGAGAGTCTTGGGAATATTAATTTCCGGATAACCCCAAATTTTTTAAATCAGCGAGTAGGCGAAAATTTTAAGAGAATTTATTATCGAAGAAACGATTATAATCCCGGCCTCATTATTTACAAGGTACATCTATGGGACTAAAAATGAATAATTGAGTAATTGGGTGAATAATATAATAAGGGTAAAAACTTTGTTATGTTTAAGTGAAGGGAAGGAGACAATTAATGATTGACTAGGTATTTAGTGATTTGAATTAAAGATTCCCCACATCTTTCCTACAATAAATTCCTTGAATAATTATCAGATATAATTATTGAGGAATAAATTTAAAAACAAAAATTCTGACAATTTCTACTAAATTTTATTTTTAAGCATTTTCATTTAAATAATTGCTTTTATAATTAACAAACACAAAAAGAGAATTAAATTGAAAGATTTTTAAATGAAAGGCGGAACCTTTATAAAATAAAATTGTATTTTCTTTCCAAGTAAAAAAATTTTTCTCTTAATTTTTTCAATTCCAAAAATTAGTCCATCTCCTTTTCTTTAAAAAATAGTAAAAATGTGTGGGTGATAAAGAAGAAATTAAAAAACAATTGTCACGTCAAAATGAAAACAAAAGCTTTCTTTTTGCATATTTACAAAAGGAATGTTAATTTACAAAATGAGAAAGGAGAAGAGGGAAGAGAAAGAGAAGATGACGTTTTAAGTCCTTTTCCAAAATAACAATAAAACAATTAATTAATTGACCCTTAATAGAAAAGCGCAAGAAGCTTTTTACAAAAAAATGAATATGAACATAATTTTTTTGCTAGAAATGTAAAGAGGAAAGAAAAATTACGTAAAATTACGTTTTCTGGGGTGAGGGGCAACTCAAGGAATACTAAGTAAAGGAAAAGACAAGTCAAAAAAACGACCAAATCATGGAATATTCTAAAAATATTTTTAAAAATCAGAATTTTTTAAAAATTATTATTCTTAAAAATATTATTATTTTTCAAAAAATTCCAATTTAAAAATATTCCTTGTTTTGGTCGTTCCTTGATTTGTCTGTTCCTTGAGTTAGCCCGAAACGGTTTTCTGATTTTTCTAAAAAATATTGAAATTATTATTAATTTTTATTTAGCAATAAACCCTCACTATATGATTACACCCTCGAGATTGAAAAATTGTATCCTATAATAAGATACAATTTAAATCTCAAATAGGAGGAACTAAAGTTAAAAAATGAGGGTGTATCTAGCAGGGATGTTTCTTCCATATTTAAAAATTGATAGCAGGGATGATCTAGTAGGGATGGGCAGGATTACCCAAAATCAGGATCCTAAACTGGATTCAAAGAAAAATTTGAAAATCCCGACCCAACCTTTTTTCTCATCATCCCCGCCTCCTAGTTTTGAATAAATAATTTCCGAAGACGTAGTCCCCTCTACAAAATAAAACAATTTTCTGCACCGACCCTTTAGAAAAATTTAAAAAGAAATTAAAGTTTAAATTAAAATTTTGTGAAATTAAAAAATATTTGCTTAAAAAAGTTTCTTTATTCTCACGAAGCTATAGTTTGAGACAAATCTCAAACTATAGCGGACGGTTGTGAATAAAAATATTGTCCTCTACGGATAAAATGAAAATTTAAAGAATTGGCTTTTCGCGCCTATAAAGGCTTTTTTATTTGCGCTGCCGAAACTCGAGACTTGATAGAAATAAAAAAAAAGAGGAAATGATGAAAGAAGAGAAGAGGGGGAAGGGGGGGGGGGGGAATGTGTTGCCTATATACTTTCTTCCTTCATTGGCCTCCAAAATTCATTACTTTCTTAAATGAAGAAGAGTTGGGGGGATAAAAGGGAATATAAAAAATGTAAATTATTGTGGAGAATAAATAAAATAAACATCATAAAATGACAATTTTTAACTTAAATATTTTCATTATTAAATACAAATTTACGTTTTTTTCGTACAAATATTCATAATTTAAACGCTTTTAATAAAATTGGCAAATTTTAAAAGGTAAACATAAAAACTAAATAGTAACTGAAAAGTGGGGGACCTACAGGATTTTTAAAGCAAAAGATTTAACAAAAAATTTAACAGAAAATTCTTCCGTAATAGAACCAGTATTTGATTCAAAATTTATCAACTAATAGAAACTCCTAAAAACCGAGTTAGGAGTTCTAATAAAAAATTTTTATTTTAACATTTTTGTAAACATTCACTCTCGATATACAAACTTGAAAATAAATAAGAAAAGGTTCATGTGAATTGTTGTTTATATTTAATGGCTATTTTCCCCACACCCATTTTGCTTTCGAAATTTAATAGTAAATTTAAAACTTGTTAGTTGAACAAGATATTTGATACATTTAAATTAATTACCGTAAATGCTCTAATAGAACCACATGTGCTTCTATTTTTCGATCCCCTCGTAGGGCGTGCTTATATTAGGGAGTGTGCTTCAAATAGGGAGTGTGCTTTTATTTTTCGATCTATTTTTAATTTTTTAATGAAAATTTTTACCTCACATAAATTAATATTATATAATTTTGGAGCCCAGAAATCCATTGATAACCTCACATGAACAAAACAAAAATTAAATTTCACTCATTTTAATAAAACCTTTCTAAATAACTAAATTTTTTCCTTCGAAAATTTTCAAAACTTTCGCCTTTCGTGCTGAAAGAAGCAAGCCCTGATCTAAATCATTCAGCCTATAAATTCATTAATTATTTTTATCTCATCAAACCGCCATGATATCCCACCTTATGCTAACAAATCTCCCAATTTCACTCTTAATCTACAAAATCCCCTGATACCTTCTAATGCGCCAAATCACCAATATCTCTCTTAATCACTCAAAATCTTTAGAGAGTATCGGATTTTAAGGGTATCGGATTTCTGTCTATCAGTTTTGTGTATCGGTTTTTGGGTATATCTCCCTTAATCCTTTTCATATGACCTAAATACAAATGAAAAATGATGATCTGCTTTTTTACTGCCAATACACTAGGGGTGTGCTTATATTAGGGAGTGTGCTTCAAATAGGGAGTGTGCTTTTATTTTTCGATCCTCTCCTAGGGTGTGCTTATATTAGGGAGTGTGCTTCAAATAGGGAGTGTGGTTCAATTAGAGCATTTACGGTAGGTACATTTAGAGTCGACTGTATTATATTTAAAAAATTTTTTAAGAGGAAATGCTTTTTTATAAAAGAATTATTTATAATTAATTTATTAAATATATTTATTTATATTTATTTTCTTATTTTTCAATCACATTTGCTGCCAATGTTGAGATATTTGTTGTTGTTGGTGATGTTGACTAACAACTGGAATTGATGTTGAAGTTGGCAACATTTGAATTTGTTGTTGATTAATTAATTGATTTGAAGTAATTATTGGCTGTTGCTGTTGATTTGGAATTGTTGACGAAGAGGAAGAAGAAGTCACCCCAACAACTTGCTGAACAGCATTATCATATACACCCAAAACATCTCGAATAGCCAAATCAACTGCTGCCAAAGAATTTAATTGCTAAAAATAAAATAAGGGAAAATAAAAATATTTTTGGAATAATTAAATTATTTTGTACTCTCTTTCCCAAAAGTAATGCTAATTTTTATTCATACCATTTTCTAATAAAGGTCTAGACTTAAAAATAAATTCTAATAAATGTCAAAAATAAATATCTATATTTATTTTAAAATTAAATTACTTAGGTTGTGTCATAAATAATTAGCCCCCCTTAAATCATTAAAGTTTGAAAATGTATATCTCAATGTTCAGATCTCCAATCTATTTAATTTTTTTGTCATATATTCACAATGATGCCTTCTTCATTTTCTGAATGATTTGAAATTTTTTCTTTATTTAAAAATTTTTTATGAATTTTTAAAGTTTAAGGCAAATTTATGAAATTAGCGTCCAGTTCAAATATGAGATTGAACTTGGACATTCGGAAAAGGAATCATGGCGCAAAATATGCATAGCGAAGAATGAGGATGTTATCTCCTATTCCACAGAAAAAAGTTGGGTCTCCAAATAAAAAAAAGGTAGAGAGGAGCTGAAAGACAAATAACGTCTTGGATGCCAACCAACGATAGATAAGAATGCCGTTCTCCCTTGAATCAAAGCCAATCCAAAAAATAAAATGTGTATATTGGGGCAGGCACTAACCTGCTCACTTGCAAAAATTATCATAATTTTACTTATAGCGGGAAACAAGTTATGAAGGGTCAATTGATACCCCATGAATTGCCGCAAAATTAAAAAAATCGCTAAGTCACTTTTGCAAAACAACCCCTTAAACGCCATAATGAAGCCCCTTGTTTGATACAAATTTTAACCTATAATAAAGAGTGGGTTGCCTTCATAAATTCTGTAAACAAAAAGGAACGGCTCATCCCAGATAACCATCAGTTTCGACCTCTAAATCAGACTGGTCCTACAGCGTGATCTGATATGTATTTGATGGTGTTGCGGAGGTGTAATCATTGGAAATTAGATGAAACTGGCTGAACTATTACCCCCAAATAGTATTGTTCCTAAATAAATCGAGTCCATCAAAAAATCCGGTCTTCTGGCCTATCTGGGCATTTTCGCGCGAGGGTTATCCTAAAACAGAGTAATGTAGCCCCTATTTCGCAAATGCGACCCTCTAGAAAATCAGCCAGTTATTTTCCAGGGGAATTTTTTATATCATTGTATTCATCAGATTCTGCTCTATCAGAATCTATTTAAATTTTCATTCTTACTCATCAATTTTGCAGAGAAAAATCAAAAAGAAGTTGCCTTGTTCCAAAAATACAAGTTTTAGTATTTCACCTCTAACTCCGGCCAATTTAATCCTAGGGATCTAATTTTTTGCCAGAAAATAGGCAACTCTCTTACGATCATAGAAATATATAATTCGAAGTCTGAAAACATTTAGTTGAATTTTAATAATTATTTAAGTTGTTTAGCACAAGGGGGGCTAATTATTTATGACACACCCTAATAAACAAAAGCTTAGATTCTCTATAAACATTTTAAACACCCCCCCTCCCCCAATAATTATTTTACTAAAGAGTACACATAAATATTTTATATTTCCTTAAAAATTGTTGCTCTTTTTCTTATTTTAAATAAAATTGCCTCAATTTTCTTTTCCTTTTTTATTCACTTATTTAAAATTAAAAATTAATTTAGAGTTACAAGAATTTTTAAAATTTAATCAATTAGATATTTTTCCGTTATCCAATTTACCCAGTTTCTTCTTTAGAAAAATACAAATGATTAAGTGGAGTTACGGGAAAAATTATATACTTTAAAAACTATTTTCTTTAGTTTCCCATTTGTAATTTTTAAAGAAAATAAAAGCGAGGGAAGAAAAGAAAACTCAAAAACCCCAGGTTGTTGGAGGGACTTTAAAAAAAATTTAAAAAACCTTATCAATTTTCATAAGTTTTTGGTCAATTAAAGGTGCTTGAGCCATCGCTTTATTTTCAAGAAGAGCAAGTTCAGGAGGATCAGAAGAAGCATCTAATGACGGATCCAAATCTTCAATTAATTCAATACATTTAAGCAAAATATTTTCGTCAATTTGGACTTTCATTGTTGCCGTAGAAGTGTTTAATTCCTCAATATTTTCATTTGAATCTTTTGCTACTGGCAAATTTGGTTGTTCTTTATTAGTTAAGTCTGTAGTTACAAAACTAGCCGGGAAAAGGCCATTAACACCTCGACAATTTACACCTCTCCACCAATTTTGATCACTAAAAAATAGGAAAAAATAATTAATTGTGTAAGTGCAAAGGTAAAAAAAGAATGCAAAAATTATTCATCTTTTTTTTTTACTTTGTCAAGCAGAAAAGGAAACTAGTGCTAGACAGAAGTGAGTCTCCAATTCTCAAGTTTCGATTTACGACTCAACGAATTTCTGAAACCTCCAGTTGACCCGATCAAGCTAAAACAACGTTCGAAGGAAAATAGTATTGAAGAAAATCAGGTCAACCAAAAAACACCGAGAATAATTTCAGATTCTCTCAACAATTTAAAATAAAAACTAAAAAACCAACCTATCATCGCAAACAGTAATCATCTCTCCAGTAGTAAAACTAATTTCATTATCCTCGGCAGCTTCAAAATCGTAAAGAGCACGGGCTTGTTTAGCGGCAACTGGAGGTGGTTGATGTCCAGACGAATTTGGAAAGTTAACATTTGAACTTTGAAAAAGTAAATAAAATTTAATTATTTTTATTAATTATACTTAAAATCAGAAGAAGAAAGTGCCGGATAAGAATTATTTGCTTTAGTTGAATTTTGTTGTTTATTACCACCACTTTCTTGAAGAGACAAAGCAATTGCTGAAAAAATTAAATTTTAAGATAATTTACAAAAGGGCCGTGGAAGTAACAATAACTAAAAATTGCAGCAAATTTTAAAGAATATTCCAAAATTAAAGGCATTTAAACCAATTTTGGACCAATCTCCCTAGCTCGATGAGAGGAATCGTTTAATACTAAATTTGTTAAGATTCCGAAATCTCGAAGTTATGGCTTTGCGCCGCTATGGTCGCGCGCCATTTTGGGCGTATCCCGTATTTTCGTTAACAAAAAAATTTGACGAGTTTATTCAACAAAAAATCAACCTCTAGCAATATCTGCCTGTTCCTGATCACTACTCACAACATTTGGATCATTACTAATTATTGGCGCTTTTTTAGTTAAAGTTGGATCGTTATCAAAACTTAGGCCTAAAAAATTAAATTAACAATTATTTAAAAAATTTAAAAATTCTTATCTTGCTCCAAAAGATCTTTATAAAGACTTTCGATCATTGAAAGAGAACTGTCCTTGCTACACTCATTTTCAACCCATTTTTTGACCAAAATCCGCGCCTTTTCGGCTACAACTCGGTTACTCTGAAATTTTATAAAATTAGAAAAGAATATCAGACAAAAAATAAATTGCCCTAACCCCATAGTTTGTTAAAACTATTCAAAATAACAAAATTCAAAGAGGTCCATAAAACATGGAAGTAGGGTTGGGGGCCCGGTCCGTTCCGAAAGATCGAGTCGGGCATCAGATTTTGGCCCAAAAAAGACTCGGTCGGACCGGCCCGATAAAAATAAAACCCGAAAAAAATGACTCGGACGTCGGCCCGACTCGAAAAACCAACCATACATTAATTTTCACCCTTGAGGGCGGCAAGAGCTACCAAGAACGGGGACTTAAATTGCGTGATTTGACATAACAACAATTATTTAAAGCAGAAAACTGTGTATTATTCGAGAAGTTTAAACGGAAATTACACAACAAACTCTTTATGTACTTCTTCTTTATATGGACTATAAGAATTCCGTTTGACTTTTGCCCTTGAAATTAGTTCTTTTTGTCTTCCTACATTTGTGCATTTGTAGTTCAATTCTCCAATAAATTCTTTTGAAGAAACTTCTCGTCTAAATTTTTGTCCACAATTACTCCAAAGACAATCCAAAAGAGAAAGTGCAAACAAAACAACATGGGGATCTCGATGATTGAGACGCTTTTTGACAGAAAGAAGAGCTTGTTTACATCCCTTAATTCCATCAGCATTTACACGATCACAAATATCTCTAAAATTTGAAAAGTTAAATGAATTAGAGGAAATATAAACTGTGAATTTAAACGTTTAACATAAAACCCTTCCAATCATTAATTTATCACACATAGATCAAAGGGTGGCAGAATACACAGAGGGAAAAACTAAAAGTTGAAGGTAATATTGAAACGGACAGACCCGCCTTTTTTCCTCCCAAAATTTTCCCCAATAAAAATTTTGTTTAAAGATCTAATTCTAACCCCAAAAACAAACTTAATAGTTTTATAAAATACTTATTAATAATCTAGAAAAAACTTTACATACATCATTAATTCCCAATTTTCACTCGTCAAAGTATCAGCAGTCACCTTCTCAACAATTTCATCATAAGGAGAGGAGTCGCCGAAAATCGGCATATTCTGCAATGAAAACAAATTCGTGGCTGGAGATTTAAGTGAAAAATAATTTAAAAAATCTGAAAATTTTTAAACACTTCGTATTAACAACATAAATTGATTAAAAAGAAAAATTAGTGACAAATAGACACAGTCTCACGTGTCAATAAAAATAAATACTCAAGTGGCAGATTCATCGACGGCCCGTTTTGATGCAAAATAGTGAGTGTGGAATAATCAGGCCTTTTTAGTGCCAATCCACGTTCATTAAAATTTAATACTATAAAAGCAAACATAAAACTTGTTAGATAACTTCAATCTTCTTATTCCCCCAAACAAACAAACAACAGCTTAATCTTCTTCTCAACGATGGGTCAGAACAACAAGGACGACAACAAGAAGTCCAAGGAAAAGAAAGGATCGGCAAGCAACAACAAAGGTGGAGGAGACGGTGAAACTGTTCGTGGTCAATCAGTCCAGGCAAAAGCTCAAAGCCCAGCTCGCAAGACGATCGCAAAGAGGCAAAAGGCACCAACTTCGTCAAAGGAGGCAAAAAGTGGACGTCGTCGTTCTGTTAGCAGCGGAGGAAGTGCGAAATTGAGAAAGCGCAAGCCGAAGCGCACATTCAAGTTAGTTTTTCTTGTTAAACACAAACTTGTAATTAAAATTTATCTTTTCAGAGTGCACATCTACCGCGTGCTGAAGGATGTTCATAAAGGTGAAATGCGTATTTCGAAGCGTGGAATGGATGTTATGAACAGGCAATAACTTTAATATACACAAAATTTGGGTTCTCAGTTCTTGGGAAATCTTCGGATATATGGGACCTCAAATCCAATGCAAAACATTTTTAACTCTTGGTTAGCCACTGGGTAGGGTCCAAGTCAATTATTTTAAATTACAAAAGGTTGGGACTAAAATTTCTTATTTTTGCAGTTATTGTATGGACTTCTTCGACCGCATTGCTTCCGAGGCTGGTGGACTCTCCCTCATCAGTAAGAAACCAACTCTGTCTCTTCGAGATATGCAAAGTGCAACGAAAATGGTTCTGCGTGGTGAGCTTTGTCTTCATGCACTCAATGAGGGCAAAAAGGCCGTGAAGAAGATTGAGATGGAAGGAAAGGCTAAATGATGAGAATATAAAAGGAAGATATTGTGAAATGTATATTGTGATACAATAAAATGTATTGTGTAATATGTATATTGTATGTAATATGTATATTGTCGTAAATAAATATTTGTCTATGACTGATAAATTTGGCGAAAATAATTTTTTTGTAGTTTATACTATGTAGTTTCCATCAATCTACTACCTTTCCCTTCAAATAAAATTATTCTCTCTAATTAGTCACATTTTGTAGTCTTCCATTTTTACGTTTTTATCACTTTTCAAAAACACTTGTTTATTAAGTAAAACATTCACTCCGCCCATTCCAATCCAATTAAAAACGCGAAAGTACCAATTCCGCGCTCTTATTTAAATAAGTATTCTAAAGGCAGAAATACCTCATTTTCTTCAAACAACATTTACTTGACAACAATTATTTCTTAAAAATGGTTCAATATAAACTTTATTATTTTGATGTGAAAGGTTTAGGTGAAGCCATAAGAATTTGGTAAAGAAAATTTCAGTATCCCTAGTTACCCTTTTTCTATTTTTAGTTTCCATTATGCTGGTGAAAAGTTTGATGATATACGTTTTACACACGAAAAATGGCCAGCCGAGAAAAATAGTAAGTAAAAGGGCAATAACTGACAAGGGGGTTTCTCGTAAATCGTAAAATTACATTGATTAAGGGGAGGGAAATAATCAAGAAATTTAAAGTTAATTTCTTTTAAGAATTTTTCTATGGAAAAGTTCCTGTGTTAGAAGTTGATGGAAAACAATTGAGTCAATCCGGCGCAATCCTTCATTATTTGTCTAATAAATTTGGTGAAAATATTTAAATTTTAATCCCTTTTATTCTTCTCGTTTATTTAAGGTTTGGCTGGAAAGGATGAATGGGAGAAGGCTAAAATAATCGAAATTTTTGATTTTTACAAGGATGTTTACAACGAAACGGCACCTTATATATACGCAAAAGCAGGATTTAGAGAAGGAGATGTGGTAAGAGATACTCCCCCAATATTCCGTCAAAATTATCTTCCCTTTTTAGGACAAACTTCGAAAGGAAGTATTCCTGCCTGCGGCGGAACGTGTTTTTCCACTTTTTGTCAAATTGTTGGCAGAGTCTGGTTCGGGATTTTTCGTTAAATCTGGCTTAACTTATGTTGATTTTGTATTGGCTGAATTTTTTGAAATGGTCCGTTCACTCGAGCCGGAAATTGTCGGGAAATACAAAGAATTGACTGCTTTTATTGACAAAGTTCACTCTGTCCCGAAACTCAAAACTTATTTTAGTACTCGAAAATAATCATTAGACAAAACATGCACTATAACTAGAATAACTTTATCTAACATCTTAAACCCATCTATTAACCTAAATGAATTTTTTTATTAACTAAATATATTTGGATAAAATAATTTTCTCATTTTTCTCTAAAATTATAAAGATAAAAGAAAAGTCAAAAGATTCAAACCAATTTATGTAAAAATGTGAATTAAAATTAATTTATAAGAGAATATGCTTTAACGAGTAGTTCTTTTAGCTACTCTTCTTTCGGGTCGCTTATATAAATAGTTAAATATATATAAATTATTTGTCAAAAAAGATAAATTCGCACAGGTAAATTAAATCAGTGGGAAAAACATAAAGAATAATCAATAGAGGAAAATAAATAAAAAAAATTTTTGATCACTTAATTAAGAGAAATAAGTGGAGAGAATTGTTTTTGTTAAGATCTAAGAACTTGTTGTTATAACTTCAGCACCAGTCCCCCTAACGAAAAGTACCCGCTGAAGTTTGTCGGAAATTACCTTAAAAATAAATATTTTTTATAAAAAAAGTCCAAAAACAAACTTCTAAATAATGAATATAATCATCGACATCGTCTTTGTGTGTAGGTGGTTTTGGTAAAGAAAATAGAACAAGTTGGCTTTCATTGGAATGTTCCAAAATAAGCTCGTTGAGACGAATTGCCCCATGCATTTTATGAACCTTTTTCCGGTCCAAGGCCTTTAATCGTTTTTGTTTCTCGCCATCCATTTCCGTGAAGGGAAGTGAAGGTTGTCGCGGGAGATAATGAGTACTTTAAATTGGGGATTCATAAATAAATTATGTAGAAATGCTTATAAAGTTGGATCTTAGATTAGGGAATGTCGAAGACTACCCAACCTAGTAGATAACATAAGCAAAAAAATCTTAAAATGAAGTGTACTAATAATATTGTGTATATCCTATAATGAATCATCACTGTAGTGAATGATTAAAAACCACATATGTACCTTTCTTTCCTGTTTTGTCCATCACCTTCATCGTTATCAGAAACTTTGTCTCCAATTTCTAAATTTACTTTAAAAATATTTTATTAGAGTACACAAAACCTTCATTATTCTCAAGTGGCTGTTCTTTCTGGGAAGAGTCATTGCTAGAAGATGTATCTTCAGCTTGAGGTGAAGAATTCTGTTACAATTACATTTTATAAGATTTTAAAAAATAAATAAAATATACAGGTAGAGCTCTGTCATCAGAATCACCTCCAGGTTCATTCAATTGACGGTTATTTGCAATTCCTCTACGTTGCATTTGTTTCAACATCTTCGACCTTTCTTCCATCAAAAGTGTCCTTTCAAAAGCTGTTTTTGAAAGTTCTGGGTCACTAAGCTCAGTTACCTACAAAAAATATTTTTCTCTTTTATTTTCAACTTTTTTTACCAAAATTTCAGCATCAATACGTAATTGATAAACATAAGTTTGTAATTGTTGCTTTAATTTTGTACTATTCTCTTGTTGCCGAGCAACAGCAATAATTCTAATTTTACAGTGCCGCCAAACTTTGCTTTGCCTCAACAAAAATGTTATTAGAAGGCAAAGACCCCCATCTCTAACAATCCAATAAACATCCAAATGACCATTTAGCTTTACATTGTTGGGAAAGTCAGTAATGCCCTTAGCAACAACAAGTGCCATTCCGCTAACTGCACCAGCCAAAAGTTTGTCTAAAAAAGGAATATAAAAATAGGTTACTTAGAATTTATGAAATTATGCATCTAATAGAACTAAATAATTATGAGAGTTTTCAGAGTTATCAAACATTTTTAAATTAGAAAATTAATAAACATTCTAACCTAAGATTGGAAAAATGTTTTCGACTATAATTTGAACCGAGGCTCTAACAGGATTTTAACCTAAAAGGTTGAAGAAAATAAAATTAGTAGAGGGTTTAAAAAATTGGCAGGGGATTTACTTATTCTAACCAGCCCTGGACAAAATAAAAGAGGAAAATAAAACGATCAGGTCCATTTCGCCTGAAATCGTCAAAATTTTGATGTAAAGGAGAGATTCTAGATTTTTTAATATTTTGATAAATTCTGTCCTAAATGCAAAAAGTTATCTTAACTTTACATAAAACAATTCCCCCAACCTGTGAATGTTTGATATTCCGAATCGACGACTTGATCCTCTGACGGTTCTCGAGTCGGCCAACTAAGCAAAAGAGTGTTTGGTTTAAGTCCACCAATTCCAATACTTTGAATTAAAGCATTAACACTTCCTCCTATCTAAATAAAAAAAATAATTTTCTAAAAACTATTTACTAATAACCTGATCTTCATCATATAGCAATGTTTTAGCAAACCCTCTTAATCTTAATTGCTGCATATCATTCTCCATTCTAGTTTTTACTTGTTGTGCTGCTTTCATATCTTCCTCATTGCTAGGATTACCTCGAAGAAAAGAGACGACCATTGTAAGACCCTTCCCTGCTTTCATTTGTGCCGCAAAATTGAGCAAGTTTAAATATCGAACATCAACCAATTCTTTTGACCAAGGCATTGAATGAAGAATAAGAAGTTGGGGCCTAAAAATATTTTCTATTAATGTATTAATTGATAAAAAAATTACCTCCAATTTTTAGGATGAGGATCCTTTTCAGAAATTTGCATTAAACTATACTGAGCTGTTGTTAGAGCCAAACCGCGAATACCATCACCCCATTCCTTTTTTGCACTTAAAATTAAAAATATTTTATTTAATTTGTAAAAATATTTTTTACCCTTTCCATTGAACATATTTGTAAATTATTACGCAAAGAAGGATAGATAAAATTGAATAGTCCCAATGAGTGCTAAACATAATGAAGAAACATAAAGCAGCACCAAGTAGCGATAAAGACCTACAACGATTAACATAAATTATAAATTTTTGTGTCGGTTCTAGTTCATGGGCGATTGGCAGTTAGGTTTTTTGAAAACATTGCAACAATTTTTTAGTTTAACGGAAATAAAATTCAAAATAAATAGCAATTTTTCAAAAAGAATTAACTTTGTTTTTATGATACTAGGAAATAAAAAACAAACCAATGGTAATAAACATATCTTGGTCGCCAATTCGGTGCTCCAAGTATTGAGTGAAGTGCACAAATGATGTTAACAAAGGCATAACACATCAAAAAGAAAAAATCTACAACAGCAGCAATATTGTCCATTGCTCCCATTAAGATTCCCAATTCAGCGATAAATGTTGTTATTATTAAACCATAGAAAGGCTAAAAATAAATATTAATTAAGGGGTAAACAAATGAGTGTCCAGGACCTCGTTCTTTTTTGTAACTTTCGAAAAAGGTTGTAGAAAAGGGATAACGTCGTCCTTTGCAATACTTTGTAAAAGACGGGGAGCACCTAAAACCAAAGATTTATTTTTTTAAAAATATTTAAGAAATTAACTGCAAAGGCATTGTAGAGCAGCACCAAATGTCGATAGGAAAGAGCCTATTAGAAGTACCCACTCGCTCGGCCATGCGAGAGAGGCAACAACCATTCCACCATGTAGAGATTGGCCGTATCTGAAAATTAAGAAAAATGGGGAAAATCAGGAAATTTATAAGCAATAACCATAAAATTTTCAAAAAAATTTTTTTAAATAAAATCCCAAAATATATAAAACAAATACATACTTATCCCTTAACAATTCTGGACTTATTGCTGCACCAAATACAAGGGCCAAAGAAAAATAAATAAAAGAAGTTGTCAATTGTGCTGCAATAGTTCCTCCAGGAATCGATTTTTGTGGATTAGCCAAATCACCACTCATATTTGTTCCTGTAAGTATTCCCGTAACTGCTGGAAAGTAAATAGCCAAAATTAAAAAGAAAGTTGTTTTGACATCTTGAAAGACTTCTACTTTTGGATTTGCTTCTTTTCCATAAGAATATTGCAGAAAACTTGGATAATTTGAGCCAAGATTTTCTAAAATTAAAAATTAATTGACACGATAATGAAAAATAAATAAAAAAAGGGAGCAGGCCAAGTTACCGCAGAGCTATAACTTCGTTCAGAATTGCGAATCCAGGACGCCCTGATGTGGTTCGATGCGCCTCGACGAGCTGAATCGAACCATACCAGGGCGTCCCGGATTCGACAATTTTGAACAAAGTTATAGCTCTGCGGTAAGTTGGGGTGTACCCAAATAAAAATAAAACACTATTTTAAATTTACATATGTATCAAGATAACACAACGCAACTCAAAAATTTATTAATTTATAAAAAACCTACGAATTAAAGCTTTACTTCCATAACCAGGATATCCATTAACACAGGAAAGTTTCATTTGAGTAGCATTTACATAGGCATTAGTTAATATAGATTTTCTTTAAAAAATAAATTATAATTAATTTAAAAATTAAAAACAAACAATTCAGAATTTGTCCAATTACAATAATTACAAATTTCAGAAATTGGTGCTTCTGGAGGTAAAACAATTTTTGCTTGAAGTAAATGGTCATTCAACATACAAATTCTATGAAATGTTTTTAATTTAAATTAAATTAAAAAAACCTTTGGCCAGTATCTGGATAAAGAGTTTTTTCAACAGCACCAGCATAACATGCAAGAATTGAAAAAATTACACAAACCAAAGAAATCTTTTAGAAAAAAATTTTTATTTGGCAATTATTTAATTTATTTAAAATTTAATGTGACATTTCTTCTCTTCAGAAATAGATAATTAATAATAAAAAAAAAGATGAAGGGCAAACAGTCAAAAAAATAAACTGGAGAGAGAAGGTTAAGGACATTCTTTACATTTTTCTATTTTTGGAAAAATTGGAAAGAGAGAGAAAAGAAATTTTTTAGAATTAATTACCGGTGCTAAAAGTTGAACAAAACGAACACCCATAGCAACGATCAAAAATTCGACAATCAAAAGAATTGTTCCGTAGAAGCGTAAATTGTTGGACATCATTCCAAATATTCCTTAAAAAATAAAAAATTAATCAAACAATTTTCTGAACTCATTAGGAAGGAGTAAGCCAAGTAATTCTCTTAACAAAAGACTCGCGAATTGTGAGTGAACTTTTTGTAATTTTCTTAATTCTACTATGCAGAGGATGAATGAAAACAGAAGGCTTACAATTAACTGATAAAACGATAAAAGTTGGGACAAACCCCCAGAAAATATAAACAAGTCCTGAATACCTCTTTTAATTAAAAATAATTAAATGGGTATTTCTGACCATAAAAAATTAAAATAAAAAAACAAAAATAAAAAACTGAACCTGTATCCGTATGAGTTTCATGTCCTCCAATGGTCAAAGCAGGGAATAGATATAACTAAAATAGTAAGTAAATGAAATATTTCAGGGCCCATTAAAATTTTAAAAAACCAATAGAATTTCAACGCCTCCAACCAAATACATTGCTGTAGCCACAGTGTTGGCTAAATAAAATAGTATTCCAACGGCACTACCAAATTCAGGTCCCAAATTTCGAGAAATCTTGAAAACAAATTTTTACACAAAAAATAAAAAAAGTATACCATAAAGTAAGCACCGCCTCCTTCTACAACTCCATTTGTAGCAACAGCAGATACACTGATGCACGTGAGAAAGGTCTAAAAAATATAATTAAAGATTTTACTAAAAAATAAAATTACTGAAACAAATTTCTCACCACAAACTAGGGAAGAGGGGGGTTATACGGACAAAAATCAGCTTCATAGACCATGTATTAAATATTTAATCTTTCCTATAAGCCTAGGAAATAGGGTAATTAATTAAATGGTTTATTAAAAATCAATTAGAATATTTTTAATATATAAAATGTAAAATTTACACAAAGGCAACATAGAAAGAGCATAAGAAATGTTTGTCCAACCCCAGCAACACCAACACACCAAGCAAGACGAATAAACATTGTAACACCGAGAATGTGTTGAATTGTAGGCAGATAGACACCCAACATAACGCCGAGATTTGCCTAAATTAAAAAATAAAAAGTTAAAAATAAAATTGAAGGAAGGGATAATTAAATAAACACCAAAATTGGAAATCTAAAAATACTTTTAAATATCTGCTAGCTTCTCTTTCATTTGGTCCAGGTGTTGTATAACCACTTAAAAAATCATGAGCGGGTGGAACTCCTTCTTGGGGATTTGGTGTTAAACAACCAACGTAAAATGTTGGAGCTTCTTCTTCGTAAAGAGGCGCTAGGTTATTGCCTAGAGCCCGATAAAGGGGCATCATAGGGAAAATTAATTAGTTAAAAAGGAATTGAATATGTAAATTTGTGGATCTTAAAAATATAAAGAAAAATGAATAAAAAACTAAAAAAATGAAAACTAGAAAATGAACTTAAAAAAATAAAAAGAAAGGAAATTTATTTTAAAAAATCTTAAACTGTCAAATACATTTTGCCAAAAATAAAATAAATAGGCAGTAAAATTGGATTCAAATTAGGTCAATCGGTCTGAAAAATTCAAGTAATTCTCATATCATTTGAGAGGTCTTAATATAGGGATTCTATTTCATAACAACCTGCGTCCATCCCTCTCGCTAAAAATATGAGACTATGAATCGACTACTCCAAACAAAATACTCGAATTTTTGACAAAAATTCGAGTATTCCTAACATTTTACTAATTAAAATTTGAAATGTTTTCACCTTTTTCTGTTTGCTTGCTTCCCTCTCCCTCGGCCCAGGTGTTGTGTAGCCACTGATATATGGTGCCAAAAAATTGTGGACAGGTTCATTATCGTATAGAGGGAAGTCGCCACTTTCAAAATCAGCATTTCCATTTGGTTTTTTTCTAAAAGAACTCCATGAAAGGAATCCATGATCAGTTCCTAACGGAAATAAATAAAAATTGCTTCAATTAAAAAATGAAATTAAAAAGGAATTAACAAAAAAAAGCAAATTAAAGGAAAAAAGCAAAGCTAAATTTAAGTTAAAGATAATAAAATAAGGCAAAAATTAATTAAGGCTTTAAAGGGAGGATCTTTAAATGTAAATTCCTGAGTTAAATTAAAAAATGTAAGAAAAATTCCAGTGGTCGCATAACGGGGGATTGAGTTCAAAAGATTCGCTGCCCGCATTTTCCATACTATAAAAAGCGGCCTCTTCCGAAAGGATTACCTACTATCAAATCTTCATTTCTCTTCAAACAACAAAACTTCAAAAACAACACAAAATCCAAGGATGTTCTTCCTGCTCCTTCTTCTAGCTCTGCTGGCTGCTGGATTCTTCATGTTCAGTCAAGGACAAGCTGGAAAGGTGATACTTTACTCTTATGTTTAAAAAACGTTTCTATTATTTTTTTATTTTTTCAGAATGTTGATCCTGTCGAGCCGGAGCCCAGTAGACGCAGAAGCAAACGTTCCAAACGTTCTACCAAAACAGTCGACACCATGGCCTTGCTGGATGAAGACGAGGAATTGCGAATTGTGGTCGAGGATGAGCGCCCTCTCCCTCTTCATGTTGAGCCTCCTCCAGTCTTTCCGCCTGCTCCAGTTCCGTCTTCTGAAACATCATCTGCCGAGAAAACATCTACATCTGCTGAGCCTCCTCCATCTTCAAAGCCATCTCCATCAACAGTGACAGAGCCTAAGAAGGATGCCGAAGGTGCGGACAAGAAAAAGCCTGAAAAGACGAAGGAGAAGTCATCGAAAGCGAAGTCAACTTCCAAGCGCGGAGGCCGCAAGGATAGCAAAAGTCCTGCTCCTGCTGCTACAACACCTGCAAAAGGGGAAAAGACGAAAAAAGGTAAATTTATTTATTGCTAGTTTGGTTTCTCTATTAAAAATTTCTTGTTTTTTAGCTAAAGATGCTGATGAAAAGAAGTCTCGTCATAAGGGCAAGTCCACGAGCAAGCGCGGCGGTGATGCTAAGAAGAAAGAGGGAGGCGACAAGTCAAAGGCGGGATCTGGAAAGCCGGTTGCTGAAGCTACTGCTGGCGAGACCAAGAAGGGCGGAAGCAAACGCAGCAAGCATTCAGGAAAATCCAAGGAGAAGACAAAGAAGGCAGAAGGAGGAACTCCGGCTGAAACACCCAAAAAAGGGGATGATAAGAAGAAAAAGGAAGCTGCTGACAAAAAGAAAGGTAAACACAAAATAGACTTAATTTTCGAGTAAAGCTAATAACTCATTAAAATTCTAGGTGCAACTGAAGGTGGAGGGGAGAAAGGAAAGAAGTCGAGTAAGCGCAAAAGCCATCGGGACAAAGGAAAGGAGGCAGCTGCTACAAAGTCAACATCAAGTACGGCTGTTCAGTCTAAGGCTGGTGATGGTACAAAGACCGCTATCGACACCGGACCCGCAGGCAAGAAGGAAGACAGGAAAAGTAAGGAATCCATCTTAATTTTCATAAAATATTGTTTTTATTTTAGAAGGAAGCCAGCGCAGCGCTCGAACCAAAAGTGAGACGAAGGCTTCTGGGAGCAAAAGGACCACAGGCGGGACGAAGTCTTCGAGCAAAAGGACTCCGAACAAAGGAAAGGAGGCAGCTGCTACAAAGTCAACATCGAGTACGGCTGTTCAATCGAAGGCTGGTGATGGCACAAAGACCGCTATCGTCGACACTGGTCCTGCAGGCAAGAAGGAAGACAAGAAAAGTAAGGAATATCCGTCTGTTTTAATTTCCTTAAAATAATGTTTTCATTTTAGAGGGAAGCCAGCGCAGCGCTCGGACCAAAAGTGAGACGAAGGCTTCTGGGAGCAAAAGGACCACAAGCGGGACGAAGGTTTCTTCCAGCAAGAGGACCACAAGCGGAACAAAAGTCGGGCACAGCAAGCGCAAAAGTGGAGTCAAGTCGTCTAAAAGGGAAGGATCAAAAGCTGAAGGGCCATCTAAGGAAACTGAGAAGAGTGCTGGTGAACCGAAGAAAGAAGACGTGCAGGCTCCTGCGGCGCCGGTTGCTGAGACTACCAAAAAGCCAGAAGAAAAGAAGGAAGAAGTAAAGGCTGTCACCACCAAGCCTGAAGAAGCAGCTGTGTCCAAGAAGGAAGAAAAGGACCAGCAAGCGAAGACAGAAGGAAGCACTCCTGCGCCACTGGCTCCGACTACTGCTGCTCCAACCGAGAAAGCCACGGAAGGACAACCGCCAACTGCTGCACCACCACCAGCGCCTCTTCCTGCTCTGAATCTTGGAACGATGAGTGGATTGTATGAGAACGTGTCTGCTGGCCTTCCTGATACTCCTCCTCCTCCTCCCCCTCAAAATCCTTAAATTGCACCTTTTGTTGTATATTTTCTTTTGTCCCCCTTCCTATACTCAATGTTGTGTGTTGTATATATTATTGTTAGGCTATACACCTAGGTATTTGTGTGTTATAATTCCTTATCTCAGATATATGTATTTTGATTGAATTGTAATATTATATGTATTGTGATATGTATTGTACCTATTTATGTATTGTATATATTGAATAAATAGCTGTGTAAATGAAGAATTTTGTGGGTTAGTAATTTTTTGAGAGCAAGTTTAAAATCTGAAAAATATTTCTGACTACCTAATTTACTCCCCAATTCTCCAACAATTTAAAGATCCTTCCCTCCTTTTTCCCAAAAAAATTTTTTTCCTTTACTTGAGTGATAAGTAAATCCAAAAAAGCTGTGATGGGAATTATTTCTTCTAATAGACGGCGGTAAATTATTTAAACTTGTAGAGTTTTGTGTTATTGTAGTTAAAAGTGGTTCTGAATCAATTCCAGGTTTTCTGGAAAGTGTTGGGATTTCATTTCCACCAATTTGTATTTTTACTTTTCTTTGATTTTTTGGAGAATAATTTTTTGAAATTAAAGATGAAGGGAATAATAAATTATTATTTTGATTAATTTCAAGTGTTGTATTTGAATGTTCTTTTTGAATCATTTAATTTTTAACATAAAAGGAAAAGAAAAAAGGCAATAAAAGCATTTAAAAAAAATTTTTGTAAAATATATTAAATTTGCAAAAACAAAACAAACAAAAAATTATCAGTTAATCAAAAATCGAAAAAGTTAATTTTGGTTAAATCCAAAAGATCGAAACCACAAATGATTTTTGTGTTAAAGTAAGTTTGTGAAAAAGAAAACGAACAAGTTCTTTTTACGAAACACGAAAAACTTTCTTTTGCATTAGAAGTTGAGTCAAATGGAGATGTGAAAATCCCAAAATAATGTTTCACACCAGATTCTCTATAAAATAGTACCAGAATTAGAAGATACTCCCTCAAACGATACCTCTCTCATATTTAAGATACTTTATTTTAAGATACTTTTCCTATACCAAAAGGTAAAAATCTTTAGTAGGTCGATCTTCTGGATTAATTTAATTTTGTCTAAAAGCAAGCAACAAAATAGCTTATCAATGTAAAATTAACAAGCAAAAGCGTTGTTGAAAGAAAAATAAAAATTACAAAAAAAATCAGTCGCCCCTTATCAATAAATTAAAATTCAGTCTCTTTTAAATTAATTATTTACCTCCATCAATGCCACTAGTTGTGCTCAATTGTGATCCGACACGCTTTCTTTGACTGTTGTTGTTACTATAAAAATAAATTAATGAATGAAAATTATTTTGTAAAATATTTTCTGTTTCTATAACAACAATAAATATACTAATTATTTTTTATTTAAAAGAGGATAACATTTAAGGATTTAAATGAGCATCCAGAAAATGTAAAAATTTATATAAAAATTTTCAAAAATGTTAAATAATATTAAAAATTGCTTTTTAGAAATTAGTGGTTTTTGATTTTTGATGGTTGACACAATTGTCACACTACCTTGGGGGTTGACAAAGTTCTATCAAAAATCGAGATCCGACTATTTGGGAGTAATCAGAATATTGAAACAGATTCTCATCAGAAAATATAATTACGGAAAATCAACTTAAATTGCGAGTACCGTATATGCTCTATTAATTATACCCTCCCTCAAATAATTACTCCCTCCAGCGAGAAACCGAAACAATAATTATTCAGGGTAATTATTAGAGCATATACGGTAAAAAAGGAGGAAATTTCTACTCAATAAATGCCAACATATATCAGTGCCAGAAAGTTAGAAGTTCCCCTTTTGGGGTTTCAAAAATAAACAAAAAATTACTTATTATTGCCAATACAAATTGTAGCAGGCTCTTGACCTTTTGCTTCAGCCACTTTCTTTCTCATAAATGTTTTTCCCTGATGTCCTTGTCTTTAAAAAAATAAAAAAATTAATAAATCAAAAATTTTTTTGTTGCAAATAAATAAAAAGAAAAGCACCAAATACTAAACGCTTTTCTTTGATCAATTGCAATGATCAAATGTTGATCGATCACTCCAAAGTTGGGGGGAGGAAAGGGGGTAGAGGTGATAAAATATATAAAAGGGAAAAGGAGATGCGCACAAAAATAAATAAAAATATATTTAACTAATTAGTTAGTTATATAATGAAAATAAATAAATAAAAAGAAGGGAGAGAAGTTTGTCTTAAAAATTAAATTAAAAAATTGTTTTTTATTACTCACTCCCACACAATAATTAATTAATTCTGAAGGGTTATTTAATTACATATTTCCGTTATTTTTGAATAAATGCTCTTTTGTTATAAGAAGGTTTGGAAATATTTATTGAATTATGACTTCACATAAAAAAGGGAAAAATATCACAATGGCCAATTAATTGTATATAATAGGTTGAATCATAAAAATGTCGATTTTGTTTTTGCTCTTTGAACAATTAAATCAACTAGTATGTTTTTGGAACTTTTTAAATGATTATAAGACTCTCCTTAATATTTCAGAATTTATGAGTTACATAGCAAAGGAATAGGAATGATAGGGAAGAATAAGGAAGGACTACATACAATGGTTCTGCTGCAAATCTTCTGAAAAGCACCACTGGAGTTTAATACATATCACTCATTATTTTTTAAGTGATTTTAAATCCCAGAGGGGTATTTTTAGATATAATTTAAAAATATTTTTATAAATTCTCTTCAAACAAATTTCCTTTGTTTTAATTTACCTTTTCTCGCTAGAATTATTTTTGTAAAGAACAAAATCTCCCTTGCCAAAAACAACATCTTCTTTCTTTTTGACACTTTCAGATTGGACCATTATTTTTTTAATTAAAAAAATTAAAACTGATCTAAATTTTAAGAAAAATAATTTAAAAAGTTCAATTCAAAAAAGTCTGCGCAACAAAACCAAATAAATATTTACAAAATATTAAAAAAAATTCTAGAGGGAGAGAGAGACTATCAACAACATCAACTACCTTAATCTATTTGGTTTTTCAGATAAATATTATTGCATATTTTTCTAATAAATATTTTTATTGTCTAATTTTATGTAAATCTTTGTATGTACTATATAACGGTTTAATTTGTGTTAGGACAATTGCGAATGTGGATGGGATAATTTCAGGAAAGGCGGAATATTTTTTGGTATCTCATTATATTTTTGTGTTTATGTTGAGGTTTTTTCAGCAAGTCAAAATATTAGCACAAGCCCCTCAAAAACTCCCAAATAAAATTAACAAGGAACTTTACTGTGACAGCGAATTTGGTTGGGCCATTTTTTCCGACCGAAATTGCCCATCCACAATTGTCCTACCGTTAAATCACATGCCAAACAAATTGGGACATAATAGTAAAAATTCTCAAAAATGAGAGAATTTACATAAAAATTAAATAATAATGTAGAGAATATATACAGACTTTGATTTATTAAAAAAAGAATTTTTTGTTTATAGCAGATGTTAATAAAGAGATGTTTAATGTATATTTGAGATATTTAAATAAAAGTAAACAACAACCAAAAAATTCAGTTTTTGGTTAGAATTTTGAAAAATTAAAGAAAAATTTTTGCCAAAAAATGGAGAAACATTTCTAAAATTTTAAAATCCAAAGTTTTTTAAGTGTTCAAAAATTATTAAATTGATATAGGGGTAAAGATAAAAAATGATATTAAAGTCCATAAAAGATAACGTTAACTATTTTTAGAAAATAAATAAATTCATTTCAAAATAAAATTATTAAAAAAGAAGGACATTTTTATTTTTAAATGTCTAGTTAGAGGCAGCTGATATTTAGATTTAAATAAAGGTTTAGAAATCGTTTAGTTTTCAATCAATAATTTGAAAAAAACGAAAAAATGGACAGAATTCTTAATACCCAATTATTAAATATCCACAAAATTTTTAGAAAAAATTCAAGAAAAATTTTCTAGAAAATTTAAGTATGGGTAAAAATTACAAAAATGGAGCTAGCTTTAGAGAAGAAAAAAGCCCCCTTCTTCTACTAATTTTAAAAAATCTTTAAAAAATTAATAAAGCATAAATTTTACTTTTTCAAATTTTTAAAATAAAATTTTCCAAATTTAAAATAAAATAAAAAATGAAAAATTTTTCCAAAAAAATTTAATTTAAATTAACCAATTTTATTTTCTAAAAACATAATTTGTTCACGTAATTTGTTGCATTGGCGCTCACTAAAAGAAATAAAAATTAAAATAAAATAATTTTTAAAAAAACTTTTTAGAAAGAATAAATATTTGTGCAGGAATTAATTCAGAATTAAAAGAAGTTGTTGCTGTTGTTGCTTCTTTATTAGCAAATCCAAATAAATTTTGTCGAGACTCGTTAATTCGAGAATTAAGCTAAAAATTAATTTAAATTAGAAAATTTTTTATTCTTTACCGTTTGTATACAGCGTCGACATTGAAATATTCTTTTTTGTATAAATTGTAATTTATCTAAAGCTTCAATTTCATCTTCTGAAGTTGTGAACATAATTGGTTGAAGAATTTGGGCAATCTAGAAATTAAAAATAAAAATTAAAAAACGTTCCTATTACAACAAATATTTTTGTATTATTTTTTCCAGGGGGTTTTCATTTTACAGGACTTTCAAAATATGTTAACCAAAGAAGTTTAAAAAACATTGATGAACTATCATAGAATATATTTTATCGAAAACATGAATTTTTGGTGATAAATAGTAAATCATCCTAATAATTCCATCAAAATAATTTTTCAATTCAAAAATCCCAATCTAAATATAAAAAACCTTTTGTATTTTTTCATCCAATAATCGATATTGATGCTGCCTTTTAAGAATAATTGCTTTAATATCATTAATTTGTCTAAACAAATCCATTAGCCGTTGTTGAGTGCTCTCTCGAAGTTTATCAACATCTGAAGAAGTTTTTAAAATATTCTCTGCCCTAAAAATCGATATTTAATTTTTAAAATAATAAAATCAAAACAAACCTTTTTAAGGTGTAGTCAATAGCTCTTTCACGAACAGGTAATGCTTTGTTTAAAAAAATATTTTGAATTGAATTTTGCATGAGTGAAAGAGTAGAAATTCGTTGGGAAATCTAGAGAAATTTTATTTTCGAATCAATGAAATTAGTGAAAATTTCAAGGGGAATTTAATTTTGGGTGTATCTCATCGTGAGGCATGACTTATATTAAAATCTTATTGTAATATAATTAACCGATGCCTCACTGTCCAAATTAATTGAAGGAAGAGTAGCAGACAAATTATCTGCACTAACACCTTCATTCAATTGACGACGAATTTCTGCTGATAATTGTTGGTGTAATGAAGCAGAAGACGATTTTTGTTGATTAACAGGTGACAATGGTGAATTGTTAGTCAAATGAGAAGAATTATAATATCTAAGAATTATTTAATTTTTAATAAAACAAAAATAACCTGTTAAATAAAGTTGCCAAAAAATGATGAGAGAATTTTATTTGATCTGTCCCATTTTCATTTAAATTAAATTGAGAAGTACAAAGAGCAGCGAGTAGTTGATGTTGTTGAGATTTGTAATTGTTAATTGGTTGATTAATATCAAGATTAGAAAATGTACTGGAAAGAGGAAAGCGTAACAATTCAAATGAAGCAATTGACGAGATTACCTTTAAATTTAATTTTAAAAAAATATAAAAAATAAAAAGAAATAACCCCATCGTCATTAAAAGATAATAATTGATGAATTGATGACTGAGGTAAAGAAATACTTTGATTTTTAGATTGATCAACACCACAATTTTCAATCAACTGAACTCGAACAGAGGATAAGTCGATTCGGAAGAGATCACGAGAACAAATTACAAAATAAGAACATGATGAAGAAGAATATCGTTCAAATGGATCTAAATATTTTTAATTAAAAAAAAATGAAGGTTGTAAGCGGACTCTATCCCAGCTTTGTTCGGTCAAATTCCACTTTGTAAATAACATATGGGGGTGCCTATTTCAAAATTCATTGATGGAAACTAGTTTTGATCTCAAGGAATAATGAAAACAAGACCCACAAAATAAAAAATTCCTTACCTTGTAGCAATTTAATTGAAGAAGCTTTTAACGATGTAAGTGCCTTTTTCTTCAAATTTTTCGTTCCAGTCTTGGACGCCTTGTCATCAGAAGAAATTTGCATAAATTCAAAAGCAAACAGATTAAAGAAGCCCTCAGATGTTAATTGCTTAAAAATATTAAATATGTAAAAAATATTTAGATAAACGTCTATGGGTAATAAGAGAATGCCTATCAATAGTTAAATGGATTTAATACCTCAATTTCAAACAAATTTTGATCAGAGAAGGAATTGTTGTAAGCTAAAAGTAAATGAGCCAAAAATCCATCTTCACTCGCAATAGCAAAAATCGGAATTAATTGTGATTGGGAGTGACGAATACTATGAATATCTATAGAAGAACAGAGAAGTCGACTGGAAATTGGCGGAGACTGAGGCCCAACAATTGGAAAAGTGCATGTCAAAGGACCAATTGGTGCTAGACTAAAATTAGAAGATATAAATGTTATTAAAAAATTGAAGAAACCTTGATAAAATTGTATTATTTGAATGATGAAATTGAAAAAATGCAATATAAATCCCGCCATTCATATCCAAAGACAAAACAGAAAAAAGAGAAGATGACTTCGATTTATTGCTAGCTGACATGTCGACGATTGGAAAAATAGGTCCAAAATCGAAAGAAACTTAAAAAAATGAAAAATATATTGTAGTACGTAAAAAGTCCAAATAAAAAGGGGTAAACGATGTCTCAAAACTCAAAAAAAAGAGACTGTTAAAAAAAACTCACCAATTTGAGTAACAAATCCAAAAGTTGAATGAGGACGGCTATCAATACCAGAATTGTTGTCATTAAATTCTTCGCCACTTTCGCTAGGCGTTCTATCTAACAAAAGAATGTTGAAATCTATAACACAATATGGTCTATCTATAACTGAATTGACATCGTAAAGTCTAAAATTATTGAAAATTTTCAAAATAAATACAAGATAAACCTTATTACGCTGTCTGAATAAAGCAGAGCAAGCAACCCTCCAGAAGCTTGAAATTCATTGACAAAATATTGTTTCGTATCTTTTTGAGGATCAAACCAAACGGCCTTTATAATTGAAGGTGCATATTTGCGCATAAATAAATTGAAGTGAAGAAGATCACATCTAGAAATTAAAAATAAGTATCTGATTTATTTACTAAAATATTGGCATCCAGGGATTAAACCCAATGTTAAGTGAGGAAAAAACAAAATGAATGGACATGAGCTACAAATGGCAAAAAAATATTGAATGCTCTACGTTTAGGTTTTTATGAACCAGAGAAGAAACGTACGGAACGAAAGTCATAAACTTATGGAAAAATAATTAATAAAATAAGCGCTTTAAGAAATAAAAAACAAAAAACCTTGCATAATATTCGCTTTTGAGATGTTCCACAGAAGAATCAAAATCCAAAGAAATACCAATTTGATGTCGATAATCCCAAAAATCAGGGTCCAATTCAACAATGAAGACCATACATTTGCCTACCAAAGCCAACAAATTTCCATTTTTATTTACCAAAATTTGAGTAAAGTCTGCTTCAACTGGCAATTCAGGCGAAAGAAGAATTGTCTAAATTCGAAAATTAAAAAAATAAATTAACAAAAATAACCAAAATACGCCTGAATAACACGCCTGGTTTGTTTTCAAAAGTTATAATTTCGTTTGATTTTTCTGCATTAATCCTTTCATCACCACTAACCAATGCAGAAACCATAACAATTTGATTTGGCTCGTCAGCAGACCAGCAGAAAATTCCCATTTGCCGATAGTTACAAAAAACCAGTCGAGATTGACGACTTTTAGGAGGAAAAAGACGAAGAAAATCCATTTTTATGAACCTTAAGAAAATATTTAAAAAATATATTTTGGAACAAAGCATGAAATAAATTAACAAATAAAAGATGAATGAAAATCATCTAGCATTGCAAAGTCATTAAATATTACGTTGAACTTTATTCGTTAAAACTTCGAGATATAAATAGAAAAATTGAGTAAAGTAAAAAATAATATATTTTTTAAATTAATTATCTATAAATTTTTAATTTCAAACATTTCTCCTCATTGGAAGGAATGGAAATCCAACAACAAACCAAAAACGATATGTAACTAAAAATTGAATATATTTAGTGGATAAATTTAATATGAAAACTGAAAAATATAGTTTGAACCCCCGACTTTAAGTAACCAAAAACTTTTTCAGCCGCACTTGTGTCTTATAGTGCCCAACGTACATTGAATAACAAGTGTTTTATAAAAAAATAAGAGTATCAATGTTGGTATGAACCAGTCCAAAAAAGGAAAGAAGAAAAAAAACCATTCTAGACCTATTCCGTTCCCTTTAAAAACAAATAAAAAACTAACCAGCCCAACAACCAACAGCAATTGCAGCACCAACCAATTTTTGCAAAAAATTATGATAATATAAAGCAGTCACAATTAATTGAAAGTCCCAAAGTAAATGTAGAACAAAAAGGCCAATAAAATTTCGCTAAAATTAAAAAAGAAATTTTCTCTTAAATTTATTTAAAAACCTCAACAAATTTTCTGATCTGCTCAAAACGCTTAATTTGTTGATTTGTTGGCAAATTTGTCGTAAATGAATGAGGTTTTGAAGGCAAATTTTTGAAGGAGAAAGACTCTTCAGATACAATTAAAATACTATAAAGTAATAGAAATGTGTGACCGCTTACGTCGAAACCTGAAAATAGATTAAGAATAAGTTATGGGATAGAAATTCGAGGGAGGTCAGTCTACAGCAAACTCAGTTCAAACCAAAACCAGAACTAAACATAAAATGCATAAGAATGAGCTCGAGAGATATAACAAATTATGCCAGAACTGTCAATCCAAATTCGAATTTTATAAGTTATAAACTTCGAAGTAAAATGGATTGGTGCATCGAATTGTGCTCGCGACATTTTATTCCTAATTTTTCATTAAATTTAAAACTAACACTAAATTTTCTTTAGATACCAAAATATAAATATTCACGTTTAAAATCCGAAATAGGAATAGAAAGAATCTTCGAGGGACACAATAATTATCAAAATAATTTATAAATTATTTTTAAACCTGGAATCCACTTTCCGCCACCATTGTAACAATCAATCTTTGAAGAATTATTTAATCCTTGACAAACGCCTGTTTGGTCCTCAAATTTAATAAATCTGTATTTAAAATACCAGTTAACAAAAAATATTTTTTATAAAAATATACGCATTTGTCCACAAATACCACCCAATTGTTGCAATTAATAAACGTATTTGGCTATAAAAAGCTTTCAAATAACTTTCATTGTGAATTAAAGAAGTAATCCACCTAAATTTAATTTTTAATTTAAAAAACCCCAAAAAACTAAACATAAAAGGACAAAGCAAAAGACAAGTCCAAAACCAGCCAATTTTAGTTCCAAATCGATTAAATACATTATGTTTCTAAAAAAAATTAAAGAAATATTTTAAAAATAAAAAAACCTGTACAATATACAAATCTCGAGGAAGTTCGACAAACTCTGCTATAACAGAAAGTATCGACACCAAAATGAGATAAGCAATTACTTTCTTTGTAACATCAATAAATAAATAGTAATTGGCCAAATTTGTAAGAACTAAATTTTAAAATTAAAAAAAAATAATTGAAAAAAATTTAAAAACAAAAGAGGAATGTAAATTATTAATTTCTATAAATATTAAGGGAAATTTAAGAAAAATTTTAAATTTAAAGAATTTCTTAGAGATTTTCAGTGACCGTCTCACTTTGAGCTTATGTTAGTTTGTGTTTTACTCAAATAAATCACAAAAAAAAATTTATTTAAAATCTCGCAGATCCGTTAAAATGCTTATTTAATAAAGTTAAATAATTTGAAAAATAAGTCAGTTAACGATTAAAGTATTCGAGAACTAAAGTCTCCCTCAAATCGGACATATACCTCAAATTTTTCTGAAAATTTTAAAGGTCCCAAAGATTTTTCTACCAAAACTTATTTAAATTTATCACACTTACAATCCTCCAAAACTGTTTTTGTTCGATGAAATGAATTAATTGTAATATCATTTGTTTTATTACTTAAATCATTACTAACATTTGGTTGGCGTTTTCTAAGTGTCCCTTTATTTCTTTGAGAATTTTGCATTAAAAAATTTTTAATAGAAAATAATTTTTTTAAATCTGTTAAAATAAAAAAAAAGTAAAAAAGAAAAACTTAAAAATAAATTAACAAAAATTTGATGAAAAAATTAATTTTTTTTTTATTTCTTAATTTTTGGCAAAATGCCTTTTTTTTATTTTAGGTGGGGACGATTCAGCGCAAAGGTTTTTACCATAATTTTTTACAGAAAATTTTATGACCGTATTTATTCTAATATAACGACATGTCGTTTTAATTTTCAACCCTCTTCTAGGGTGTCGTTATATTAGAGACTGTCTTTATATTAGAATAAATACGGAATGTATTACTTGAAGGGCTGATAAGAACTTATATTTACTTATTTATCCACCCCAGGCTCTACAAATTGAAGTCTCCTACCACAGATTTTCATAGTATTTAAACAATTATTTTTCAATGTTTTTCCCAAATGAAAGCAACGTCATCCAACAACGCCACAACACAAAAGGTCAATCTTCAAACCAATCTCAAAGGCAATCAATTGAATATTGAGATTTGTTTGAAACTTCAGGTAAAATATTTTTTGTTTTTTAAAGACTAATTAAACTTCTCATTTTTTTAAAGATCAATCTCGGAAAACAATCAAAACAAAAGATGGGAGCTGCACAAATCGCGCCTTCGTCTATCAAAAACGACAAGAAAGAGGACAAACAAATGGAGTCTTGCAAGACGAAAAAATCGAAAGAATGTCTCGTTACAGACGAATCTATTGTTCGAAACTACAAGATTTTTCAATGTTCGATTGAGGAGCCGGTCAATCATGTGATTAGAGCTATGACTTTGGAGGTGGCTAAATCTTTGTTTTCTCTAAAATTTAATTATTTTCAGCATGCGGAGTCTTGTTTTGAAAATCTCCAAATTCAAAATCTGCTCATCTACTACCGTCTTCCTGATGATTGGCCTTCTGAATTGACTTTGGAATTGCCTCTAATGATTGCCTTCAAGGATGCTTCCAAAACAAAAGTTGTTCATCTGCAAATTGTTGACTTCTCTAGTGCTGAGCCGGGAAAAGATGAGAAGCTTTGGAGTACGTACAGGATTGGAAGTGGGTGTAATGAGCCATACCGTATTTGGTGGGTTCTTTACTTTGTTGGAATATTTTAATTTTATTTTTAAGCTTCGAGAGTGTTGAGCGCTTGTTGGAATATTATGGTTCGTTGACAACGAGGATTGCTACGAATAAATAAATATATGGAGTGTTAGTATGTATATGTGATGATAGTATAGGAGTAATATAGTCTAAAATATTGTATATATATGTAGATTTTTGTTGTTGAATATTGTAAAAATTGTGTGTAAATAATATAGAGGTTCTGTTGTTTTTTTTGAATTGCGTTTAATTGTTAAATTCCGATGTTTTGAGTAATTAGCTTCATATATGTATAAACACCCCTAAGGCTGGAGAATTATTGGATTAAAATACCCTGCCACCTCTATTTCCGAAATTCTGGAATTCCCTACGTTTTTTATGGGTCGAGCATCCCGATTCTCGAAATCGAAAATTTTCTAAATTTACTTTTAATTAATTAAAAAGATAAGCAGAACAGACAAATAATTAATAAAATAAATTATTTGTTTAATGACTTTTTTCCTTATCAATTTTCTTATATAATTGTGTTAATATAAAATATAGCAACAGACCATTAAAATAAAAATATATTCACAAAATAATCGATTGTTTCCTTATTTTCTGATAAAAATAAATATTTAAAATTTAAAAAATGAATAATAATACAATGCATCATAAAATGTGGATGTATTTCCATACAGATTTAAATGATACTTTACTTCTATCATGTTGGACGATTAATACGGCATTAGGTAAATTTTGAGAATAAATGAAGGGGAAAAATATTTTTTGTTTGACTTAAAATAATTTATTTAAAGCTTAAAATGAATGTATTAATATTTAAAATGTTTGGGGAAATGGAAAGGGGATGTTTTGGAAATAGGACCGAGAAGTCGATCAAAAAATCAGTTGTCGAAATCAAAAATTTCGAGATCTATCTCTAAATAAAAACTTTCGATCAATTGAAAGAGAAATAGCTAGCCGAGACCATCATTACTACTATAGGGGGACGGATTAATACTATAATAACTTTTTGATCCATATGAAACCTATAGTTTTTGCATTGAGCTTTTATTTCAAAAAATTATTCATAAAAAATTTAAAGGAATGTTTGGTGCATGTATAGGCCTTTATCTAACTGCCTTCTTTTTCGAATTTCTAAAATGGCTTCGTTTAATATTGGAACAGCGAAAAGAAAAAATAAATGGCCCGAAGTAGGGATTTATTTTATTAATGAGGACGGGATTTTGGCATTCTCTGTTTATACTGGCAAAGTCCAGAAAACTCAAGGACTCGTTCTAATATAATTTGTTTAACAGCCGAATCCCATTATAAGATACATATTTGAATGACCAAGCCCACGGTGTTTTGGCGTTTTTTTAGCCATTTTTGGCATTTTGTGTTTGGCGTTTTTTAAGAATTTGAAAATTGGCAGTTGGCATGCCTCTTGGAAATTTTGGTACATAGCCCTGATTCTTAGGACAAACAATCGTATCAAATAATTTGTGTATCTTAAGTGAGGGTATAAAGTTTAGACTGTCCCCAGCTCTGTATCCCCCTCCCCCCATTGGCTAACTTAATTTTACTCTGAACCTAATCTATGAAATTTAGGTTTATCCAATATTGAATGTTCCTTTCCTCGAAATCCCAAAGACTATTCCCTGAGAGTTCCTTGAGATCCCAAAAATGTCTAATTAATTATATATTCTTTTTTTAATTTAATTTTCAAGTCGTCGTTATGTCGATTCACTTCTAAGTTCTGCCCATTTATGCCAAACAGCATTATTTAGTTTACAATTATTAATATCCTATATATTAATGCTTGCTGTTATGACTTTCTCTGTTTGGATGCTTTTAGCTGTTTGTTTGGGGACGGCTACAGGTTTTTGGTTATTTGGAAGGCGTAAACCTATAATAAATAATTTAAATGGAAATGGACAAATGAACCCTGAAATTCATTAAAAAAGAGATTTTTTTAATTTTTAGGTATTTGAATTAAATTTAAATATCTAAAAATTAATATTCATATAATATAACATTCTTTTGGAGATTCTAAAATGGTATACAAAATAGCATTAAATGAGATTCTAATCCTTGTGAGGCAAAAATCCTTGTACTCCTTTATTCCATTCTAAATTTCCTGCCCAAACCTATTAACATACTAAGAAGGCTTATTAGATATTTATAGATAGCGTAAATACTTTAATTGAAGCCCACCTCTTGTAGAAGCCCACCTCTAATATAAGCCCATCTGAGGAGACCAATTGAAAAATATAAGCCCAGGGCTTCAATTAGAGTATTTACGGTATATTTTAGAAATTAATTTACATTAACCTTTTTTGGATATTCAAATCATTTCTTTTCTAAATTTTATTAATCATAAATTTTTAAACTTTTAATTAATAAAAAATATTTTTAATTTAACTAAAGTTTATTACTTTTAAAAATATTTTTAATGGTTATTTTAATTCTTTTTAAAAATCTTTTATTTTTTAAATAATTTTTAAAAAATGATGCCGATGATGCAAATGTATTTTCATTTTCGAGAGAATGAATATTTATTATTTAAAGGGATACTTCCAAACAATTTAACCGGTTAGACTAAAATAATTTTAAATAAATATTTATTTTTAGCCTATATAATCTCTCTTTTGTTTGTTCTAATTATTTCAGTTGTTTATGAAGCTATTCGAATTTTTAGAGCATTATTATATCGTTCAGAAGAAGGAAAACAGGTAAATTAAATTTAAAAAATTAAAAAGAAAATTTTCTTAAAAAAAGGAAGGGGAAAGAATTTGAGAAATGTCTTTAGCTTTGCTTCCACTCTTTTAATTATGTAGTTGGAATAAGAGGGCCCGGTGGAAGGTGGAAGAACCTTTAATTCTAGGGTAAATGTCCAGTTGGCTGTCTACCTGGGCCCTATTTCAATTGTCCACAGATTCTGCGGTCTGCGTTCTGTGCACAGACCACAGAACCACAGAAATTCTGTTTCAATTATTCCACAGATTCTGCGGAAAAAGAAGTCCGCAGATTCTGTGGAAACATGCACAGAATCTGTGGAAACATCCACAGATTCTGCAAAACATCCAAAAACATGCAAAAACCACAGAATTCTATTTCAATTATTTTTCTGTGCACAGAAAAAAATCCACAGATCTGTGGCTTTTTTAGTCGATTCTGTGCATTTCTGTTTCAATTATTTCTGTGGTCTGCGGAAAATACACAGAATTCTTTAAAAAATCCACCCTAAAATTTTTTCTGCGAACTTTCTGTGGAAAAACTTTAACAATTTTTTTCTAGGCCTAGGCTTAACCAAATTTCAAAATTTTTAAAGATTATTAAAGTTTGAATCATTCTCTATTTTTTGATATAAAAATTATAATTTTATTACCTAAAATTATTGCTTAAAATTAATTTTGAAAAAGGTACATCTTTTTTACGCAGTTTTTGTTATATTCAAGCAATAAAAAAATAAAAAACGTGAGAGATTCTGAAATTTAGAGCTATGATGTTCTAATCATCATGGATATCTCTAATGAGGGGATGTTTACCAGGATCTATAGAATATATCTGTATAGCGTATACTGGGATATCTCCCATGATCTCTCATTGATATCCGTCATAATCTCTCCTCCTATTTAATGATAGATTTCCTCCTTAATCACTCCAATATATTAAACCTCAAAATCAATGGATATCCCACTTAATCACTCCTCTACGATTTTAAAGTTCCGATTTGACTATAATTTTGGATTCCAGGCATTTTCGATTTCCAGGAACCTCAATTTCTGACTAAACAATCCCCAAACATTTCCCTCCCTTGCAACAACTTCTATCGTAGTTTGAAAAAGCCACATGTCGGATCGACATCTCCTGATTTTTCCGATCCGAACCCTGCTTTAGGACATTAATTTAATTGGAGATTTAAGGATATTGGATGAACAAGAAAATTAAGCGGTATATCAGCGGTTTTAAAGTGATATCAAAGAGATTTAAAGGGATGTTATGTGATTTGGAGGGAAAATTTTTAAATCTTTACAATATTTTTCAGTTTAATTTAAGAATTTTTAAAGTTTTACTTCAAAAAATCAGGTACCATTAATACTGCGGTAGTACCGAACTGTCCAAACCATTTTTCGTTTCAATAAAACTGTTATTTTCAAAAACGCGGAAATAAAAAATTTGAATTTAGAAGAAAAAATACACAGAACCACAGAAAAATAATTGAAATACAAATTCTGTGGATCAGTGGAAAAAATCCACAGATTTTTATATTTTCCACAGAAATTTTCATCCACAGAATCTGCGGAATGTTTCCACAGAATCATTGGATGTTTCCGCAGAATCTGCGGGCACCACAGATTCTGTGCACACAGAATTTAATTGAAACAGAATTTCCACAGAATCTGTGTTCTGTGCACAGAATGCAGAATCTGTGGACAATTGAAATAGGCCCCTGTCCGCAAAGAGAATCCGCTCTTTTCTTTCCTTTTCTTGCATTTTTTGCGTTGGGAGAAGTGCACCCGCTCTTTTTCCGTTTTCAGCATTTTTCCTTCTCAATACAGTATGTTTTCCTTTTCCTACTTGCAGAATAAATTTTAAAAATTTTAAAAGATAATTTAAAAATATTTTAAACAAATAATTAATATTTACAAATAATTAATATATAAAATAAATATAATTTAAATATGCCATTTGATATTTTATAATTTTGGCCTATTTTTATAATTTTACTCTATTTTCAAATAATTCCTCAGTAGAAAAATTCTGGATCCCATTGTTCAACGATCAAACTCTTGATCAAAAACTTGATCAAAGAAAAAATCCCTATTACTAGTTATTGAATATCTACATGGTTGCTATTTGAGAATGTTATCCAAAATTTATTATTGTAAAATAAATATATTTTTTAAAATATTTTTAAATTAACTTTTAAAATTTTTAAAAGTTATTTTGCAAGTAGGAAAAGGAAAACATACTGTATTGAGAAGGAAAAATGCTGAAAACGGAAAATGAGGGGGTGCACTTCTTCCAACGCAAAAAATGCAAGAAAAGGAAAGAAAAAAGCGGATTCTCTTTGCGGACAGGTAGACAGCCAACTGGACATTTGCCAATTCTAGTTATTTAACTCCATAACCCGAGTAAAGTTAATATTCTACAGAATTTAGGCTACAGATTTTAACCTCGAATAAATGGGGTTTCACTTTAATTTATTTAACCGATTTAACCCTCAATTTATTCTACGGGTTCACTGTTGAATTTTATCTCTAGTAAGATAGCACTTTGTATAATAATTGAAAAATATGTAGAATGCCTGGCCATTTAATTATAAAATAATTAATGAAAATTTAAGAATTGTCTAGCAAACAACGAAAATAATAACCAAATAAACAATCAACAATGTGAATGTTCACCCCCGCCACAATTACTATATCAAGCTTTAATGTTTTTTCTTTCTCAATTTTATAAATTAAATTTTTAATTTTTTAAAAGTTTTTCTGATTCTTCTTCTTTATTTTCTTCTTGGCATTTAACACAAACAATTCTGCATTTTACCCAATCTTTAATTGGATTTTGTTTAATGTTGCTGGCAATGACGTAAAAATTAAAAAAAATAAAATACAAGCACAAACCTCACTAAAAGACTTGGGGCTTTCTAAAAATCATATAGGTATATAAAATGAGTACCCTAAATAGTAGGGTTGGGGGCTCAATCCGGCCCAGTCCGAAAGATCGAGTCGGGCTTCATTTTGGCCCGAAAAAGACTGTCGGGCCGGCCCGATAAAAATAACTCGAACGTCGGCCCGACTCGAAAACCCCAACCCTACTAGAAAGTATCGTGTTAGACATTCTAATTTTAAAATCAATTTTAGAAGAAACTCTATCATTAATTGAGGCAAGGGTTATCTTAATTGAGAGGGTTTAGTTATATCTACTTTTTTACTTTAAAGGTATAATGTCCCTGTGTTTATATTTTTATTATTTGGACATATTTTTGGCTATTTTTTGTTTGGTCCTCTCTATCAACATGGATTAGTTGAAGAGAATCGTGTGGGGGGAGATTGCTGTTGTTCTTAAGAAAATTAAAGATTTTAAAAACAGAATTATATAAAATTTTCTAAAAATGTATAAAAGAAGTTTAAATTAATGGAAAAAATGTTTGGGGTATCAACATTTTTTCGGACAAAACTAAAAACTTTTAAATAGTCTGTATATGCTGTATTCTGTGTTTACTATTTTGGTGATAAAGTTAAACTCAATATAATTAAGCTCGAGTTAGAAAATATCTCGTCATAATGAATTTACATTTGTCCCTTGGAGTTTGTTATATAGAGGCTTGGGCTATATAAAGTCCTGCTATAAAGTAGGTATTTTTCCTTCTTAGCTTTTTAATTTAATAGGGGTAACTCTAAAGACCTTAAACAAGTGTCACTCTACCAAAAAAAAACAAAATTTAAAATAATTTGAGAATATTTAAAGCAAAAATTTTAAAAAAATTTGGACAAAAAATTATTAATGTGAAATACTAGTTGCACGTTTAGGTAAATTTTCAGGTGAATCAACGCTTAGCAAAGCTGGACTTGGACTATTTACTGCTTTCTCCTTTCTTTGTTGTTGTTGTAATAATTGTTGTCTGGCTGAATCTACAGCTATTACCTAAATTAAATAATTTAAAAATAAAAAAATAATTTTTTGTATTACCGATGAATGTCTTCGAATTTGTCTCATATATTCCTCTCCTGTGCCTTTTTGTCGCATTGAACTTGTCTGAAAAATTTTTTTTGAAATTTTCTTATGTTAATTTAGTTTTTGAAGTATTTTAGAAAATGCTCATCAAATTAAAATTTACCATAGACTTTCGCTGTTCCCTCAGAACAGATTGACTAATTTCAATATCTTCAATTGGTGTTCTATTTTTAATAAAAAAATTTTTTTAGAAAATTCTTTATTTTTTACTTTCTTTTTCTCTTTTTATGGGCAACCAAAACAAGTAAAGCAAAAATAAGTGCACATAAAGCAGCTACAGAAGATATTAAAGCTCTCTTAACCAAACTATCTTTACTCAAAATTGCCATCCAAATACTGACAGAAGCACTCAAAAGAGCACCCAGTAGGCAGAGAAATATCTTTTTTTAATAATATTTTTTTAGAAATATTTCTGAAATTTTGGTTTACTTTTACGAAATTTTAATTTAAACAATCAAAAAAATTTAACTAATTTCCACCTGAAATTCACTTGTTAATCTTCTTGTAGATTCAATTTTTGGAGGAGTAATTTGCTGACCTGCCAATCGAGCACCCTCCGCTGCTGCAGCAGCAATGGCAGCATCTTGATTTGTATAGCTTGACTGTAGAAGTGAAAGATATAAAGGACTTTTCATTTTTTTGTTTTGCAAAGAAAAATTAAAATGAAATTGGATAAAAACAAAAAGGATTGGATAATAATAATATAAAAGTTCTAATAAATAAATAGGTATATATCTTTACTTAATTACATCACGTGTAGGTGGGAAGTGAAGGACTAATTAGTAGGGATCGGATTTATATTGAAATAAAATCGGAAAATATGGCCATAAAATATTGAAATAAAATGGCATAATATTGACAAAAAATGGCAAAAATAAGCGAAATATTGAAATAAATTATCGTTTATTCACTAGCAAAACCCCAAAAAGAAATTGAAATTTAACAAAAAAATTTATCTCATTCTTAAAATCGCACATTAGCTTTATATTTCGACAAGAAATGAGTATTTTTACACTCTCAGACATTTTGAGATTGGCAAAATGTGTTGTGACCTTTTGGGTTTTGCTCAATATTCCATTTTGAGACTTTTGATCAGTGGGACATTTGAAGGCGGAACATTTGGGACGGCCTTTATGGGGATTTTTGTTCAGTTACTCATTCTGAGTTTTTGTTACTTGAGAAATTTGGGAGAAATTTGGGGGGGGGGGGGCGACATTCAAATAAGGGCCGGTCGCCATTCTATTGAATAATTATCGGAAGGCAACCAACGGTACTGTAGTGAATAATAGTCCACAATATCACTTTTTCAGCGCCGCAGGCGAAAATTTTGAGAATTTTGGTTGTCAAGCGGCTAGATTTCTTCAATTTTTCCTAAAATTAATGAAAAAACCACAAAATTTTGGTAGAAATATGCAAATATATTGAAATAATTTGCAAAAAGTGCCAAATATTGAAATAACTGGAAAATTGGCAAAATATTGAAATATATCGAAATGTAACTTCGTTCAAAATCATAATATCGTAAAACTAATGGCATATTTGGGCTTTTCTCGACATAATATATTCAGGAAAAAAAAATATATTTCAATACAAATCCGATCCCTACTAATTAGTAGTGATGGTCGGGATTCCCGGTCTCGGTTCCCGAGTCGGGAAATTTCCCGGGTTTTTTGAGCTCTCGGTCTCGATCTCGGTCTCGGTGTTTTAGTCTCGGAAACCGAGACTAAATTTACACCCCTAATGACGGAAATTTTTTGAATTTTATTCGTCCCTCGCGTACTTTGACATTTATTTTTTAAGAAAAGGGAAAGGAATATTTATATTTTTTCGTAAGTTTTCTTTTGACGGTCGATGGTTGAGTGGTGAGTGTGACTGACTTCAATCACTTCTTTATTTTGTTAGGTTTGGGTTCGAATCCAGGGGTGGAATTTAGGCTGGAAAAATTTTTCTTTTCAAAAATAAATGTCTTTTAACTTTTTTTTTGATTTCAAATTTATTCTTTAAATATTTTAAACTTGAAAAGACATTAAATATTTTAAATGAATCATTAATTTTTTAAAATATTCGCATGAGACGCCTAAATCCTCAGTATACATCCTCACTTGCGACGTAGAAAATGGGAGAAATTTAGCTTCATGACCAACAAAATTTTTCAAAAGTTTCGCCTGCGGCGCAGAAAATGAATGAAATTGGAGGATTATGGCTTACAACCTGACAAAATACAAGAATTATCGTATACGGCCTTAAATATTAGGGGTATCAATGACTTGTCGGATATCGGAGCTTATGGGGATTTGAAAGGATATAGAGGTGGATTCCCACATTATATTGTGAATGTGGGAATTCAAGGAATTTGGGGGATTATGAAGATATATAGGGGTATAGGATTATGAAGAATATATAGGGGTATATCAAGTGATATCCCTCCTAATCTCTGGTCTCGACTCTCGGTCTCGACTCTCGGTCTCGACCCGGGACTCGGTCTCGGGGTTGATTCCCGGTCTCGGTCTCGACTCCCGACTCTCGGCTTTTTTTAACTCCCGACCAGACCTGGGCGAAACTCAAAATTTTTTTCTGACGAAACGAAACGAAACAAAATTTTTTAAAAATCGTTTCGTTAACGAAACGAAACGAAACAACCAAAATCTTACGAAACGAAACGAAACAAAACGAAACATTTTAATATTCAAAAAATTTTCAAAACTGCATTTATTTCGAAATTATTCGACCTCAAATACGTTATTAGTCGACTATGACTTATAAATGATTTAGTTATTGGTTTATTTACAACAATTGTGTCCCATAAGCCAGGCCCGTAGCAAGGAAAATTTTCGGGGAAGGGGGGGGGTCAATCATTTTCGAAGCCAAATTTTTGGCGACGCTTTTTTTTAAATAAAATTGAATATTTTTCAAGTAAAATTTTATTTTAAGCGCCGCAGACGAAAAATTTTAAAATTTTGAAAGGCCGTAGGCCAAAAAATTCACCATCTTGCTCCATTGCCTACCCAAATTGTCTCCATATCTCCATTTCGAGAGGAAGGCGATATAAGCTAGTGCTTCGCCGGAAGTTCCGGTTCCAGTATTTCCGCAACTCGCAATCCGCAATTTTTAAATTATGATGCGAGTCCGGTAATAGAATTTGTCGTCGATTAAGTAATATGTATATGTGGATTAGGGAGTGGAGTATAAACGGATTTGTAGTATATAAGTAATTGCTATCTTCCTTTTTCAGCGCCGCAGGCGAAAATTTTGACAATTTGGGAAAGCCAAGAAGCCGAAATTCTTTTTTTTTCAGCGCCGCAGGCGAAAATTTTTTAAATTTTCAATAAAAGATGGTAAATTTTATAGATTTTGGCCTTAGTTTAGGCTTAAAAAATTGTTTCGTTTCGTTGAAAAATCACAGGTGTTTCGTAACGAAACGAAACGAAACAAATTTAAAAGTGTTTCGTAACGAAACGAGACGAAACAGTAAAAATCATACGAAACATACGAAACAACGAAACGAAACGAAACGTTTCGCCCACGTCTGCTCCCGACCATCACTACTAATTAGGCGCCTGCTGTTTGATCTCAATAATATTTTCCTGTTTATATTTTTTGTATATTAAAGATTATTCATAGATTAAATCGGACCACACTATCCTTTAGTTTCTGAAAAATTGTGGCTTATAATGAGGGTTATCTTAAATAGAGGGTATCGTCTAATTGTAAGTAATAGTCTATCTTAAAGTGAGATCCTCTCAGAGAAAGTAAAGGCTTTGAGAAGAGTCAGCGTCTAAATATCCACTAAATCCCCCCCCCCCCTTCCTTCCCTCAATAATCTCTCCACCCTCTCAAAAACCTTATAATGAAGTGAAGGTAAGTCAGATAGACGTCTCCGTTCCTGGCTCATTTGTGTGCTTGTTTTTATATTTTTTGTCGTTAATTTTATTTGGTAGTTTTTATTTTTTTTTTATTATTTGACGCCTGTCGTTATTTTTATTGCTTGTTTTTTTTATTTCAAAAACAAAAAGGCTAAAAAAAGTAAAAAATATTGGAAGGATTATTCAAGCATAGGGAAGAAGTAAAGAAGCACCAAAATAGATGGGAAAGTTAAAAAAGAAGAAAGGAGTAATGGCCCTAAGGGAGTGAGAACATGCTTTTTGAGGGGTGAATGCGGGGGAGTTTTATAAATATTTAGTTGAAAATGAGTAAGGGGTAGGGGGTATTTTAAATAAAAATAAAAATTGAAGTAGAGAATAAAATATGAAAAAAATTTAGTTAAAAAACTATAAGAGCATTTTTATTCCCAAAAATAGTTTTTATTATTCGATTAGCCTAAATAAAAAAATATTTAGCCTAAATAAAATTATTAACAAGTCTACTTTAATTAGTGATTACCGTAAAACTTTGAATAATTACCCTGGGTAATTATTGTTTCGTCCTTCCGCTGGAGGGAGTAATTAATTGAAGGGAGGGTAATTATACGAGGTTTGAAATTTGATCGTGTTTTAGGATATTTAATGGGGGTAATTATTATTTCAATCTATCGCTGGATGGAGTAATTGATAGAAGTGGGGTAATTATTTGAGGGAGGGCAATTAATACAGGTTATACGGTATATAAAAATAAAAATACTTTTTTACTTATTTCATTCATCTTTTAAATTTAAAATTAAAATGGTTAACTGTATTTTCTAAAAAAATATTTTTTTTAACTCTCAAAAATGAAACAAAAAAAGAAAGTATTAATGAATATATGTTAGTAGATAAAGCAATTCTTCTTTTTTTAAAAAAAGGCAAGCTTCCGACTCTTCTATAAAATCAGATTATGGCTTAAAAAAGCAAAGAATGAAACACATCAATAAATTTTAGAATATGCCAAAAATGGAAGAAAAAAATATATTTTTTCTTTTGTTTGATGGTTATAGTTTTTTTTAAAAATTTATCAAAAATGAGAAGGAACTTTTGTTTTAATGTGAAATGAAAAGAGATTTATGTATCATCCCGGGGGTATAATATTTTAAGATCCTCAACTCAAAACTATCAAAGTTGGAAAGAATCACTAAAGAAAGTTTAAGAGAGGACTTTTATGGGATAATCCTAGGACAAATGGTGTAGACAAAAAATGTATGTATACTTCAACGACTAATAGGACGAAAGTTCGATCACATTTTTGGAAAACAATTTTTATTTTGTAATTAGTGGAAAGGTAAATAAAAAAGCGAAATAAGCACAAATAAAAATTCAACGAATCCTCTGGTTAATATTAAAGTAATTATTAAGCATTGCTGTCTGTAATCAAAGAAATCTTAGACAGCAGCAACTAAATTCTATTTTTAAAATCCGCGGCCGTAAATCAGATATTATGTTCAAGACAGTAAATATCTTTATACATAACTACATCCTAATATTTTTATCGCGCATTAAGAAAGTTTATAGACATAAACAGCTTCTCTCTATACTTAATAGAAATACCCAAAAAAATATTTCTAGGTTACTTTAAAAGATGAAAACAAAAACATCTTTTATAAAATGTTTTTTTAAAAAAGAAAATATTTAGGGGATATATACATTAAAATATTATAAATGCTGGCACAAGATGAGGCAAAAAATGAAAAGAAAATATAAAAAAATTCTCTGTAGACATTAACAAAAAGCATTGGCACAACAAAAAATAAATGGCCCCAAAATTGTTTGGCCATTTATCGGCCATTCTTTTTTTAAATTCTTTGAAGCAAAAAATAATTCCAATCCTTATTAAATTGCTATTTTCTTTTTTTATATAATTTAGTTTCCAATATAAAAATTCTTGTTCCCAAAAGAATTAGAATCGAGGCTAATTTGGACTTTGGAAAGAAATTGAAAATAAAAAGGGCAAAAATAATGCTTGGATAAAAAATTAATTTATTTGCTTCCGCAGAGGTAGAAGGGAAGGAGGGGGTGCTTAAGAAATACTCCCAACTTTATTATAAGATCTTGTAAGGATTAATAATCAAAAGAAAGTGATCAGCTTGTTATCGAGAGGGGAATGAACCTCGTCTGGAAGATCAAATTTTTGTAGTATATCATAAAAATGAAGACTGAAAACTATCAAATTTTGGAACTTCAATAGTTTCAATTTTAAAAGAAGACAACAATTTTGAGAGGGAATAAAAAACATTTTTTAAACACTTCAAAGGAAAATGAATTGCCAGCCTATAAACTTCCTTGGCTCGTGTCAACTTTCATTTTTTAAAAAATTTCCCAATCTAATTCATCTTTCGCCTTTTTAAAATAAATTTTAACAGATCACACACCTCTCTCTCTTAATTTTTTTGTCAAAATCCAAATATTTTTCCTTAAATATTTTAGAGACACAGTTTTTTTGTTTTAAAAGAAGCAACTGTTAAAAGAAATTAAAATATAAATTCTCTAAAACTCCTCCAACCTTTAATTCTTTAAATATTAAATTCTTAAAATTCAGGTGACATATGTATAAATCGAAAATGTCAAAAAATCAAAGCACAGATTTTTTGCAACATTTTAAGTTTTAAAAATAAATTTAGCTACCTATATTTTTTGTAAATTGTATTTTTAGAAATGTCTAGTATTATTTCTGAGAAAATGCTAAAGAAATAAGTATCTATTTTACAAATTTATAATATTTGTGGTGTTCGGGAAAAAATTTTTAAATTTAATAATTTAAAGAAAAACAAAATTCTACTAATTCCTCGCAGTTAGCCAATATTATTTAAAAAATATAACAAAATTTTTTTAATAATTAAATAAACAATTTACTATTTAAAAAATACGGACATAAAACCAACCAACACAAAAATCCAAAAAAATGCAAAAAATAAAGCAAAATTCTAATTCTTTTTGATTTAAATAATTCAACATCATCAATTAATGGCACTCCAAAATTATTACAAATTGAATGGCAAATAATTGGAGAAATTATATTACCTTAAATAAAAATTAATTTTAAATTTTTTTAATAAATTTTCAGGTAAATCCACACTAACAGACTGACTTTTGACAAAAAAATTTTCTGTTTACAGTTAAAAATCTGCAATACTCTAAAGTAAAGCAGCAGGGCTATAGCTATTTCTCTCCTTCAGCTAGTGCAAAAGGTTATTTGGCGACTGGGAGCGAACCAGTATCTTCAGTAGACCGGACTGATGTGTTAGCCATTACACCACGCCGCCTACTGCACAGCCTTAAGAATATAGTAAATAGCTGGCTTTACACTACTATCAAAACTAAATTCAATTCAGAATTATTAATTGAAATGCTTGTCCGCAAATATCGATGAACCAATTTTTTAAATAAATTTTAACCTGTTTGAAAAAATATATATGTTGCATATAATCCAAATAAATAGGTGTAGAGCATTTGAAAAACTTTAAAATTAAAAAAAATGAAAAATATTTTAGAAAATTTATTGGACGGGTAACAAAAAAAAATACTCCAAAATTTAAAAAAAACCTCTAGAAGCAAAAGCATTAGATAACGAAATTCTCCTTTTTCTATCCTCAATTAAATGGTGAATATGTGAAAAGGAAAAACTCTGAAAAAAAAATAAATTTTAATAAAAAAATAATTTAAAAACAAACAATTGGAGCAACAAAAATAGTCAAATTATTTCCCAAACAATGAGCTAATAAAGGAACAGAACAAGCACGAAAAGAAATTTCTTCAGTTATTGGAGCCTTAAAAATTTATATTTTAAAGAAAAATACTTCTCGATTATAAGCCATTGCTTTCTTTCTTTTTCTCCAATCTCCAAAATATTACAAATGGTCTGAATAATGGTAAAAAATTTAAATTTATTTAAGAAAAGCAGTCAATCAGAGTAAAATCATTTTAGAATTTCTTTCTTGATTAAATTTAAAAACTATACTGATGCTTTCTAAACAATTTAATACCTTACATTTGTAATATTTTGGAAAATGGAGAAAATAGAGGGAAGAAAAGGATAAAAAGTGGGGGCTGATAACCGAGAAGCATCAGAAATATTTTTTTAAATTTACTAACCATAATTGACTGTCTAATCCATAAAATATCATTAAATTGGTTCCAAAAACCGAAAAAAATATTTAAATTAAATTTAAAAAATTAAAATAAAACCTTTAAATTGAAAATTTCCATCAATTATTAATGTTGCTATAGTTCCCAAATAAAATATTAAAGTAAGTAAAGATGGCAATAAAATGGCAAAAAATAAATTATTTGAGCGAAATCCCATTTGAATAAAAGGATGATCATAAAACTGAAAAAAGAATTATTTTTAAAAGTTTTGGAATTATATCTCAATTAAGGGCTTGTTAAACAGTAAAAATTCTGAAGGGATATAAAGAAGGCGCAGCTTTCTCGAAAATTCAACCCAAAACTTGAATAACCCAAAACAAAAAATGGAGTCCTAAAAACCAATAAAATTGCGCCTGAAAGGATTTATTCAGACGCTGGCTCGCCCGAAAACGGCAACTCTAATTACAATTTCTAAAAAATTAAAAAAAGATTAATTTACCAATCCAATTAATTGATATGTCAAAATAATTCCAAAAAAATTATTTAAAAAAGCAACTATAAAACGTCTCCAAACATTTGGAATATAATCCCTCGATTTATTGTGATCATAAAATGTATTTATTGAAAGAACATAAGCAAATTGAATTAAAAATCCACCAACAAATAAGAAAATAGGGCATTCTTTCATAAATCTATTGAGAAAATAAATTTAAAAATTCTCTTTTACGTAAATATAGTAGTAAAATGCTCCTTTTAACTACATATACTTCGACCCAATATTTTTACACTTTATCTATTGTAATGAATAGGATGTCAAAATTTTTATGACTTGATTGTGGATCTTTCGAACCATCTCTTATGAAAATAAAAGTGAAAGTATAGTTATATGGAGCAATACACACAGGCCCGTAACCAGGATTTTTTTTCGGGGGGGGGGGGGGCCAAGGGGGGAAAATTTTTTCTGCGCCAAATTTTTGGCGCCGAAGGCGCCAAAAATTTTTATTTTCAGCGCCGCAGGCGAAAATTTTGAGAATTTTTGAAGGCCGTAGGCCAAAAAATTCACTTTTTCGGCGCCGCAGGCGCCAAAAATTTGATTTTCAGCGCCGCAGGCGAAAATTTTTTGAATTTTGGACCTCAAAGAGCCAGATTTCTTCCTTTTTTAGCGCCGCAGGCGAAAATTTTTTAAATTTCAGAGGCCGTAGGCCAAAAAAATTCACTTTTTTTGCCCCAGCCCTTCCCCAAATTTTTTCCTTTTTCCCATTTCGGGGGGGGGGGGGGAATTCCCCCCCCCCCCCCACCCCCCCTGGTTACGGGCCTGAATACACATACCTCTATTAAAGACGAATTTCACCTTTCGGTACTCCCCTGAGGTCTAAACAAATTTCCAGCTTAATTAAATTTTAAAAAACATTTTTTACAAAATAAAAGTATTTTAATTTTAAATAAATTAAATCGAAAACAATTAATTAATTAATATTTATTTAAAAATCTTTATAAAATAATGTATAAATCTAAAAAAATAATTTAATCAAAAATATATCTCTGTTATATATCTATTTAAAAAATAAAAAAATTCTAAACCTCAATTGCTTTTATTTATCCAAAACTCTCTGTACCGACTCTCTCATTATTTTTATTGTTTCACATGGATTTGGTGAACGAATAATTCCAGTGCCAGAAACAATTAAATTAGCACCTAAAAAATAAATTTATTTTAAATAAATTAAATTAAAAACCAAACCTGCATTAGCACATTCTTCAATATTTTCAATTCCAACCCCTCCATCTACTTGAATATTTAAAGAAGGAAATTCTTTTCTTATTATTCTAACTTTTTCAAGTTGGTCACTCATAAAGCTTTGCCCACCAAAACCCGGCTCAACTGTCATTACTTAAAAATAAATTTTGTGTAGATATTTTGGTATATTATTAGCAATGAAAATTTAATTAATGAGATTAATGTCAAAATCGAGGCCCAAGGGCTCCAGGAGGTCAATTTCAGGGGAGGGGGTTCAAACCCCTGAATACGCCCTTGTCGGATGAATTTTTACGAAAAAGATTTTAAACTATAAAATAATAGGCCCAAACGAAACCTAATGAAGGGAGGGCTAAAAATACTTTCATAATAAAAATATTAATTCCTTACTCAAAGCTGTATCAAGTTCATTTGCAAATTTCAACATATCTTTAACCTTAAAATAAATAAATTTTTAAAAAATAAATTTAAAAAATAAAAAAACCTCAGTTTTTGGTTTAATAGCCATTCCACATTTTAAACCCAAAGATTTAATTTTATTAATTAAAGAAAACACTTTATCGTCTTCTCCAGTAAAACTTGGAGCTTCGAGATGAAAAGTAAATTGATTAATTCCTGCTTTGTGCATAGGAATTAGCCATTGTTCAGGATTAGAAACCATCAGATGGACATCAAAAAACTAAAAAAAAAGTTTTAAAAAAATTAGAAAAAATATTATTCAGAACAAAAATTCTCATATATTTTCCAAATTAAAAAAACCTACAGGATTAGGTCCCAATTGCTTCCTCAAACACTCAATTAATGGATGTCCAAACGTTAAATTCGGCACAAAATGACCTTTTTAAATTAAGAAAAACTGATAAAATAATTCTCTTACCATCCATTACATCCAAATGTAAAAAATCAGCCCCACAATTTAACAATTTACGAGACTTAAAAATTAATTAAGATTTAAATAAATTAAAAAAACCTCATTAGCAAGTTCAGCAAGGTCAGTATTCAATATTGATGGACAAATAATAGCACGTACAGACGACATAAATAAATTTTTGTTTTATCTAATGGAAAATTTTTCTTTATTTGAAAAATATTTAATAATGTCAGCGCCGGGCCGGATCCAACCCAGAGCTGGTTAAGGACGATTCAGTATCGCCGATTCAGTATATGGCCGTAACTTTCCTGATATTCGACCGATTCGAATAATTCTCATATCATTCGAAAGGTTTCGAGATTTGACATCTTTTTCATAATTGGCCCGATCCGTTCTGTGATCACAAAAAAGTTAGCCTATTAAATCATATATAAAAATTTCTACAATATTGATTGAGCAAAAAGTTATGATCAAAAAGCCCAAATACTACAAAAAATTATTTTCGCCAAATTTATCAGTCAAAGACAAATATTTATTTATGACAATATACATATTACATACAACATATTACACAATACATTTTATTGTATCACAATATACATTTCACAATATCTTCCTTTTATATTCTCATCATTTAGCCTTCGTCTTTCCTTCCATCTCAATCTTCTTCACAGCTTTTTTGCCCTCATTAAGTGCATGAAGACAAAGCTCGCCACGCAGAACCATTTTCGTTGCACTTTGCATATCTCGAAGAGACAGAGTTGGTTTCTTACTGATGAGGGAGAGTCCACCAGCCTCGGAAGCAATGCGGTCGAAGAAATCCATACAATAACTGTAAAAATAAAAAAAATTTAGTCCCAACATTTTGGAACTCAAATTGACTTAGGCCCCTACCCAGTGGCTAACCAAGATTTAAAAATGCTTAGCATTGGATTTGGGGTCCCGGATATCCGAAGATTTCCCAAGAACCGACAACCCAAATTTTTTGTATAGCATTAAAATTATTGCCTGTTCATAACATCCATTCCACGCTTCGAAATACGCATTTCACCTTTATGAACATCCTTCAGCACGCGGTAGATGTGCACTCTGAAAAAATAAATTTTAATTAAAAGTTTTGTGTTTAACAAGAAAAACTAACTTGAATGTGCGCTTCGGCTTACGCTTTCTCAATTTTGCACTTCCTCCGCTGCCAACAGAAAGACGACGTCCACTTTTTGCCTTCTTTGACGAAGTTGGTGACTTTTGCCTCTTTGCGATCGTTTTGCGAGCTGGGCTTTGAGCTCTTGCCTGGACTGATTGACCACGAACAGTTTCACCGTCTCCTCCACCTTTGTTGTTGCTTGCCGATCCTTTCTTTTCCTTGGACTTCTTGTTGTCGTCCTTGTTGTTCTGACCCATCGTTGAGAAGAAGAAGATTGTTTTTTTGTTTGGGGGAATAAGAAGATTGAGGTTAACTAGCGAGTTTTATGTTTGCTTTTATAGTATTAAATCTTAATGAACGTGGATTAGCATTGAAAAGGTCTTAATGTTCCACACTCACTATTTTGCACCAAAACGGACTATCGATGAATCTGACACTTGAGTATATCTTTTTAGGGTAGGGGACGACTCAGTATCGCCGATTCAGTAGACCGATTCTGTATTTGGGCTTTTTGGCCATAACTTTTTGCTCGATCGATATTTTAGGAATTATTATATATGATTTGATAAGCCCCGTGGCGCTGCATCTTTTTCATAACTAGCGGAGTTGGTCGGCCTTCGGCCGCCCCACCCCGCTAGCAAAAACAAAACAAAACCAAAAAACAAACTCAAAATCAACTTATCACAACCTCAAAATCTCCCTTTCCGCTAGCATAACAAAACTATTCAACTCAAGATCCGATTCAAAAGCCTTCGGCCGACCCATCTCGCTTACCCATTTTTCTCCTCACAATTCCACCTGCTTCACAATTAACCTTGTTCACAATCCGCCCTGTTTCAATATTCCGTCTGCTTCACAATCCCCCTTCATTCCCCCTTGTTTGAATATTCCGCCTGCTTCACTATTCCCACTGTTTCAATATTCCGCCTGCTTCACAATTTCACCTGTTTCAATATTCCGCCTGCTTCACAATTCCACCTGTTTAAATATTCCGTCTGCTTCACTACTTCCCTGTTTAAATATTCCGCCTGCTTCACTATTTCCACTGTTTCAATATTCCGCCTGTTTCACAATTCCCCCTTCAATATTCGCCTGAAATTTGACGCCTATCACTTGACACTTGAACGTTGACGCCAAGCTCTTCACATGCTCGTTGACGTCTAGCACTTGGCACTTGAACGTTGACGTCTAGCACTTGACACATGAACGTTGACGTTTAGCACTTCAAATGAACGTTGACGTCCAGCACTTCAAATGAACGTTGACGTCTAGCACTTCAAATGAACGTTGACGTCTAGCACTTGACACATGAACGTTGACGCCTAGCACTTGACAAATGAACATTGACGCCTAGCACTTCAAATGAACGTTGACGTCTAGCACTTGACACATGAACGTTGACGCCTAGCACTTGACACATGAACGTTGACGTCTAGCACTTGAGACAAATGAACGTTGACATCTAGCACTTGACAAATGAACGTTGACGTCTAGCACTTGACAAATGAACGTTGACGCCTAGCACTTGACAAATGAACGTTGACGCCTAGCACTTGACACATGAACGTTGACGTCTAGCACTCCAAATGAACGTTGACGTCTAACACTTGACACATGAACGTTGACGTCTAGCACTTGACACACTTCAAATGAACGTTGACGTCTAGCACTTGACAAATGAACGTTGACGCCTAGCACTCAGAGGACACAGGACTCCAGCAACGTAGAAAAGAGCAGGGCAATGTTGAGAAGTGTTGGTAGCAGTTGAAGAATGATCAAAATACCCTACTTTTATACTATCTTCTCATTCTCACAACCTAATTCAACTGGTAACGATTTACTATAAAAACCCCCCTTTTCCTCACTCCCCCAAATCATTTTACTATAAAAACCCACTTGTCTATAAAAGGACAGACAAACAAACGGACAAACCCTTCTCAATTATATAATTAGATTGGTCTGGCCTTATCTGATCATTCTACAAAACTATTTTGCACCAAAACGGAGTATCGATGAATACTGAATCGGCGATACTGAGTCGTCCCATACTCCGATTTTAAGCTTCACATTTTTATGGTTTCCAACTCGAATGAAACTAATTATTTAAGAATATTGTTTGTAGGAGACTGTCTGTGTTAGTGCCTTAATCTTTGTCATCTTTACAGTAATATATTTTTAAAATTACAGTAATATTTCTAATATAGGTATATTTAATTTCTTCATATCTCCTAATTAGCGTCCCGAATTGGCGATGTTTGCTTCAATATTAGACAGACCTATCCATAACGGTAAAAGATCTACAGTATACATTTCAAAACAAGAGTCAGAATTTTTCGCCCTCAAAGCTTCGTCTGAGAATGTTTGGAAGAAGGAGGTTTATTCAAATAAACTTTACAAAAAATTACTAATTTAAGATGGAGGTTTATCGTACTCTACAATCTATTCCTGGCAATAAATTCACTCGTATACAAGAATTACTCGCCTCTGGTGAACTCCCAGTTTTCTTCAAAAGTCGAGATAGTCAACATAAATTCTACATTCTGACAAGGTTTTTTGAACTTTAAACTTAAAGAGGTGTAATAATCTTTTTGAGGTATAATAATCTGAGAGATGTCAAAACATGGCTTAGTCGAATACCTGGATTGTCTGAGGCAATGAGGTTTAAGGCTGCTCGTGAAGTATAGTCCAATATTTATAAAGATATAAATTTTTTGTAAAATGGTCAGGTCTCAAAATGGTCAGATGTTTTATTCATGATCCGGCCCTTTTGTCCAATTGACCATTTTGGCCCTTACCATTTTTAGTAGAACAAAATAAAAGATTTTTAAAGGCCAAAACTTAAGATGAATTTTTCTTTTTCTAGACTCTCCTTGCCTTGAAGGAACTTCATCTACTTGGCTTTGTCTCAAGGGATGTCAAGATGGAGAACTTTGGTGTTCACATAACAAAAGATCATCGTCTGAAATTCTACGTTTATGACTTTGAATTGTCACAAAAATACAAGGATATTGAGACGGGTAAACCAACTGTTCAGAAAATACGCGGTTCAAAAGGTTTTGGTACAACAGAATCTGCCCCATTGGTACAAATGACTGGATCTAGGGTTTTTTTGAAAAATTTTTGAAAATTTTTTTTTAAATTTTAGCGGACTTTTCCTGTTGATGATGTTGAAGGTTTAAAAAGAGGCACTTTAATTATAAAAACAAATTATTTTTTAGGATGGTTTTACTGTTTATATCACATTTTATGTGGCTCGATTCCGTGGGATATCGGATGGCCTGAACCGGAATTTCGTAGATCTACTTATGCGACGACGTATTCGGGGATTCGGTATTTTTTGAATTTTATTTATGTAGTCGGGCCTCGCTCTAAGATAGGTTGTTTTAGATTCTCGGGTACGCGTGAACTTCTCTAACACGTCGCCTTCCCACACATCACTTCCTTTCATATGACGACTCATTTTGTTCCAAGAGCCTTCAATATACCTAACAAAGCCTTTAAAGTCCCCAAAATACCAAACTGTGTTTTAGTTTGATTTGCATCCTTTTACTTATCATCTGAATTGAGGTTGGATTTTTCGAACCGGGCCGTCGTTCGAGTTATTTTTTGGGTCAAAGTTCGATGCCCGATTCGATCTGTCGAACCAAACCGGGCCCCCAACCTTAATCTGTATATCTATGGGCGGGTATGAGGGGGCGTATCTCGAGAAGGCTTAACTATCTGAAAATATATTTTTTCTTAAAGTTATACTAAACAAGAAATGCATAAAACTGGAAGAATTTATTGGTATGTTGATTTACTTTAAATTTCTAAAAATTCTCCTTCAGTGCAAAGAAATACGATTGTCTAATGAGTGCAATCTTCAATGTAATCCTCAAATGGTTGAAAACACCAGAGGTAGTAGAGGCGCGTTTCTATGATGAGGTTTTTTTATTTTATGCGATTTATGGGGAACTTTAAAGTTTACGGGCCAAAATTTTCATTTTGGTACTATTTCGCTGGTTTTACCTCTGGACCTTTTACCTCCCAGGCCAGATAGTTATAACTCCGAAAACCCAGATGCATCTAAATTTTACCAAAATATCGAATACTAAAAAGAAAATTCCCTCTTAATTTGTCTCACATTCAACCTTTTTAATTTAAATTTCCCGCTAAAAATAAATTTCAGATATGCTCAATTTTGAAGAGAGGAGTGTACAACTGTGGAAAAGCAGAATTGATGGATTGCAGCATTCACTGCTCGAAGCATTATAAGAAGCATCAACGTCATAACGCTTAACAGTTTTATTAAAATATATTTATTTTCTAACATTTATTTACTATATTTATTTCACATCCATTCTATTTACCCCTATTATTTCTGTTATTTTTAGCCCTGTATGGTGAGAATTGGATTCGTAAATATGTTTTGCATGATCTTCAAAATAAGTTTCTCTGTTGTTATTCTGTGTGAGCTTCTTTCTATTCTCATTTATTATTTTTGTTCTGAATAAATATGTTTAGTTCTGTTATAATTTTCAAAGTGATCTTAACAATTTCCTTAGGGTTAACAATTTTAGTTATCTAATAAAATGTTTTAAAAGAATTCCTTAACCTTTTTTGAATCGACTGAAATTGGAAGGTTCGTCGAAAAATTAAATTAAAAATGAAGTTATCCTGCATTTTTGATAAATTTTTTTATTTGTTTTTAAATTCTATTTTTTTACTCTGGGGGTATAGGAGATATCTGAGGATTTAGAACCGGCGGCATGGAACTGGTTTTGGAACGGAATCGGCTGCACGAAAAGGTACCCCCACCGAACCCAGAGTATTTTGGGGCGCACCCTTAATTCGTCCCACACAAAATTAGTCCCAAGTGTTGTTTTCCGGGATTTTCGACACTAAGAATTTCTTAGTACCAAATAATAAAAATTCGGTCCTCATAAAGCAAAAAAAAAACGAGCCCGAACTCTAGAGAATTTAAACATTTTTTATGCCAAAGTTACCAAAGTTTAACTTCATTGAAAATGAATGATTTTGGTACCAATTAACTTGTCTCGTTCAAGAACAGAATGACGTCCGCAAAAAATTATTGAAAATTATTATTCGTAAAATTATTCGTCCGCAAAAAAATTTGAAAATTTAAAAAGCACAGAAATTTGGAGGGATTAAAGGGGATACGGTGGAATTGGATCTCTTAATCCACCAAATTACTGAACATCTTCAAATCGCGCTAATTTCGCTATACGAGAAATTTTATCCGAAATTTTTGGCGATTTAAACTTATGTAAGTACAGTAGGCAACTTGGGCAGTAAAATTGTCAGAATAATTTAGGCAATATTTTAGAAATTTAAAATTTTCTCCAAAAAGAATTTGATAAACCGCAAAATACTACATTTTATATACACAAAAATATTCAATATGTACAATACATAAATAGGTACAATACATATCACAATACATACAATTCAATCAAAATACATATATCTGAGATAGTGATGTTCGGGTATCCCGACTCCCGACACCCGACTCGGGAAATTTCCCGAGTTTTTGGCCTCCCGATCCCGACCCCGACTCCCGATGCCAATTCCCGACTAAGTCGGGAAATTTTTACACCCCTAAGAATGGCTTTTTCTCATAAAACTTTATTTTTGAAAGGAAAAAATAAAGAAAAAAATAAAAAAAAGAGAAAGGAAAAATAAAATATTTAAATTTTTTCCAATTTAACTATTGTTGAGACGTGGTTGAGTGGTTAAGTTGAGTGACTTCAGTTGCTTTGTTGGGGCTGGGTTCGAATCCAGGGCTGGTAAATGTTTTTAAATAATTTTTCCACCCAAAAATAAATGGTTTCAACATTGATTTTAATTTTAAAGTTATTTTTTTCAATACTATAAACGTCAGAAAATTCCAGAAATATTGAGTTAGTCATGGATTTTCAAAAATTTTCGGCTGCGGCGCAGAAAATGAAAAATATCTGACTTCTTAGCAGTGATGGGCAAAGTTCCAGTTCCAGTTTCGGAACTAATTAGTTTTAGTTCCAGTTCCAGAACTGGAACTACGGAACTAACGATTATCTGGAACTAGTTTGGAACTAGAACGACGGAACTAGTAAATGTCTGGAACTAGCTTTGGAACTAGTTCTGGAACTAGTTCTTGGGGGTATATTTTTGACAAGATTCCCTCGATGAAGTTTCTTAAATTCTCAGAATGTTCGCTTGCGGCGCAGAAAAAGTGGATTTTTTGGCCTACGACCTTAGAAATTCTCAAAAATAAAGGACGAAGTCTGGTTCTTAGCCTTCGACTTAAGAAAATTTTTGCCTGCGGCGCGGACAAAGGATTTTAGATTGTCGAGAGTGATCATAACATCAATGGCGTATCCAGGAGGTTAGATGTCTGGCTTCCTGACCTTCCAAAATTCTCAAAATTTTCGCCTGCATAGCAAAAAATTTTTTTGTTGTAAATTCCCGACTCCCGATCCCGACTCCCGAAGTCATTTCCCGACCCGACTCCCGTTTCCCGATTCCCGAGTTTTTTCTTCTCCCGAACATCACTAATCTGAGATAAGGAATTATAACACACAAATACCAAGGTGTATAGCCTAACAATAATATATACAACACACAACATTGAGTATAGAAGGGGGACAAAAGAAAATATACAACAAAAGGTGCAATTTAAGGATTTTGAGGGGGAGGAGGAGGAGTATCAGGAAGGCCAGCAGACACGTTCTCATACAATCCACTCATCGTTCCAAGATTCAGAGCAGGAAGAGGCGCTGGTGGTGGTGCAGCAGTTGGCAGTTGTCCTTCCGTGGCTTTCTCGGTTGGAGCAGCAGTAGTCGGAGCCAATGGCGCAGGAGTGCTTCCTTCTGTCTTCGCTTGCTGGTCCTTTTCTTCCTTCTTGGGCACAGCCGCTTCTTCAGGCTTGGTGGTGATAGCCTTTACTTCTTCCTTCTTTTCTTCTGGCTTTTTGGTAGTCTCAGCAATCGGCGCCGCAGGAGCCTGCACGTCTTCTTTCTTCGGTTCACCAGCACTCTTCTCAGTTTCCTTAGATGGCCCTTCAGCTTTTGATCCTTCCCTTTTAGACGACTTGACTCCACTTTTGCGCTTGCTGTGCCCGACTTTTGTTCCGCTTGTGGTCCTCTTGCTGGAAGAAACCTTCGTCCCGCTTGTGGTCCTTTTGCTCCCAGAACTTTCTAAAGAATTCATCAATGGAGCGAATAATAAAATTTTATCTAACACTTCTCTGGAGCGACTAAATAATTGACTCAGACTTGAATAATACTTGACCGTCTTACGTCTACCTGACCGACTTACTCATTGCGGCCTTGAATAAACAAATAATCGGGACTTACATCTTGCCCATGACTGCGGTTCCTCATATAATCAAAATACTGAATACAACATGCTCCTTCACTCTGCTCCTGATGATCAAGCTCGAATTCATCGAATAATCTTCTAACCAAAATACTAAACTTCTGGACCGAATAATCACAATAATCACAACTTTTTAAATCTCGAATTGGTCCGACTAGAATTGACTAAGGTTTGCTAGGCCTTGTCGAATAGATGAATTCGATCGGCTTGAATGCCTGCCACACTTCAACTGACGCCGTCTCCTCTGAACAAGAATCTGATGTGCTCTGCGAATCTCCGAATAATCCGAATACTTCCCCGAATCTGAATAATCCGAATAGTCCGAATTGTGAATCAATGATTCACGACTGCGACCGCGCCACTGTTATGTCCTAGGTTAGCGGTCTTACCTAGTGACAAACAGAATAACACAGGAATAGAATATAACGTTTATCCGAATGGTAAATACTACAATAATGAAGGTGGCAAAAGGCAAGAATGATGAAGGACAGACGGCGCCGGTCGACCCAGGTGTCGACCAAGACTGATCTCTAACGACTCCTTTTATACTAGACCCACACATACCTAACACAGTTGCACCTAGAATTTTAATGAGTTATTAGCTTTACTCGAAAATTAGTCTATTTTGTGTTTACCTTTCTTTTTGTCAGCAGCTTCCTTTTTCTTTTTATCATCCCCTTTTTTGGGTGTTTCAGCCGGAGTTCCTCCTTCTGCCTTCTTTGTTTTCTCCTTGGATTTTCCTGAATGCTTGCTGCGTTTGCTTCCGCCCTTCTTGGCCTCGCCAGGAGTAGTAGCTTCAGCAACCGGCTTTCCAGCTCCTGCCTTTGACTTGTCGCCTCCCTCTTTCTTCTTAGCATCACTGCCGCGCTTGCTCGTGGACTTGCCCTTATGACGAGACTTCTTTTCATCAGCATCTTTAGCTAAAAAAACAAGAAATTTTTAATAGAAAAACCAAACTAACAAAAAATAAATTTACCTTTTTTCGTCTTTTCCCCTTTTGCAGGTGTTGTAGCAGCAGGAGCAGGACTTTTGCTATCCTTGCGGCCTCCACGCTTGGAAGTTGACTTCGCTTTCGATGACTTCTCCTTCGTCTTTTCAGGCTTTTTCTTGTCCGCACCTTCGGCATCCTTCTTAGGCTCTGTCACTGTTGATGGAGATGGCTTTGAAGATGGAGGAGGCTCAGCAGATGTAGATGTTTTCTCGGCAGATGATGTTTCAGAAGACGGAACTGGAGCAGGCGGAAAGACTGGAGGAGGCTCAACATGAAGAGGGAGAGGGCGCTCATCCTCGACCACAATTCGCAATTCCTCGTCTTCATCCAGCAAGGCCATGGTGTCGACTGTTTTGGTAGAACGTTTGGAACGTTTGCTTCTGCGTCTACTGGGCTCCGGCTCGACAGGGTCAACATTCTGAAAAAATAAAAAAATAATAGAAACGTTTTTTAAACATAAGAGTAAAGTGTCATTACCTTCCCAGCTTGTCCTTGACTGAACATGAAGAATCCAGCAGCCAGAAGAGCTAGAAGAAGGAGCAGGAAGAACATCCTTGGATTTTGTGTTGTTTTTGAAGTTTTGTTGTTTGAAGAGAAATGAAGATTTGATAGTAGGTAATCCTTTCGGAAGAGCCCGCTTTTTATACAGTGAAAAATGTGAGCAGGCGGTTCCTGTTGTGTAGTAGTGTCACTATAGTATGTATAAAAGTCCGTGTCAGCGTCGGCTATTTGGATAGCATACTAGTCCGTCTAGTCCCTGATTCCCTTCGTCTGTTTCTACCCAGTCCATCTTCACACACATGTACATTTCTACTACAGAAAACGTTGATCTTCTGCAACGTCTACATCAGCAACCCTCGGACATCACAGCTACGCAGTCGACAACGAAAAGAACCAGCTCGTCTACAGAACGTCTACAGCAGCGTCAACAATCGTCAACAGCAACATTGAGTGAAATGTGACGAGGTGTAGTGAATTGCTTTAAGCAATTAGTGAGTATTTGGTTGTAGAGTGTGGACTGACGTCGTAGTTGAATTATCTGGCATTCATGAGAGTGTAAGTCCAGAGATTGAAAAGTAAATTTTGGGCATGAAAAAGAAAAAGTATGATAATTGGCAGCAGAAAGCGTAAGACCAAAGTAAGGGTATTTTAAGTAAGGGTATATACCCAGAGGATAAAATTGGAATAAATCTGGCCTCAAGCCTTCCTAAATCTGAAATTTTTACCTGTAGCACAAAAGGAGGAAGCCTTGATTTGAATACAAATATTCAGCAATCAATGAGCGAAAAAAAGCAAAAGATATCTACAAATAATCCCTTAATAATCCCGAATCCTCCGTGATCCCCCTGTATCCCATATACTATATCATTCCAAATTATTATCCAAATCATCATCATTACATATCTTAAATATATCTATTCACATACTATTTATACATATAAATACAGTCACGGAAAAAAGATACAAGCATTTGTAAAATAAAAATTTTAAATTTTCTAAACAATAAAAAAAGATTAGGAAGTAAATTATAGAGCATTAAAATTAATAAATAGTAAATATTTTTTAAATTTGTCATTTTTTCCTTAGTAAAAGTAGATCAACAGTTTCTGTTGTTAAAAGTGGAAGAACTAAATCACAGGTTAAAAATTGTATTGACCTTCCATTGATCTTAAAAGAAGTTTTTAAATTTAAATTTAGAAATTTTTTTAAAAATCCTTATTTTTGGTCGCTTACGAGTATTCGTACTTAAGAAATCTAATTAAGTCAGATAGTGCTTCCCATTATGGTTTCACGATTTTTGAGATTCGGATGGTATTAATGTTTCGTCCCATATATGTATCTGGAGATTTCACAGAATCAGTCACTCTTATTGTTGCAACTCCACAGTCTCTGAGTATGTTTTATTGTCATTTGATTAATATTCACCTGTAATATTCTATCTCTAGGTTGTATCCTTCCACATTTCTCAGCTGGTCCATCCTTAACTAACGAACGAATATAAATTCCTGTAGGTGTTAATTGTATAGTATTTTTCTCATTTAATTCTTCAATTATTTCATCATCTTCTCCAATAAGTCCATCACAAACGGAAAACCCAAAACTTTTTGTAAGAGGGCATCTTTTTAATTGAACACTAAAAACTTCACTAAATTCATCTATTTCATTTTCTTGTTTTAAATTATTTAATGTACAAGAAGGAAGTGAATTTGTGGAAATACTTTTTTGTGAGGAGGTAAATGTTGATGATGTTGCTATTGTAAATGGAGGAGGGTCTGTCGTTGAAATACGTGGAGAGGGCATTGCTGGTGGAAGTTCTCCATTTTGTTGTTGTTGACTATTTTTTTAATTTAAGATTTATACAAATATTAGAACTATTTAAACTAGAAATTAAAGAAGAATGAACTAAATATATTTTGAGATTTGGATTTAGGAAATTTTTACTCAAAATTTCGCAGAAAAATGTTCTGAAAACCCAAAATTGCAAGTAGTCCTCAAAAATTAACCGGATTCAGGGTCCACAAACTAAGAGTATTTACTTTTAAAACTGACATATGTATGTATGTAACCTCCCAATTTTCTTTCTAAAAATTATAAAAAATCACCTCTTCATCATAGTAGGAGTACCAGACCGAGAATGATTAGCAACAACGTATTTCTTATGAAGTTCTTGAGATGGAAATATTTTTTGTGTTTGTTTATCAATAGATTGGTTTATATTATCAACAACATCATAATTATTGTTAGTTGAGACTAATTGTTGATGAGAGAGAATATTTCCTAACTCAGAGGGAAACATTTGTTGAAAGCCGTATCTTAAATTTTTAAAGGAATAAAAGTGGAAGTGGGATAGCTGGTGGGATTTGAGGGGGCACCCAATTATTGAAACTCACTCAAAGGACAAGAACAAAAAGTTGTCCTTACCTCGATTTATTATTAGAAGGAGGAACATAGTTAGAAGCACTTCCATTTAAAATACATTCTTCCAATTTCCTAAGCATTTCAGCTTCACTAACCACTTCTAACGCTTCAAGTATTCTCATCCATTCATTATCATTTTCTTCTTTTCTTCCTTTTCTTTCAGAGGAAGAATTTGGAGAATTTGAACAACAAAAAGAATGTGTTCCACTTCCATCAATTTCAAATTGACATTCACAACATTTTGTTTGAGAACTTGATTGAATACCGCCAGGTTGACTGTCTGTTGCGGCTGCTGAACTTAAACCTGAATCTAAACCTCCATTTCCTCCTCCATTGCTATAAGGGTCAGAATATGTACTGAATATTGGATCTGTTGCTGAAATAAATATTTAATAATTTTTGATAAAATATTTTTTATATGGTAAAGGTTGAAAGGTGAATAAATAACTGAGAAAAAGAGAAGAAAAGAAAAAAATAAATAAGAAGACCAACTTTGTTGTGTATTTGTAGATGTTGAGGGACGACAAAGTGAAGAATATCTTGGAATTATTTGCCTTCCTGTAGGTGAACCCTTTAAATTAATTAAAATAATTTCTATTTTAGGACGTTTAAATTATGTAAATGGTCGTTTAATTATTTATTAAATTAGTTTTTTTTAATTTAAGGGTATGTAAAATATAAATTTATTTAAAAAGCACCTCTAAAGAATCCATTGCACTATCCACACTCTTTTTTGGTGTTGAATTAATTCCAACTAATTTTTTATTATTTTCTTGTTCTAATATTGCTGTATTTTCAAACTTTTTAAAATTTCGACAATCTTTAAATAAAAATTATTTTTAGATTTTGAAATAAAAAACAACAAACAAGGCAATTTAATATCAATATTTGGAGCTATTGGACGGCTTAATTTAAGAGAAATTGGGTCTGGGCATTGTTGTAGAATTTGTGTTACTTGGCTAACCTTTAAAGAATATATATTTAAATCAAAATATCCCCTCTCACCTTCTTTCCTTCTAAAAGTTCCCCATTAACTGCAATAATTTGATCACCAATATTTAAGGCTCCTGTTCTAAATTTTTTTCAAAAATTTTTTCAAAAAACCCCAAAAATTACCTTTCTGCCAATCCATTAGGTGCTAATTTAGAAATAATTATTGGATCTAGAGCACCCCCAGCAGAAGCTATTGTAATACCTAAAGGCCTTCCCCTTCTCAATAATTCAACAGTATATACAAAAGATTGGGGCGATTCTAATAAATGCTAAAAGAGAATTTTAAAATTCTTTCCAAATTTTTATTTACTTGTTCTTGTCCACCTCCCTTAATTATAACTAATTTAACTATTCTAGCAGATCTTTGTAATAAACGCATAGCTTCATCTAAAGTACATGTATCCAAAGGTATATCATCAATTGAATGGATTTGGTCCCCAACTTGGATTGATCCACATCTTTTTTTAAATTTATAATTTTAATAAAAGACCCGGATAAAGTTGGAGAGTTATGAGAAAAAAGATTTTGACTTGTCAATTAAAAAGTTAAATTTAATTAGAAAACCATCGCCTACTCCATAAAATGATAAAGACACTATTTTTCTATCTTTGTATCGCTATTCCATATTTTCGGATTCAAAACCTATGGCAAGGTGACAACTCATATTTTAAAAATATTTTTATGTCAAAAATAAAATATACTACCTATGTGCAACACTTCCAATTCTAATATGTGAAATAATTAAAGGTTCTCCTTTAGCCGTTCCATTTTGATGACTTTGGCAAACAATACCAAGACATTTGCCACATTTAGCTAATCTCATAACAAAAAAAGAGCCGTGTGCTGGGGGAAGGACGGGCTGAAAATTGATATGAGAAAAATTTTACACTGAAATAAATTTAAGTCAAAAACTGATAATATTAAGTTGGACCTCACTAAATATAAGAAAAAAATTGAAAAATTTTATGCGTACCATAATAAGGTTATTTTAAATAAAGAGTATTGCCCTACCCAATATAAGTAGGTTAACTGTGGTGAGATTCGACTGATAAAACATTAAATTTTCTTTTGCAAAATAATTTTAAAATTATTATGAATCACCTCAATAACATTAAATTCAACAAGAAGAGTAACAGAACGATTGCCAGAAAGAGAAAGAATTCTTAGTAAATGACTGGCTTCTTCTAAAGTGCCATCAGCTGTGTGCCAGTCATCAATACAGAGAATTCTGTCACCGGGCTGTAGAATTCCACATCTAAGCAAGAAAATAATTATTTTGATAAGCTTAAACCAATTTTCTACTTATCAGCAGGGGATCCTTTTTCAATACGTTCAACAACTAGAGAAGTCCCTTGATTTCCTTCCAATTCATCTTCCTCAACAAAATCATTTTGTTGTTTACCCAAAATAATTCCGAAGGAAGGCCAACTTTGTGTTGTTTCTTGAGCTAGTGATAATTCCATTGTTTCTGTATGATTAATGGATCCATTAACACGTGAACCGTTATATGAGAGACGAGCGGAAACTGAGCCTTAAATTATTATAGAAAAAATAAAGTACATAGAATGGACGGATAGGATAATTCATTGAATTGCTTATTTCAAATTGAGATAAGTAAGTGTAGGAAATCTTTAATATCCGGAAACGAACAGACAACCCCACCCGAAAAATCCTTGGTTCTTCCGTTCGCCTAATAACTCTAGTATCGAGAACCATACCACCAAAATAGTTATGGCACTGGTTAAGACCCAGTCGCCGTTTTTATGTTCAATAGGGTTTAGTATTGCCGGCAAGTATCAATCGCAAAAAGTCGCTGTGTAAGAAAAAGTAACTCACTAACGGTTCCAATGCCCAAAAGGCCAGTATAGTGAAAACATACGTGGAACATTTTTTAAGAAAAAAATACTAAGAAAAGCCTAAAAGAAACTGTGGCAAAAGTGAAATAAATGTGAGGGGATAAAATGAAAGGATTATAAAGAGAAGATTGATTGCAAAGGAATTGGAGGAATTATTATTATTATATTGACCAATATATAAAGGGATTTGGAAGTTAAGAGGCTTCATTTAGGAATAATAAAAAGGAGAATAAAAAATTAAATAAACTTCTAAGAAATTTTTTTGAATCAAATTTTTGTTTTTATTCAAAATTTATTTAAATTATTAAATTATCAAGGAAGGGGAAAGGCATTTTGGGTGTATCTTATAGCGAGATCCAACTATTGTGACCTTCCTCCAAATATCATATTCCTCAAAATTCTTTTTGAATAAAAATTTATTTTCAATATAATTTTGGGTCTAAAAATAATTTTCAAAATATTTTTATATGTCCGAATGATTTGATTTCCGATTATTTCTCGAAATATTAGAATAAAATACTTGGGTTGTTGATTAAAAATAAAAGAATTTTTTTAAATATTTTTTTGATTAATAATTGAATTATATAAACAAAACATTTCTTGTTTTTTCAACGTTATTTGTGATCTCCAAATATCAATCAAAAGTAGGAAAAACTTTAAATTTTTAAGAAAAAGAAAGATGGACTTTTTCTACTTGCTTGACCAATCTTTTCTTTTCTTTTTTTAAAAACTTTTATTTATTTGTTGGGTAATGAGGACCAAATGGAAAATCAGAAATTGTCATAAAATAAATTTTAACTCAAAAAAGAATTTGTTTTTGACTGACCTTTTCTTTTTGATTTTGATGGAAATTTTTGAGAAGAAGAAAAGGAGGGGAAGTTGTTAATAAAAAATAATTTATTTTTATTCTTTTCATTTAAATCAATTTCATCAAATTCGGGAAGATTTTGTGACAATCTGTAAAAATATAAATATTATAAATGGAAGGAAATAAAAGGTTTAATAATTCTAAAAAGAAGCTTAAATCTCTCATATTTGATGTTAATTTCACTCACTTTTGACATTCTCCATTTTGTAAATTTATTTTCCCTCTCATTTCAGCAGGTAATAATTCAAGTCTTATTAAGGAACTATGGCTATTTAAAAGTTGATAAACTTCATTTAGACTAGAAATTAATTTTAAACTAATTAAATCTATTGACAATATTTCGTCGTTTGGTTTAATTGCACCACATCTTTAAATTGAAAAATTTTATCTCTTTACTTATACATAAAGGGATTTGATGTTACCAACAGTCCCCCCCCCCCCAACTGGAGGTATCTATTAGTGGATTTATTTTTGTCCATTGATCAAAATATAAATTTACAAGCATTTCTAATTCATAAATCAAAGAATAAACTCTCCAAAATTCAAATTTTCTTCTTACCTTTCAGCAATAGAAGCCGGCACTAACCCCTCAACTATAACAGCTCTTCTACTTCCAGTTGGCCATATAGGTACTTGTTTAATAGCTAATTCAATACCAAAATCAACGCCTGGGGTTTTCTCTATTTCAACTCTTAGAGAGTTTGGAGCTTTACGAAGAGAGGCTGAAAATTTATGAAAATATAGTCATTGGAGGTATTTAAAATTATTGGAGGTATTACTTAATTATCGCCCCATTTCACCCAGTGGCCAACCAAATTTTAAAAAACTTTCAGGGATATGTTTCAGGGGTTATATAAAATTAACTTCCAGATATAACAAAACAACTTTCTCTCTCTTTCTCTCACCTACCCAAATTGCAAGTATCATATTCCACAGTTAAATTAACTTTTGATTGAGGCGAAGTTTTAATTAAATTAATTGCACCAGAAAGAGTAGAATCATTCACAGAAATCTTTTCATTTAAAATTTTTTTTAATATTTTAAATTACTTTTATATTTACCCCATTAATAGCTACAATTCTATCACCAGGTCTAATACGTCCATCTCTGTGTGCCGGACCTCCAACACGAATAGAGGTGATTGTAATAGGCTTATTTTTGTTTAAATCTGGTCCAAAAGCCCCTCCTCTAATTACAATCCCAAAAAGTCCAAAATCCCCATCTGACGACATTTGATCCCTTAATTCGATTTCTGCTGTTTTTGTAATTATTCCTTCCTTTCTATTAAGTAAAAGTTCTTCTCTTTGTTGTTCATTTAAATCATATTCTAATTTTAATTCTAATAAATTATTTCCACGTAAAAGAGACAAAACTTTTGAATGAGTCAATCCTTTATTTACTTTAATTCCATTTACTTCTAAAAGTCTGTCACCAACCTTTTTTTAATTTTAATTAAAAAATTAAATTTACAAATATATCTACTTGAATTTGATCACAACGTTGTGCAACAAATCCCGGTTTTAGATAGGAAATTGTTGGTGGCATTGGTCTGTCAGAACCTCCTTAAAAATTTATTTTTGTTCAATTTTTAGAAAGAGTTTTAGAGAATGATAAGATATCCTAGAGCTCTACTAATAGTACAGTTTGATCTCAATTTAAGATAAGTCTGATTTAAAATTTAATATTCACCGGCAATTCCAAGCCCCAAAGGTTGACCAAACTTTTTACGTATTGAAACAGTTAATTGCCCACAAATCGAAGGTTGGAAGTCCGTTGAAGTTGAAGGCTTTCCAGGACAGGTACAACAATCCCAATTTTCGTTAAAACTTGAGGAATTAGAAGAACCATCAATGAAAGATTCTAAAAAATATTTAAACTATATTTAACGTCTAGAAGGCTTTTTTTAGATTTTTTATGGTTATCTCCATCATATAGCAAAACAGACTCTAGTCGAAGCCCTAAATATAAAGGAATATTGGGAGGGATGGGGTAGCTTCATAGGAAGAACAAGGTGCCCTTAGACTAATCTCATAGTAAATCACACCAGATTTTCAAAATAATTTTATTCAAGTTTCTTCTTTCCTTACTTTTACTCATTTTATTCCTCTCCAACTCTCTCCTTCCAATCTCATTTTGTTGTTGTCCCCAATTAAAATATTTTTCCAGAAATAAATAATATTCTGTTGGGGAATGAATTGGAATACCAAATAATTGATAATTATTTTGATTATTCCCCTCTAAGGGAAAATAAGGACGTTTTTTTAAATTATTTTGTTTTCTTCTTTTCCTTCTCATTGCAACCCAACAACAAAAAGGGCCCCACAACTTTTTTATATGATGACGAGGTCTTTCTTGTACACAAGAACTTGGAGTAGGGACAATTATTGAAGGCCACATTGGTATTAAATAAATAAATCAGACAAAGAAATGGAAAAATTTTTGGGCCAAAATAGGCCAAATAATTTTTTGTATTAACTGAAAAAAGAGGAAAAAATAAAATAAGGAAAGAATTGTTTTAAAGCTGCGAGAAAATAGCATATAATTTATAATTTATTTATCAGGCCCACATAAGCGTCAGACTTAAGCTGACCGAAAGGTGGCACAAATGAGATCTGACTCTCACTTGTATGACACTCACTTTAATTTTTCTGTCGAGGAATGTCGTATAAGTAAGATCCGACTGTAATAAAAATTTTAAAAAAATTAAAAATAAAATAATATTTATTTATAACAAGATGGAGAAAAAAAGGGAGGGAGGGGAGGAGGAAAGAAAATCTTAAGGGATTATTTGTTATGTTTATCGGAGGAAGGAGGTGAATGTGTGAGTGTTTGTGGGGGAAAGGAGAACAAACTAAAAAATGCGAGAAAAACAAGGAGTTTAAGGCAACTTTAAGACAAAAAGAAAAGCTAATAAAGTCCGTTTCATAATTATACGAGCAAGCATTTTTCTTGCATTGCTCATACTTCCTGTCAACCGATTGAGCCCTAATTTTTTCTTTTAGTAGATATCCTATAAATATTAGGATTCTGAGATTTTCAAAAAATTTTAACTAAATCTAAATTTTTTATGAATTTTTTTCAAAATTTGGGGTGTTTCATAATTATACGAGCAAGATTTCAATTCGGGTTTTCTTTACTATAAGTGATCCAAAAATTCTACAAAAATTCCCGTAAACATTTCCATCGATATCAAGTAGAAATGTAAAAAGAACGAAGTCTGTAACTGCTTTCTTCATTGAGATCCCGAAACCCCAAAATCAACGGAAAACAGAGTTACAGTACTTCAAAAAATATTTTAACCCTCTTAGAGCTTTTATAAAAATTTTCTTTTTAGCCCGTCAAAAAGAGCACAAAATTTGCTACTAAAAACACTTGGTCCCATCCTTGAGAAAATTTATACCTTTGAGGACTCGTCGGTTAAAGGAGCAGATAAATAAATTATCTCAATTTACCCCATAAATTATCATTATTTCGAACTTCAAAATTTAACCGACGAGTCCTCAAAGGTATAAATTTTCTCAAGGATGGGACCAAGTGTTTTTAGTAGCAAATTTTGTGCTCTTTTTGACGGGCTAAAAAGAAAATTTTTATAAAAGCTCTAAGAGGGTTAAAATATTTTTTGAAGTACTGTAACTCTGTTTTCCGTTGATTTTGGGGTTTCGGGATCTCAATGAAGAAAGCAGTTACAGACTTCGTTCTTTTTACATTTCTACTTGATATCGATGGAAATGTTTACGGGAATTTTTGTAGAATTTTTGGATCACTTATAGTAAAGAAAACCCGAATTGAAATCTTGCTCGTATAATTATGAAACACCCCAAATTTTGAAAAAAATTCATAAAAAATTTAGATTTAGTTAAAATTTTTTGAAAATCTCAGAATCCTAATATTTATAGGATATCTACTAAAAGAAAAAATTAGGGCTCAATCGGTTGACAGGAAGTATGAGCAATGCAAGAAAAATGCTTGCTCGTATAATTATGAAACGGACTTTAAATACACATATATTTTTAAGGCCACAAATCATTTTATATTTTTCATTCTTTTTTCTTAAATCTTTAGATTCTGATATTGAATAATATTCTAAATAAATATTAAAACAAAATTTCTAAACAAAAATCTTTCTTAATTCGGATAAAAATATTTTAGTTATAGGAAGGTTATCAAGCTTATTACAGTCGGACTTTACTACTTTTTGAGTTGAATTAGTTGCTTTGTTTGGTAAAAATACTAAACAAGTCTCTCTAAACGATTAAAAAATTAAATTAAAAAAATCCCTATCGTCATGAAAAACAAAAAATTGTTTTTTCCGGTTAAAAAAATTCGATTTTTATTTTTCTTATAAAGTTTTTCCTTTATCTTTAACGGTCGTCCACCTGATCGTTCTTCTCTCGATTAATGAGGGAGAAACGAAATTAATTAATTGCTCGATCGGAAATTGAAAGAAAAAAAATATTTTTATTTTAAAGTTTAAAGAAAAGCTTTAAAAGAAAGAAAAAAAGAAAAAGAAATTACTAATTGGTTAAATAAAAGATTGGCAATTTAAAAGATTTTGTTAGTTGAAAAGGTAATTTATTAATTAATTGTTAAGGGTAAATATGTGTATAAAATAGCCAAAAAAGCATGTGTAAACATTAAATTTTATTTAATTAAACTTTCGAGGTTAAACTAATTTTCCTATAAATTTTCAAAATTTTCAAGCATTATAGATAATTTGCGGAAACCCTTAAGACAATAAGACTATTAATGTTCTATCCAGAATAAAAATATATCACAAGGGCACTTGATAAGACCCGGCGGCTTATTGTTCTAATCTTAATAGGAGTTAGTTTTTGATGGGAAATTTCATTATTCCGATTTTGTGATAAATATCAAAACACTACAAATTAAACAATTTTTTGAATAAACTTTTTTAAAAGTTAAGAGAAATATTTTAAAGGAAATATTTTAAAAATATTTTTGTAAAATTAAATGAAAACAAGAAACGGAAGAATAAATAAAGTTTGTTTGGCTTGTTTGGCATGAAAAAAAGTCAAAATGAGGAAAAGAAAATAAAAAAAAGTTTTTGGCGCTAGACGAAATTTATGGGATGATTCGGAGGGATGGTCATTCAGAAGAGGGAAATGAATGGTATAAAAAAGATGGATGGATAGAAGAATAAATGGCCTTTTCTTTATGTTGATTGTTAGGTGTGGAAAAATAAGGCGAGGAAATAAAGCAATTTTGGGGGGTGGGGGGCAGACCTGGGCGAAACTCAAAATTTTTTTCTGACGAAACGAAACGAAACAAAATTTTTTAAAAATCGTTTCGTTAACGAAACGAAACGAAACAACCAAAATCTTACGAAACGAAACGAAACAAAACGAAACATTTTAATATTCAAAAAATTTTCAAAACTGCATTTATTTCGAAATTATTCGACCTCAAATACGTTATTAGTCGACTATGACTTATAAATGATTTAGTTATTGGTTTATTTACAACAATTGTGTCCCATAAGCCAGGCCCGTAGCAAGGAAAATTTTCGGGGAAGGGGGGGGGTCAATCATTTTCGAAGCCAAATTTTTGGCGACGCTTTTTTTTAAATAAAATTGAATATTTTTCAAGTAAAATTTTATTTTAAGCGCCGCAGACGAAAAATTTTAAAATTTTGAAAGGCCGTAGGCCAAAAAATTCACCATCTTGCTCCATTGCCTACCCAAATTGTCTCCATATCTCCATTTCGAGAGGAAGGCGATATAAGCTAGTGCTTCGCCGGAAGTTCCGGTTCCAGTATTTCCGCAACTCGCAATCCGCAATTTTTAAATTATGATGCGAGTCCGGTAATAGAATTTGTCGTCGATTAAGTAATATGTATATGTGGATTAGGGAGTGGAGTATAAACGGATTTGTAGTATATAAGTAATTGCTATCTTCCTTTTTCAGCGCCGCAGGCGAAAATTTTGACAATTTGGGAAAGCCAAGAAGCCGAAATTCTTTTTTTTTCAGCGCCGCAGGCGAAAATTTTTTAAATTTTCAATAAAAGATGGTAAATTTTATAGATTTTGGCCTTAGTTTAGGCTTAAAAAATTGTTTCGTTTCGTTGAAAAATCACAGGTGTTTCGTAACGAAACGAAACGAAACAAATTTAAAAGTGTTTCGTAACGAAACGAGACGAAACAGTAAAAATCATACGAAACATACGAAACAACGAAACGAAACGAAACGTTTCGCCCACGTCTGGTGGGGGGGGGGGAATGGTCAAATGAGGGGAAATTGGCAGCAAAAAGGTGTGATGAGAAAAATGTTCCTTATCCACTAAGGGTAAGTGGAAGGGAACAAACACTGAAGAAATTTTTTTGTAAAAGTATTCAAAATCAGTCAAGAGGTCATTTCAATCCATCTTTTTTCTAGTCATTCAGTTTTAAAATTCTGGACAATTTATCGGTTAATGGGCTAAGAGCGAAATTGAAGGAGAAAATAAAGGAGTGAAGAAGTCTTTTGTATATTTTTGAGTTAAAAGTCTTTAAAATAATTTAAGAGAAACAATTGCGCAGAAAATATGTTAACAAGCACAAAACAAAGCTAAAGAATGGGAAAAATGAAAATAAAAATGATTGAAAAAATAACATTCAAAGAAAGGATAATGGGGGGGGGGGGGGGGTGGAAAACTCACAAAATGTTTTAAACAAAAAAGACTGGACAATAAAGTAACTCTCGTTAAATACACCAAAAACAACCCTCTAATTATGTACAGAGCTGGGAGGAAATCTCAAATCTGGTGAAATTATTTAAAATTTCGATTTTCGTTTTAAATTCCAATAATTTTTTATTTTCGACGTAATAAATTTAAAAAAATCCAAGAAAAAGACTAAAAAATATGTGAAAATAATGCTAATAAAATAAAAATTCTTTTCCAGATTGCAACAATTTTTGGAAGGAAAGAGGAAATCTTTTAACTAAAAAATATATTTAAGAAAATGATGAGGAAAGGAAAAATTAAGATATAAATAAATGCTTCTTCTTCTTTCGCTTCAATTGCGTGCTGAAATCTCCCTAAACGGGGGTGTTGAATTTGGCATTCTTTTTTGTGGTCATTTTTATATAAAACCATTTTTAGCCATTTAATTTTTATATAAATCTGGGGCTTGCTTTTGGTGCTGCTCTTTTCCAGTTTGCGACAAATTGGATTTGGAGGAGAAAAGAATAAAATAAAAATATATACAAAATTAAAAAGCCGCCGCTTATTTCTCTCTTTTATAACGTTTAGTTTGTAATTCTTTTTAAAATTGACTGGACACCCAACAGTGTGGTTTAGAAAAGTGATTAATTGAATTTTTGGAGAAAAAAATGAGAAAAAAATAGGAAGAAAGCAAAGGAGTTAGGATTGAGGGAAGGGAGGGGAGGATTTAAATAAA